CGAGCTCTTTGGCGTACTTGAAGCAGCTAGGACAGACATACAGCCTCTCCAGCATGGGCAGGCCGTCTTTCTCCTTCTTTGACGGCCCCTTTCCAGCCGCGTCAAGAAGCCCGTCCTTGCTGCCCCCCTTGGCATTGCCTGATGTAGCTCCCAGAACCTCTTTACCGTAATAGCTTGGATACCACGTACGGAAACATAGGTTCCCCAAAACAACCTTGTCAATGTTACGATCCGTCCTCGGAGGCGGCCGATCAGACACGGGCAACGTCGGCGGCTTAGGAGGTAGCACTGGTGTGATTACCATTGGTGCTGGTCCCATCTTATCTAGTCTTGGAGGCGGCGCCGAAGGCCCGTGAGGCCTCACTAACGAAGACTGTCGGCCATGCTGGTTCGCCTGAGGGACATGGTACGTGATCTCGGGCGCAACCAGGTCCGAAGGCCGCCTACGTTCTTTGGAAGGGGCACTATTGCTCATCTCGGCCATGGCAGCTGTCCGCTTGGGGGGGATGGGGGCAGCAGCCACGGTAGCTCTGGAGCCGGGCGGGAGCGACGAGGGCATCGCGCTGCGGGAGGCAGCTGTCGGGATGTTTAGGAGATTCGGGAGAGGCTGAGCGGCAGCAGGAGGAGGAGGCGGGAGTGGATCGGCCTGCGCGCCAGGAGGACGAGGGCCATTGCGCGCGGCTCGCTTCAGCGGATCGGCCACGAGGATCGGAGGCAGAGGAACGGCGGTGACGGCGGGCACAGGAGCGGTCATCTTGTGCGTCGAGGCGACTGGAGGCGCAGGCGTCGGCGGCACAAGCGCAGAGGCGGGAACCGGAGGAGGCAGCACAGGAGTCTGACGCGTCGCACGGCGCGTGGAGGATGTAGGATCGGGCTGCTGGTCAGACGCAGACGCAGACGCAGACGCAGACGCAGGATCGGGCTCGTCTGGTCGCTTGCGCTTTTGCGGCATCGCTTGATGCTGGGGGCCAGAGCAGCCTCGTTGCTGGGATGCGAATGGTTAAAAGGAGCCGCTCTCGAGACTGGTCGAGCATGGGCTGGGGATGTCACGGGACGGCTGGATGCGGACACGGAAGCGACGAAGCCATCTAGGAGCAGCAGGAGAAAGCGACGGTTCAAATAAGCGTTTTCAGAGCGGTATAGAGCAGTCAGTACAAAGTGATTTGGCGTGTTGAGGGCTGGTGAAGAATAGCCAGATGGGAAGCTTTGGTGGTTTGCGGGAGGAAGAAGCCCGCGTTTGGACCTGTCACGTGGGGTCGCGTAAAGGGCGTACATGAGCTGAGTTTCTCGTGCAGCTTCTGCTTTGTACCTTGATGCCTTCACGAGCATCTCATTGAATGCGCATCTGCATTTCAGGATGGATTCTCACGATCTGGACTTGATGCGGCCTCTTATGGTGGGCAGGTCATCATGCAGCATTTCATGATCGACGTCACACAAGCAGGCATCAGATCAAACTGGGGCATCAAACAAGGCTTTTACAATCGCAGCAATACTCTGATGAAGATGGCAAGCATAGACTATAAAATTCCGGGTTTTATTCATTTTCTGGTTTTTTCCCTTTCTTTTCCATTTTTCAATATTTCAAAACAAAGACACCAACGAACGATATCCCCCCTAAATAGAGACTTGGTATACATGAGAAAAAAAGAGACAAAGCTCATCGCAGAGAACAGCTCGGCGCCCCCTGAGCATTCATGACTCTCTGCAAAGTATCATCGCCCTCTTCCCAATCTTTCACCAGAGTCAGCAAGCGGCGTCGTGCCAGTCCGGCATCTCGGTTGCGATACACGCTGTCGATTTTGCGCACCACTCTGTCATTGACAAGCCAGCGTTTCTCTTCAGCCATGAAATCCGCATATGACATGTCCTGTCCAAAGGTCGCCTTCACATTGGCTTCGAGATGCCCCCGTATGGCTTTGTCTGACTTGACTTGTTCCGTAGAGGGAGCATCTGGATGAGGAAATGCCGTGTCGATGGATGGTATAAAAGCCGCGCTTTTCCGGGATGGGTCGGCAAGAATCGACGTCGCAAAGAAGTACACAATACTAGGATTCTCGAGAATCGCCGGGGTCAACGTGAGGAGACCCGGCGGAGTGGTGGCGCAGTGTCCCAAGTTGAAGTACTGCAGCTGAGGCGTGCCCCTGAAGAGTCGAGTCATGGCTGGGATTGCGTCGTCTTCCACATAATTATACGCTTGGTCAAGATCTTCCGTGGCATATGCCTGGCCGATATCCAGAGATCTGATGCCGGGGTGCCCGGTCAAGGCCTCGCACAGCGCCATGGCACCTTGGGTGCTGACTCCAACCGATTGTACGAACAGTCGAGCCAGATACGGTGCCTCGGGCAGTGCGGCAGCCAGGGCCTGAGCACCCTCGTCGCCGATGGGATTGCAGGACATGTAGATGGACGTCACGCCGGAATGTGGCGAGGCGAGGAACTTGCCCACAGCAGCAGCGCCCTCGGTCGAGATGCCGAGGCCGTTCATGTAGATGTGTCGAAGGGGGAGCTTGCCGCCATCAGGGGGAGAATAGGCGGCCAGGCGAGTAAACAACTCGGCCACACCACGGTTTCCAAGCTCAGTCTGATCAAGATCCAGCGTGTGCAGATTCTTCGTCTCAGTGATGAGACGATACACGTCCTCAGCAGCATCCGGGCCAAGAGGATTCCGCTTCAACCAGACGTTGGACACGGCCCGCGACTTGATCAACGCATTCACCAGCATCCTGAAGCTCTCCCCTCCCTGGATGCAGTTTCCAGCAAGATACCAAGTCTCCATGCGCTCTGGAAACTCGGTGATGAATCGAGAAATGGCATCAACACCAGCTGGGCCAATGATGTTATTGCCCAGCAAAAAGTGTCGGACGTGCTTGTTAGTCCGCAAACTATACATCAGGCGCTCGATATGGTCAGGGCCGACGACCATTTTGCAAAGATCCATCCGGCCATCCTCATACACGACCCCTTTGCGGAACTCTGCGCCGCGAACGCTATAGTACGGCTCTCCATTACCGTCATGAAGCTCGACGGCGCCCTCGACGCCGTCAATCTCGTGGCTGCCGCTGTTGGACAAGTGCGCGAAGAAGGGCGCCAGTTCCGCCTCCTGAGCAACTCTCACCGGCATGGGAATTGCCTTGGGGCCGTCTAACGAAACCGGCTTCCTCGCCTGATCCCATCGTCCCTGTCTGGTGATACGGCTGGCCCACGCAGGTGCCTGAACACCAGCTTCAACACCGCCAGTCATACCAGGAGCCATTTTGCCGTTGCGTTTGGTGGCCTGCAACAGGTCGTAGCGACGCTGCAGAGACGCCCACGCGCGGAGACGAACTCGATCGGCGTCATAACGGATAATAGCCGTGAGTGAGCCATCGTGGACCGGATGCAGCAGCGAAGCTATGGCTACAGCTAGGTTGTGGCGAGTAGATTTGCGGCTAGGCAGGTCGTATAAGATGTCTTCGATCCTGTTCTTATCAAGTGGAAGGGCGAGGATATCGTCCGCAGTGTAACCTTGCGACGGTTTGAGCACATCGACCATGTAAGTGGTCAGGTTGTTGAGGGCAGAACGGCAGAGCCCGGCCAAGTAGATTGCCTCGTTCGTGGAGACGTTGGAGTCTGTGTTGGAACCATTGTCTGGTTTGATTCGAATCACGAGAGACGGATTAGAATCCCCGAGCAGCTCGACTTGTGTGGCGGAAGCCATGGTGAAGAATTGCGAGTGACGATGTAGTACTTTGTCGAGTCGGAGCCAAGATGCTACCAGGGTAGACGATTGATATCTACCCCCCAAAACGAAGCGGCATCCAACCCTCTTATATATACCTATATATATATATATATATATATATATATATATAAACACTTGTATATACTCAGAGAGAGACACACACAGAAACCCTCAAGAAAGGGAAGACAACTGACATTCAACCAGCAAACAGTCATCCGCATCAACAAAATTCACCAATCAGCCCAAACGCCTCCCCTCACCCCTCAGCCTCAATCTCCCAATTTACTCCAAGAATAAAACAAATCCTAATACAGGATCATCGTCATCGCCACACCCGACATATCAAAAGGGCGCATGTACTCCAACTCTTCTCCAACTCCAAAACCAGCTCGCCGATCGAAAAACAAACAAGGGGCTGTGCTGTGCTGTGCTGTGAGTCAAAAAAAAAAAAAAAAAAAAAAAGCCACCAACCCCCCCAGCTCAATCGAATCAGATCGAACATTAACGGCAGTGCATCACGCACGACAGGGCGTCAAAATGTAAGTTTAAAAGCAACAGTCGGCAAAAGGGCGTAAGGCTGCATGCATCCCCTCCCCGTTTGTTCTTGGGGGGGGCTAGCTAGGCAGAAAAAGAATCTCGTGGAACCGATCCGGCGATTATCTTTATTTGCCGTTTTGGCCTACGCTAAATACTGCCTGTTGGCCTCCCGCATAAGCGAGCCTTGATTCGATTCGATTCGTGAACGAGATGAATTCCCGTCAGGAAATTTCTATTTAGAGGAAAGTAAACAAACAAATAACACTAAGCAATGAATCCCGTGGCCAATTGACTGTTACTTGACCCAGAAGGATGAGCTGGCTGCTACTCCCGGCTCCGTCCCCTTCGCCCCCAAACCTGCAACATCACAAAGCATCACCAGCTTCGCTACGTTTCTTTATCTCTGCAAAAACTCTTTATCTAACGTCAAGGAATTCGTCATTTACCCGCCGTGTCCCTGCAGATGCACTGCTCTATGCTCTTAAAAGGCCCAATCCCTGCTACTTTTCACGTCTACCGACCCCCTGGGTATGAGGTTAAACCAACTCACGCTCACATCACTGAAATGCTCCCACTGCCACCCATCAAAACATTTCGAGGCGAGGCACACACAATTGGCATCAAGAAAAGAAACTGTCCCAAAAGATCCCGATTGACAATTCGGGGCTATTGTTTTGATGTCATGGGGAGGGAAAGAGGTAGCCATAGTAAACACATCAGCGGAGTGAAAGAAAAATTATTAAATGCCATCCAAATCTCCGCCAAGGTCGTCATCATCCAGATCTCCTTCTTGAATCTCCTTGGCCATTTCCCTCTCCCGTTCGCGTGCCTCTTGAGCATTCTTGAGCTCAAGGCGATGTTGATTCATCGGGAAGCGCATGGCCTGTTAATCGTGTTAGCTCGCGTAATTATACAAAAGAAGATGAAAGAAAAACTCACCTTGACACTCTCGTCATGAAGGGCAAGGCACGCCCGAATACGGTCGTGGAAGGCCTCTCCGGGCTCTCTTGTGGCGTACACATCACCCACTTCCTTGCTCTTCATGAATCCCTTCTCCCGGTCCAGAGTAGCTTCAATCACGCCATCTCGAATGGCCTTGGCAACAATGTATTCGGCAGACTCTTCGCTGCCAAGATGCAGGCGGATGCAAATGTCACGAAGGGAGATGCGTGAGTACGACAGCGACATCATTCGAATACCCGTCTTGATGACGTTCTGACGCAGGCGGAGGATAAGTGTGTAAGTGCCGTCCCGCTTGAAAATGTCGGCATTATCGGCAATGGTAGTCTCAAAGTCCTCCAAGTTACCCACTCGCACGGCTCGGACCAGCAAGAAATACGGGTGGAGAGCGTCCTCCAGAGACGGTTGTCGGAAGGTAGCTCTGTCGGGGATGTCTCCCATCAACAGTTCGACGACCAGCAACAGCTTAGTGGCGGTTTGTGAGAAGCCCACGGCACAGCCGCTCGACGGCGCCTTACGGGTGGCGGCTGTGAGGTGCTCGTGTGCCTCCGTGTATCGCAGCTGGATAGCTCGGATCCGTCCAAGATAGTACAAGAATCGTGCCACTTGGTTGTTGGCGGCATTCTCGGGGAACTGCGTATGTGAGACAAGCAGATCGGCTTGCTTGATGTGCGACGTCAGCAGATAGTTTCTTAGGAGCAGAACGATGACCGAAGCCTGAGTATCAATGTCCTTGCGCAAGACGGCGGTTCGGAGGACGGCTAGAAGGGTAGGTCGAATGGCGACAATGGGCGATTCGGGAGACGGCGGCAACGGGGCGATGTACTCGCAGAAGAGCGAAAAGTAAAAGTAAACCTTGGCCGAGAGGCTGTCCAGCGTTCGGCGGTTCAGGGTCTGGATACGATCCGACAGGTACTTGGAAAAGTCGGCTCCCTGCTGGTATTTCTTGGCATCGAAGAGATAGACCTGGACCAAGATACCCAGGAACACGTCGATCTCGGGGATGATCTCCTTTACCTCCTTCTTGGAGGAGCCGTTCTTGGCAGCCTTTGCGTCGGTGTCCACGTCCATCTCAGCGCCGGTAGCCCGGCCAAGCGTAACATCCTCTCGGCCAACCGCAGCTAAAAGGGCCTTTGCAATGCTGGCGGACGCCGAGGTGGCGGGGAATGTGTCGGCAATCGCCTGTGCAATGACATCTGGCGACAGGTGTTTGCGGATGAGGGAGATGGATCGAAGAGCGCGCAGGGAGAAGCGAGCGTCGAAGAGCGTAACCGCACGGTCAAGGAGGGCAAAGTTGGCCTTGATGTCTACAGGGAGCAATGCAACAAAGCATGCGTCAGAAAACATGCGCTCATCAGATATACATAACACCACCTTTGCCTGGTTTTGCTCACCTATTACAGCTTGCACAGCCGGGTCAACCTTTTCCTCCTCCTCGGTCTTATCCACGTCCATTGCCACGTCGCCTTCCGCATCGGTCGAGGGAGCAGGCTTCTTGGAGGATTTGGACGGGGGCACAACTACGGTCATACTCTCGTCGCCATCCTTGGCTGCTTTTCATCTTCCATCTTAGCTTCCTTGATCTTCCTGATGTCAATTTTGAAGGGGGGGAGGTTCGTTACCATTGTTGTGGGGTGTTTTGCTAGGCATGGCGGGCAGAATCTTAAGCTGAGGATGCCGCAAAAAGTCTTGTATGCCGCCCCTCGGGGTTCTAGAGGGATAAGAGGAAAAGCGTGTGCGATTGATTCGAAACCGACGGGGTGGATGGACCGTCTTTGTTGTTGGGCCCTTCAGACGTCAACGGTGCGTATGTTGTCTGTCCACGACACGAGGGCGGTACAGAGACAGAGACCAAGGCCAGCAGAAGAGCCAGAGGACTCGAGATCGTGGGGAGCTTCTGGAAAAGCCGAAGCCGGAGGGAGTCGAGCTGCGAACGCTGAGGCTTGTTTGTTGTGAATCTCGGCGTCTGGAGCAGGTGGAAGGTTCGAAGCTTGGGGACGTGGGAGAAGTGCTGGAACAGGTACCTAGAGGTGCCGTATGAGGGACAAGGCTAGCAATGTCGCGGTACCACGAGTTTGGCGGCGCTGTGGGCGGGCGCAGAGGTAGCGTGGACTTACCTAATGCCGTGCATCTCTGATAAGCCGTGCGAGCTGTGGGGCTGGCCACCACCTTAGTGACGTCTGCCATCCTGGTGCCTACAAGCACGAGAGTGGCCAGCAATAACTCACGACATTGGGGTGCATTGAACGCATCACCAGTACTACTAAAGGTGATGATAACAAACAACAAACAACAAGTACCTTATATCAAGTAAAAAGATACCTACTGATTATCAAGGTAAAGATGGAGATGGGATTCGGTATGAGCAACTTTGCTGCATTTCTCATCCACCACGAGCCAAATCAGGCAAGACTGCCATGTTGCGATCCCATTACTAAAGGATTCACCCCAGCCTCACGACAAGAGGTGCCAGATTCAATGCTGCAATTTAGGACTATTTTGACTGCCAACCTCCATCTATATCCTCAAGCCATCTCCCTCCCCGAGCGTTGAGACGAAAAAATCACAATGATTGCCCATATCCCGCAAGACCAGCCAGCCAGACCTTGGCATCCGGGGATGCTGGCCCTTTTAGATGAAAAGCAAAGTAAACTAGTAAATGGCCACCTAGCCAGGTATTGTCCTTTCCTGAAACGCCGTTTCGTACCGATTCTCATTACCGTCCAATCCCAAAGTTCAACAACATTTGCAGCAGCTGCAGCAGCTGTGCTCATGATTGCACCCAAATTCCATCGTGAAATTGACAATAGTTGTTCAATCTCCAAATCCATTACTCGCCCTTTCCGGGCATCACCTTGGCAGCTTGCACAGCACTCATCTTTGCGATCCAGCCCGTAGAAGGCTGAACCTTGCGTACCGTACGTAGCTCATCCGAAGAGTAGCCCGGAACGCGGATGTTGTAAGTTCGCTCTAGTACAAGCTGGATGTCACGTATCTCGAGCACCTTGGAGCCTCGTTCCTTGGAGTTTCTGCATGCCGCGTGCAGGACATTGTCAACAAACGAATCGGCGAGGTTTAGAACGCTCTATCGTAACGGTTAGTCAAGCCCATAGTGCATTCACTTCATTAAAAGAATGTATCCTTACCTCCTCTACTTCTGGAGTCAAGAGGTTGCCATCTTGGCCCTCTGCAAATCCTCCGCAAACTTGGCGTACAAGCTCATCCAGTTTCTTCTTGCTGAGCACGTGGTCACCCTCAGCGTCGTGGTTGTATGCGGGTACCCTAGGAACTGCTGGCTGATTCATGACACCTCCCACCGTTCCTCCGCCTTGGGACATGGTTGGCCGTCCGGGAACGACGCCGCCGCCAACGGCCACTCCCTGAGGCACTGCAGTAGCCTTTTCTGGTAGCTGCTTGGGGATCGGCATTCTCGGCTGGACGGTAGGCTGCTGCTGCGTAGGGTGGGCGTGGGGATGGCCCTGCTGCAGTTGAGCTCCCATATTTGGGTTGGTGGTGGTGGCCGTAACGGCAGCCGTGTTGACGTTTGCAGACTGGTTGGGCAGGGGTGCGCTTCCAGGAGTGCTTCCAGCCGCTCTCTGGTTAGCGAGAGACATTGCTGCTGAGTGGCTGAGAGCTCGTGTTGGCTGTCCTGGGCCAGCGACGGGTGTTGCAGTTTGTGGGGTTGGTACCCGCGCTGCTGCTTGAGCAGGAGATGCAGTCTGTTGAGCAACCTGGGCCTGTGCAGCAGCCGAAGCGAGAGCGGTGTTGACTGGTGCGGGCCGCGGTGGTTCCGTCTTGATTTGCACCTGTGGCTGAGGTTGTCCTTGGGGCTGCCCTTGAGGTTGCACCTGTTGTTGCAGCTGTGCCTGTTGATGCAGCTGTGCCTGTTGTTGCTGTTGCTGCTGCTGCTGCTGCTGTTGTTGTTGCTGCTGTTGTTGTTGCTGCTGTTGCTGTTGCTGTTGCTGCATCTGCATCTGCATCTGCTGCTGCGGTGGTTGCGGTTGCTGTGGTGCCTGCATCTGTTGTTGCATCTGCGGTTGCATCTGCTGTTGGCCTTGCATATGCTGCTGCCCTGTGACGGCCGCGTTCGGAACGGGCCGTGCTTGCGGCTGCTGTGTAGGCGTAGACGCAACGCCATTTGGACCTGGGACTCGATTGGCACCAGCCATCTGTTGCTGGTTTTTGGCGGCCTCTGCGGCAGCATTGCTGGCCATTTGCGCGGCGTTCTGGGGCTTGCTGACAGCTGCTACGGCTGGAGAGGCAGCCGGCATGACTGGAGTAGCGTTGCCTGGCTGAGTTGCAGCATGAGCGGCGCCGGTGACGCCAGCAGTTGCTTGGTTGGCATGAGCCTGTGCTTGTTGAAGAGTTCCCTGCTGCTTTCGAACGCCTTCCACCCACTTGTGGGCTTCAGCGTATAGTTTGAGTTGTTGGTCTTTTCTCAGCTGGATTTGCCGCTGCTCCTCCTCCTTGAGAGGGTTTCCTTGAGCTGCCCGGTCGGTTATCAACTTCTCCCAGCTAGCAACCTTATTCTTAGTAGTTTCCATAGTCATGAGAGCTCGGGCATATCGTTCTTTCATTTCTTCGATCCACTTGGCGGCCTCGACAGACTTGTCTGCAAGCTGCACTGGGGGCCGAAATGTCATCTTATTAACATGCTGCACGTAGGCTTCGGGTATCTTGGGACGTTGCGCCGCAGCAGCAGCGGCAGCGGCCGTTGCCGTCGCTGGTGCTTGGGCATTCTGTGCCTGACCAACTGCGCCAGTAGCCGTAGCTTCATTGTTTCCTGCACCTGGTGGCTTTTGTTGCTGTGCTTGTGACTGAGCCTGTTGAGCCTGCTGTTGAGCCTGTGCCTGAGCTTGTGCCTGAGCTTGAGCTTGAGCCTGGGCTTGTGCTTGTGCTTGAGCCTGCTGTTGAGCCTGTTGCTGGGCCTGGGCTTGGGCTTGCAGAGCGGCATTCGGGGCCGGTTGCGCCTGTCCTTGCGCTTGTGCTCCTGGTGGACGGGCTTGAGGTTGTTGTTGCTGCTGCTGCTGCTGTTGTTGCTGAGCAGCATGAGTTCTCCGCTGTTGAATCTTGGTAATCAACATCTTGGAGAACTCTATAATCTTCAGTCGAGCAGCAATTTGGTCCGGGCTGTTGCTTGGGGATCCATTCATCTTGGTCCAGAGGCCCCGCAATCCTTGCTCGTACTTGGTCTTCTCGTCATCGCTTAGATATGGGAGGTTCTTGATCTGGCCTGGCTGGTACATGGGAGGCCGGTTCTGAGCAGCAGGAGCCTGTACGCCCTGAGGCTGGGGCTGGCCTTGCTGGGCCATCTGGCCCGGGGCGGTATTCATTGTCGTTCGCCGATCGGGTGCGCGCTAATACTCGGCGGATGGGCAAGGGCTGGCAGCTGCGAAATACAACACGACAAGCGGTACCGATGGGACAGATTGATACGCAATATCACTGCAATAAAATCTGATGAGGGAGCACTGGGTGGAAGACGCGTTGTGAAGTTGAAGTTGAGGTTCGCTGGGAAGGCTATCGCAGTTGCCTCGCGATGCGCCACTCCACCAATCAGATTCGCCCCAGCAACGGGTGAGCGTTTGCGTCGGCACGGAGCCGGGGCTTAACCGGCGCGCGAGACGGTCTCGTTATATAAGCCAGCATCACTCTTAAACGCTTAAAACGCCGCAATATACAAAGTTTGTCGTATCAAATGTTGGACGAACGAATCTACATGTCTTTGCTGAGCATAAACAACCCATGTAAATCTCAGCCTGAACAGCTATAATCAATGCGCAGTTTGGTCCCCGATGCCTTTTACCTGCGGTTGTGTCTATTTTCGGCATATTGGTACATTTGACCATATTAGGTCAAAGCTCTGACATTCGCATTTCGCCGTGTAATTGAACTTGTCCTCAAAAGAGTACCGAATCATCTTTTGCCCGTGGACTTGGCAAAACTACAAAACCCAATGAAGAAGGGGGAGAGTAGCATGATGATTTGGCGCATATCATTCCGTGGAGAAGTCTCCTGAGAGCTGCAGATCTACAGCACCAGACTGGAGATGTTTTCCGCGGCAGCTCCTCCTGCTCCCGTGGGCCTTCTTCAGCTTGCTGACTTGTCTGCTGTGCCTGATTCAAGTAAGAGTGGGCGAATCCCCATATCAACTCTACAGGCATACTGTGTAGCATTGGATGCCGACTAAGGTAGGTACATACTCATGCTAGTAGTCGTGGTAGCAGCTTACGAGGGGCACTTGTTCGCATGGAAAACAAAGCAGAGATTAGCACCGATTGGGTATCTAGATATATTACGCGGTATGCCTCATATTAGGAGGCTTGTCGAGACCAGTGCGTCTATGTCTACATTCAAGCCTCTTCTCATGCAGACAAACCCTCCTGAGTGAGCCTGAGCTGTGTTGTCGAGTTAGAGCACATCTTGCCCATTGTAGAGGTATGTACATGCACTGTCACTAACACAGGCCAATGCCCCGAACAACGAATTGATGATGTTTGCAACTACTGGGTACTCACCATGGCCATCCAATCAAGCAGTCCTCGCTTTGGAGACCAACCTACTCCTGTACCTGTCCAGGCACATACATACGATGCCCCGTTTATATGTCAGAAGCATGATGAGGTGGCTGCATTGTTGCAGCGAGGGACAAATCAAGGGGCACCAGCCTCAACACCTGGTATCCAGACGTAATCTCGTGTTGACCCAAAAGAGAGCTGGAGAGAACGAGACAGACATGGGAGAAAAAAAACCCCGCATCGTTTCCTGGCGGATTCCACCGAAAGATGGAATGTTCTTTTCCGATGGAAGCAGGTTTGGGGAGCAGTCCAAGTGGGCAATAAGGCCACCACGGGCAATTCGTCCAAGCATTGCTGCCCAATGCGAGCGACGATCCCCTGTCGCGGTGGATCGAGGTCAAGGTACGAAGCATCATCTAGACGGAGTTGTCAGAACCGCCAGGATGCCGCGCCCTTGCATCCGAGAGGAAGGAAGAGGGAGCGACTGGATGGCATTTTGTCGATGCGCCGGGCAGTAAACAAAGGGACACGGCCAAATCAGTGGAAGCCAATCAACCACAAGATTCGCTGGCGGCCGCAGTTCTCAGCGCTGGCGTCGTGCCACACCATCCGCCCTCGGAAGCTAGAGCAGCCACCAGACGGCACCAATCTGACCCAAATCCCACACGGGTTTCGTTTCGCAGTGCGTTATGCATAATGCAAATTAATCTACATGAGCATTCTGGAATTGCCAGAGAAGAACGAGTTGTCTGCGATAAGCTGGGGAGAGGAGGGAGGGAGGGGGGCACGTGCGAGCGAGGCGTGTTGTACAGGACATGCACCAGATTAATGCCAGATACATTGAAAGACTCTAAATTAGTAGATAGATAGAGTACCTCATGTACGAGACAATCGATGAGATGAGATGAGAAATCGGGCGTCATGCTTTACTATACGCACTCCGTAACTGTAGGTACCTACAAAGTATGGATGCCATGCATGGACCGTTGCAGGATCCCGCTCCCTCTCCCTCTCCCTCTCCAGATGCTGAAACAAGGTTCAAGCAGCCCGTTGACCCGACGCTTCGGCTGATGCACATGGAGTTCCATTTGATGTCCTGCGTTTTAAAGGGGCCTCGCCCGTCCCGTCCATTGATTTCCAGTTCCGTCCGCAGCGCCTCGGCCAGCCATTCACGGCCCGTCATTCGCCTGTCGCCTGCAGCTTCTCGCCAAAAAATTTGGTTCTGCAGCATCCAGGCAGCAGATCGCAGATCCGCCCAGGGCTGAATTGGGGCCCTTTTGTTTAGGTTGCTTTGTTCTGCTTTGCTTTGCCTCTTTCGCATCACTCAAACCTTGTTCCTTTGTACTCGTTATATATCCTCTTCTCTCCTCTCCTCTCCTCTCCCTTCGCCAGGTTGCCTCTCCCACTCTCTCCTCGCTTCCTCTCCTCTCCCCTCTCTCCTCCCCTCACCCCCTTGAATTGCTCCTACACCTCCCTTTTCCATCTCCTCTGCTCTCCCTCGTTTTAGCCTCCAAACAAGCTACCACTACTGTACGAGTATAAGCCGTGTGGGTGCCATCAGGTGTTACCAACACGCCGACCACCCCCAGGCCCTCCAGAAACACTATCATGCTCCCGAACACAGTCCGAGTCACTGCTTCTCCGTGCTGGAGGTTCCTGCTCTGGATCCCGACCCCTTGACGCATTTCGCCCTCTTTCGCATCCGACATCTACTGGCTAGTGTCCATTTCCATCTCGTTTTTTTTTTGCCTGTGTCTGTTTGTCGCCTCTCTCCACCTCACAAAATCGCCACGGGCCCCAGACTGCGCAATTACAAGGACAATCAACGTACGTGCCATGAATCTTGCTGTCTCTCCCCTGCCTCGATGCTGATGGTTGCAACCCCCGCGCAGCAACCGCTTGTTTTTTTCCCTTTTTTTTTTCTCATTCCAAGCGAAAACACCCCACGCAATTCCAAGACCCACGGCCAATTGATAGCAATTTCTCGCGACTCTGATCCGAGACACGAGGGTCATCGACGACCGACACAACGGACCACCCCGTGGCCAGATAAAAAGAAAGACAAACCCCAGTCATACGTTTCACACGGATTGAAATTGCTCACCTACATACAAACATACAACCTTTCTGTTACTTTAATTCCCTCGCCATCGTCGCAACCAGCCATGGGCCGACACAGCAAAAGTTCGCAGAGGCGGGCGTCAACGCCGAATTTAAAGCTCTCGCCAGCTCATGTGTCAGCGCTGCAGACCGCCGACCCAGCTTCACCGCCCGACACTCCCATCACCTCACCACACTTCCCCCGCAAGAGTGCCCAGGCGGCGTTTTATCTATTCACGAATCCCCTGGCCCAAGACCCGAACATCAGGCCCTACGGCACTGGCCATCAGTTCAGCTATCGCCCGCTGGAGCAATTGAGTCCCCGATCGTCGTCGTCGTCAGAAGCTGATGAGGAGGATGCGAGCGATGATGAAACCTCCGAAAGCGCTAGCGTTGTCAGCCTGCCAAACTCTTCGCGACGGCCGCGACGAATCTCGAGGGGGGGAATTGACTTTGATGATTTAGACGCATGTGCAGATGCGGACGCAGAGCCGGATCTGGACTCAGCGAGCTCCGAATCTGAATCTGAATCTGAATCTGAATCTGAGGCGGAGCCAGACAAGCCTAAGCGAACAGGATCCGCGCACGGTCCCGCGACAAGCACCCTCGAAGGCTGTGGCTTTACAATTGAGGACATCGATCCCATGGACAGCGACTGCGAGGGTCTGGATGTCCTCTACCCCATTGAAATCGAGTCCGACATCGAGTCTACCAGAAGTAGATCTACGTCTCGACATAGGGATTTGGACAAGGACATGATGCAAGACCTCGAGAAGCTCAACTGCAGCAACGAAGCATCCGACGATGAGGCGGAGGCCGAAGAAGAGGATGATGCGGAGTCGGAGTTCATGAGGAGGCAGCAGGAGCTGAAGCGCATTCGAAGAGTGAGCATGTCGAGCAGCTTCGGCAAGAGGACTCACAGCGAGCTAAGTGACTCGGATGACAACGACTGTGCTCTCGATGTCAACGAAGCTGGTTCCAGTGCCCGCCGCTTCCACAAAAGAGTCCACCGCGGAAGCTTGCTCTTCCAGGACCCTCCCGCACCTCGAATTGACGAGCTGGAAGAACCCAACTCGGATGAGGATGAATACGTCAGAGAGATTCGTATCGCACGAGAGCTACCATACCCTTCGGCCGAGATAATGGATACTGACTCGAGCTAAAGAGAAGGGCAGAAGGAGAAGCAACAAGAAACAAAAAAAAGAAGAAAAGAAGAAAAAAATCTTATCCACCAAAAACATTCGCAGCTTCGGCTGTCAAGGGGGGCATGTATTAAGACGTTTACGCGATGACGAATGATGTTACGATAAAATTAGAGGGGCGCATCGAAGCCTCAAAGCGAAGTTACTGCCGGACGCTGAACATTGATATATACTTGTACGGCGCAACTATCTTGCAACCTGAACCGTTGGATATCATTTACCTGGGTTGGAGATGTGATGGGAAAACATGTGTCCAGCGGAGGCGAAACCATTGCAACAAGACCCCCTTTGCGCCGTCTTTGGGTTCCATTTCAGCAAAGACCGGACCGGAGTTTCTTCCTTCGATACCTTTTAGATCATTGAGCCTGCGTCAGTTGTTTTATTTGTATTTTCTTAGACGAGCGAATATGTGGAGGTAGATGTGTTTTGACATTTTGCAGTTGATACTTGAAGACATGTGTAGAAGAAATGACAGAGTTGATAGACAATAGAAGGACATTCCTGCCGTACTGTAAGCTGCTGTTTGCTTTACATCACTTGGTCAACCATCATGAAATGTCTAGCTTGAGCGGAACACAGCAGATGAGCCCCGCTGTGGACCGTTGAAGCTCAAAAGCCACCTCGGATCTTGGTGGGGTGGCGCCGCTGTGTTAATCATCAAATCAAAGTACCAACATCAACCTCTCGCCATCAAAACATCATCCGACTCGCCAATCTCCATTGCTACATCCTGCGCTCTACGGACCTCAATCTTCTACATCACTCGGCTTTTTCACAACTCTGGAACAAAGACGAATACGCCATTTGACTGCTCCAATTCTCTCTAGACGCGTGCCGAAATCACACATCAAGCCATGGACTCGTCATTATTAGCAGCTCATCTCGAGCAAATACAAAGCTCCTGTCAGGGAATTGACTCTCTTCCGTAAGACACAGCGCCTCGCCCAAAGAAGAGAAAAGAGCTCCAAAGCTGACAACCCGGCAGTTTCCCACCTCCAAAGATCTTCACCAACGCATTGCTGTCAAATCACGACATCACATGCTTGATTCGAGATACAGAGGCCCACGAACGCGCTCTGTTTTCCGTGCCCCCGCCACCTCCCGCCACTGCCGCCGCGAGCAAACCCTTGAAATCGGTCGAGACCGAAATCAAGCCCAAGAACCGTCGGCAAACAGTCTTCAACGTTGCTTCGGGAGAAGTAACGACGGGCCCTACGACTCGCGGTGCGCCGCATCGACGCACCGCGGTGGCTGCCGTGCTGGGCGGCGAGATGCATGATGAGCTGCGGCGCGGGGAAGCAGATCGGAAAGGCGACCTGGATGTCGAGGTGTTGCTCCGCGGCGCCGAGAAGCTGTGCGGCGTGTACGAGCTGCCGGGGGCGCGGGAGCGGATCACGGCGTTGAGGTCGAGGCATCGGAATGGGAAGAACACGACGGCTTATTACGAGGCCAAGGTGGCGGAGCAGGCGGAGCAGCTGGCGAGCATGAATAAGGACTGGATGGATCAGAGTGAGAAGGACCGGGAGGAGCCTCGGGATGGAGGTGGGGATGAGTGGACGGAGGATGATTTGAGGAGGGAAGAGGAGGAGGCGAGGCAGATGGAGGCGAAGAAGAGGGAGCTGCAGGCCAGACTGAAGTCTATGGAGAAGGACCTCGGAGGGCTGAGAAACATGTACTCGTAGGAGGCAAGACGAGGAGTCGCATTAGCAGGCAGTGAGAATAACGATACCCCCTTTGTTTGAGCATGATGTTGAAATCTTCTCCAGAAAGCTATAGATCCCCATCTACATATGCGTTCACCAGCAGAAAAGAAAGACGCAAATCAATTACCCCTGAATCTCCGTCTTCTCCTTGGCCTCCTTCGCCTTGTACAGCTGCTCAAAAATGGCCGTCACATCATCAGCCCCCTCCACCACAAACTCATCATCAATAAAGATCTTGGGCACGCCCTTCATCCCCAACCTCTCCATCTCCTCCACCTCCAAATCAACATCCTCCCCGCCGCTCCCATCCTCAAGCCACCTCCTCGCCACATCCCTCTCAATCCCCGCCCTCTCCGCCGCATCACTCAAATCATCAAAGCTCGTGATATCCCCTCCCAGCTCGAAAAACATCTTCATCATCTCCGTCTGCACTTTATCCTCCAGCTCCCACCCGCCCAGCGCCCGGCCCAGGTGCGCTAGCCGGTGCGAGTCGCGCGTGTTGCCGATGCGGCCCGCAAACGTGAAGCCGAAGCCCTCCTGGTCGCCGAGCTGCGCCATCCGCGCCCGTTTTGCGGCCAGCCGGTCGGCGCCGAAGCGCTGCACGGCCATGTCCCGCACCGAGGTTGATTGGCCGTGTGGGATGGACCTGTCGAGCTGGAAGGCGTGCCAGCGGATGGCGAAGGTGGAGGATGAGGCGTTGGGGACGGTTTTCTTGAAGAGGGCGATGGCGCGGTCGATGCGGGCGCGGGCGAGGTAGCAGAAGGGGCAGACGGTGTCGGAAATGATTTTGATGTCGTAGTTTGCCATTGTGTCTTTCGTTTTGGCTCTACTTGTGATAAGATTTGAAGAGGCGGGCGTTGAGAGCTGACTCCTGTCTTGGTATATAGGGAGGTGTTTGCTGCTCCAAGACTGAACTCGTCGATGCAAATCTTCACTCTTATATAATATTTTTATGCATCCTCTTCGACAAAGGATCAAAAGTCAGCCTAAACGAGGCCAAGCCTTGTTTTTAATCTCGATTGCGCGTTCAACTCCTTCGTGGCGGCGGAAGTCCCTTCATGTCGGCGGAAGTCCGCCATAGGCAGCAGCCAGAATCTTGACCGAGAAATTGGGTTGCGGAGTGCCAATGTTGGCATTATAAATAGACCATATGTATAGGTACAATATGAAAAATAAGATGGTTTCAAAATGAGGCTGCCTAAATAGCTCCGTGTAGAATCGTCGCCGTCTACTGGTTCTGGGGTATCATTTCCTTCTATCCGTTGTGTCCGAAATATCGTCTTCAGACATGTCATACGGGCCTTTGCTATCAGCACTTGGCCTTTTGCATATACTGTCAGCATCAAGCGCTCCTCTCCCTTCTTTGCCTCTCCGCCCTATAAGGCTCATGCCGCCGTTTTCGCCCATCTTCTCGGTAAGGCTGAGCCGGCCCGGGCCTGTAGTAATCTCCTCTAGGCCGGTCCAGGCCGCGTTGCGTCAAGGATGAACGCCCACGCTGCCTGTGTCCCGGCTCCGGGGCTGAAGAAGAAGCAGGTGACGGATCTCTGGGCACAACTGGATCGTACTGTACTGCTCGATCCCAGTCTTCTAGTCTTGTGAATGGGCTCCTAAGCCATGACCGAAGCTCATGCAAAAACAGCCGTGCGTTGTCTCGGCCAAGAAATTCCGACAGCATGTCCTCTGCCTGGCCGGCGCTGCCCATGATATCCACAGTCTTCAAGATTGCAATCAAGTACTCCAACAAGAACTCAGCGTTGTTTGCTCTTCGCCGCGCCTGCGCTTGGTTTGCATCTCCTGGTTGACCCGTAGACGAAGAAGAGCCAGATTCGTCAGCATTGAGAAACGAAAATACTCGCAGTTCGCGGCGAATCCACATTCGTGCACGGGAAACAAGAGCTTCGTCGTTGCAGAACAGCCTTGGTGTCAGTTCTCGATAAAGAGAAAGCCTGTTTGAGCCGACATGCTTGGAGTATCTCTTGTGTAAGTAAACATCGCGCCGGTGTGCTTGGATTCTTTCAGCATCGAGATCATCGGCCGTAATCCTGGGGATCCTCGCTGTCCTCCTTCGAGGACGAAGAAACGATGATTGATGAGAATATGTCCTTGTTGAAGATGGCTGTTCAGGTCGTTGTGGTTTGGGCTCAATGACAGTCGTTTCGCGGCGTTCAGGGGGTCCTCGGTGCACCTTGGTAACGCCTCTCTTACACAAAGGGCACAGAGGTTTATCATAGAGCCAGTTCAATATGCAAACATAGTCAAAGCTGTCGTGTCCACAGGGGACCAGTTCGCAAGCATCGCTAACAGCGTCTAAGCAGATGACGCAGCAGTTGCCGTCGCCCAGCTGCTCTCTTGCGGCCACCTCCTGCAAGGTGTTCTGGAGGACTTTGCGCTGTAGTTCGTCATTCTCATCAGCCAGTCCGCTTTCCATGGAGGCAGCGCGACGATACTGAGGCTGTCTGCAAAGTGCTGCCAAAGAGCGTGGCGAGGATGCAGAAAAGACAAGATGCGAGGCATCGATGATGTTGCGGAATCGCTGGACTTCGATTGGCGGGGCGCGGTAGCCCAGCGGGCACAGGGCGTTTAGGCGCCCCAAGTGCGCTGGTTGGCGCCTCTACAGGGGGCTTTCAGTGGAGTCGGCCTGTAGTGTTTAAGTGCTTCTGCAAGACGCGCTTTTGTGCTAAATTGATGACAAGCAGCGCGCCATTCGCGACTTGCAGTTCCCCACATTGACGCTTTTCAACAAAGGAGCTTTCCAGCCTCAACTGCCGTCCTGTCTGCCTCCCTTTCCCGTTGGGTCATTGACTGTTTCTTTTTCTTTTGGGGCAAAAGAGATGCCGTTTTTGATCCTATAATTATAATCCATCACCTCCCGCCCTAGGTGGTTCATACGTTCGCTAGAATTCCCACTGCCGAGGCTACCATGGACGAGAACCGAAAGAAAGAGTACGAAGCTAGAGCTCAGAAAGTGCGAGCAGACCTGAAGCAATGGGAGGCAGACTGGGCAAAGACACACGACGGGAAGAAGCCGGGGAGAGAGGACATCAAGAATTCTCCCATTATAGGTGTGTTTACAGCTCTACAATCCCTCGGTATCAAGTGTCCTTGCTAAAACTGCAAAAGCCCAGAAATATAAAGACTATAATAAGCTCCGCGATATAATAGCTGGGAAACTAGTCCCTCCTCCAGACACCTCTACGTCCAAACAGAAACACGAGAAGCGTAAATCGAACGGTGCACCAGTTGGAACTCCTATGAAGCGAGCAAAGCATGCCGAGACCCCTTCGAAGCGATTGGCTCCAAACGGCGAGGAATATATGAATAGTCCGGCAATCTCCAGAAAGCTCTTTAGTCCGGCGCCAGTAACGTCCATTGGACCGACACCTCAACGAGATGGCAAGGTCCTTGGTTTATTCGATTTACTAGTGGAAAGGGAGATGAAAAGCCCAATAAAGGGGGCGAGTAACCCAGCCAGTTCCTTCGCAACCCCCAGTAAGCGCAAAAGCAACTTATTTGCGGATGCTGCAGCCAACCTTGGTCGTACTCCAACCTCGACCAGCAAACGAAAACTGTTTTCAACACCAATGAAGAAGAGAGAAGGGCAGAATACGGTCGGAACGCCTTCGTCCGTATCGAAACTACAATTCGACACTCCCGCGTTTCTAAAGAGACATTCACTCCCGACCCTCGACGAAAACACAACGTTTGACGCCCCACCGCTAAGGCTACCGCGGAAGCCTTTGGTTCGTGGCTTGAGCGAAATCGTAGCCAGCCTTCGGAAAGTCGAAGAGGAGCAGTTGGATGATGATCTCGAGGCGCTTCGTGAGGCCGAGGCCGAAGCTGAAGCTGAATTCGGAGGTCCAATTCAGCCTCCTGTTAAGCCGCAAAAACAAGAACCAAAGCAGGACATACTAGAGCCAGATAGCCAAGCTAAACAGCTGCCGTTGGGTGGATTTGATGATGAAGGAATGTACGACAGCCCTACAGAAGACGCTGTAGACCGGGACGGACGACCTATGAAGACATTCAAGAAGAAGGGCCAGAAGCGAACAACACGACGTGCCAACATGCGGCCAGTTCGGACCAAACGGCCGACGAACGTGGCAGAGGGCAACGAAAACGGTGCGGATGAGGACGAAGACGATACCGTTGCAGAAACACAAGCTCAGACGAGCAGATCAGATGTCGCAGGCGAATCTGACGGCGATTTCATAGACGGAGATGAAGACGATACCCCAGGCACAAAGGCTAAAAAGCCCGCCAAGGAGGAGGGAGCTGTAAAGAAGACGGGCCGCAAGGTGAACCAACTGGCACATGCAAACTTTCACAGGCTGAAGCTGCGTAACCATGGTGCCAAGGGCGGTCCAGGCTATAACAGCCGATTCAGAAGGAGGAGATGAAGCTGGAGGGAAATGGGTGAGCAATATTTGGGATCAATGGGAAGAGTAAGATATATTATGACGTGGGCTGTGACGGGAAATGCATACCGGGCGTTCTTCATGGAAACCGTAGACACACTTGGAAGATGTTGGAATCAAGAGCGATATGTTTGCGTTTAAACGACCTATCTTGGCCTGTAGTGATCCAATTATAAAAACGGGTGAAATCAGAAGGTGAAAATCAAGGCTAACCTTGGATAATCGAGTGTGAAGTTGTCGTACTTTGCTTCTTATTATAACAATCGAACTCTGAGTCACTGAAGGGCTGGATGGCCCCTCTCCTTTTGATAACATCTGTAATCTATCTATCCACCGTTCTGCTTATTGCGATGCTGTGAATAATAGCCCTGATATCAATGTTTTTCCAGTGTGGGCATTTAGAATGAATATGCTCAGAGACGGGGTTCTTTTCATCTAATTTTCTCTTTTATTCTATATCAAGCTCTTTTGTTCTTCTTGAGTCTCTTTTTCCCCCTCGACCTCTTTCATCCTTTTCTTCCGAACAAAGCCCAACAGCCAAAGCGCCAAACTCCCAGACCAGGCTATACAACAAAGAATCTCTCTTCCTTTTTTACACAAACACAATGCTGCACCCCTTTCTTCTTAAGCGCTCCTCCGTTTTGCTTTGTGTTTTCTTTGTGAGCAGCTTCTTTTGCAGTGTTTATCTTCTTCTTTTAACTCACAACTTTCTTCAATGCCGCTTTTTTCTCCTACTTGGCTAACTCATGTTGCATTTTAAGCCGGGATGGCATCTTTTTCTCTCTTCTCAATTTTGTACGAGTGCTCACTCTTTGCCAGAGATCTCTCCGCTTCTACCATTTCCTCTCTCTACTTTTTGTGAACATGGTTCTCTTTGATCTGTCATATCACTAGAACAGCTGGTAGCCAGGCCGACCTAATATTCGACTCGCCTCTTGTCGCCTATCACTCAATTCAGCCAGCTGGCACTGCTGGCAACAGCTGGCAACATTCTGCTGTGCTCCAAGCACAATATAAAATCTTTTCTTTTCTCTCTCTCTCTCTCTCCTGGAAAAAAAGTCACCCAGTCATCCTTTGTTTGTTTACATTTTTGCCCGCGTTCATTGTTGGTGGGATTTTGATACAACTTCGGGAGTGCGGTTCACCTTCTCTTCTTTTGCTTTCTGGGTTTTTCATTGGAGTTTACTTGACGATATTTGGAGTTTTTGTTTGATTTCATTGTATCATCTTGTCTAGACCTTGATCAGCTTGCCTATTTGCTCATTGTCGACAAATTTTGCTGTTTTGAGTTGCTTTTGCTGCGGAACAGAATGGAGGACAGGGTATCCTCTCAAGATACTCAGGAAATCTTTGCTTTTCTCAACCATAACAACATTGAAAGAGAAACTACAGTTTACACGAGCACCAGCACAACGACGATTCGTTCATGGCGTACCAGCGTTGTGAATCTCAACGGGACTGGCCGTCCATCAACACCATCTCCTGGCTCCAAGCCAGTACAACATACAGAATCAACTGAAGGATCTCTAGATCAATCCACGTCGGAATTCGCATCACCAGCGTCATCATGTTCTACCATCAAGGATTCTCAGACGACCAATTCATTGTCAAACAGCCCCAGCCGAAGTATTATTCGCTCAACCTCAATCAAGCGTTTCTATCCAGCCACTCCCTTGAGTGTTGACGTGCCAGAGTGCGTCTTACTTGCACCGAAATCTTGCTATGAAGACTTCCAACCTCCTGAAGACGTGCCCATTCTGTCAGAGAGGAAGGCTATTCAAGCTCTGTCTCTGATCACGGCGGAACGCGCTCAGACTTTCTCGGAGATGCAGTTGGACGAATTTGCAGTATATATCGACAACGACAAATTTCCAGAAGAGATGCGATCTTTGCATCATCTACACACAAAAATCGGACACAGCAGTTTCTATTTTGACGGCATTATCAGCATTGGCAGTACCAAATTCTTTGTGCGGCGTGTTCCTGTCGTTGCTGTTCCCATTGGCAACTACGGTTCAATCTCAAAACACACTGTCCGAGACAATATTTGGTTGCAATCCTCTTTGAGCTATAATAGTTCGTTGTTCTACAAGTTGGGGAAGCCAGCCAAGGAGTATGCAAGATTCTTCTACCCCTTTCTATGGGTGGCCGATTTAGCCAAACATTTTGTCGATTTTCTCTACGTAATGGCGGAGAGCAAACGCAGTGTTTCCATTCATCATTTTCGATCAACCTTTGCTGCATGGTTGAAGGAGAGCCACGGAAGATGGCCAGAATTCATTGAGTGGCTAAACCAGCATCCGAGCGATGACTACCGAACTTCAATAGCCGCCAATATAGGATTCCTGCACAAGGAGGCTTTGGGCGTGTTGGACCATCAGAAGGCGTATTCTCATGCCATCTGGGCCGAGATTTGGGAATTTCAGGCATTCAAGAGGGTTCCGAATATTCAGGAGGAACCCCCAACCATTGTCACCCAGTATATATACGACTGTTTCAAGCATCTTCCATTTGGAGATCGCCTCAAGGTTGTCCCTTTAAGTCTAAAGACCAAGACTCTCCGAAACGATTTAATCCGACAAAGGCATTTGGAGTATCCGTCAAGGTTACACCAGTCAACAAAAACACTCTCCAAGGCTGCGGAGGCGCGAATCGCGAATATCCGGCCAGGCGATACAATTTCAACCCGTCGAGATGACGCAGCATCCGGCACACTGTGGAAACGAGAGCTATCCGAGGGTTCCGCCGATGTGGACCGATGGTTTGCACTGGTACAGTCTGTTCATGTGAACGAAAAGGGGGTGCGAACGTTTGATGTGATTTGGTATTACCAGCCCGTGGACACTCTCTGTGGCCTAATGAAATATCCCTGGAACAATGAGCTTTTCCTCTCAGATCATTGCTCTTGCTCTGAGACGTCAAAGATTGAAGAAAATGAAGTCCTTGGCGTCCACGATGTTGATCTTTGGGGTACGTCTACCACTGCTGCGGAATTCTTCTGTCGACAAACCTATCTCCAAGAGAGCAGAAGGTGGGTGACTCTGGACCAAAGCCATCTTGGATGTTGTCATACCTCATCGCTCCCGTTGGAAAGCCACTCGTTAAAGGTTAGATCGGGAAATACATATCTGCTTCATTTAGACTTGAAGAGTTCCCGTTCGGAGCCATGCGAATTCATGAGCTTCGTGAGAGAAGACAAACGGAGAGTTTATCAATTCAGGAGACTGTTGCGCCGTCACCAAGTTGACCCAAATGCTCGGGATGCTCGGCCAAACGAGCTTATATACAGCGAGCAGACTTGCAAGGTCAACAGAGACCGAATCACGGGCCCGTGTTCTGTAAGATTCTTTCGAGACGGTGATGGGATTCCTACACCGTATGATCACGATGGCACAGGGAATCTCTTCTACATTACGCACCGTCAGATAGTCGCTGAAGGAGTCTCAATCTGCGTGCCATTAGAGGAAGCACCGAAATCTTTGCATCAAGGCTTTGATCCACTCCAAGAGTTGCAAAAGCTTCGTGGAATCGATTTGTTCTGCGGAGGAGGCAATTTTGGCAGAGGCCTTGAAGACGGCGGAGGTATCGAGATGAAATGGGCAAACGATTACGACGCCAAGGCCATACACACGTACATGGCCAATGTCAAGAAGCCTGGGGACGTTCACCCTTTCCTCGGCTCAATCGACGATCTGCAGCTCGCTGCCATCCAAGGCCAGTTTGCAAACAATGTGCCTCACATTGGAGACGTGGACTTTGTGTCGGGCGGCAGCCCCTGTCCTGGCTTCTCCCGCCTCACCAACGATAAGACGACAGCAGCACAGAGAAAGAATCAGTCTCTTGTTGCGGCTTTTGCGTCCTTTGCGGATCTCTATCGACCAAAATACGGCGTCCTGGAGAATGTACTTGGAATGATACACAAGAAGGAGAGCCGGAATCAAGATGTTTTCAGCCAGCTCATTTGCTCTCTAGTTGGCCTGGGCTACCAGACACAGTTTTTCTTCTTGGACGCATCGTCTTGCGGTTCGCCGCAGCCCAGACCGCGCATATTCGTTGTCTTCGCCGCTCCGGGGCTTGAACTGCCAACAAAGCCGGTGCAAACACACTCTCATCCCCCCAAGATCCGAGGGGTTGGAGTTGGATGGTTGCCCAATGGCCAGCACATGGCAACTCGGGAGATGCCTGCAGCCACTCCGTTCAAGTACATATCAGCAGAAGAAGCGACGGCCGACTTGCCACCCATTCACGATGCCAAGCCTGATATATGCGTGGCCTATCCCGACCACCGCTCGCATTCCAGTACGAAGACGGAGCGAGCTCGAATCTCAGTCATCCCAGTTCGGCCGTGGGGTATGAGTTTTGCGCAAGCTTGGTACGGAGAGGACAAGGCAAAAGGCGGCTCGGGCACGATGACTACAGCTGAGCGTGGGCTGTTCCCTGGGACGAATCAAGAGATGGACGTGTCAAAGCAGCCATTGTCGGTGCAGCCCCAGTCGAATGCGTACGGGAGAATGTTTCCAAATAAGCTGTTTAATACAGTCACGACCAGACCGACGACAAACGATGCAAAGAACGGGCGACTATTGCATTGGCGAGAAAACAGACTGATAAGCGTCATGGAGGCACGCAGAGCGCAAGGGTTTCGCGATGAAGAAGTTCTACTCGGCGATCCAACGAATCAGTATAGAATCGTGGGCAACAGCGTCGCGAGACAAGTTGCCGTTGCGCTTGGAGTAAAGTTTCGCGAAGCGTGGGTGACGAGTTTGAAGAGGAACAGGGAACTCGAGCGTGCAAGCAGCCGAGGAGCTGGAAGAGTTGAAGACTTTGCAGAGGATCGAGTCACTTTGGAGACTATTGCGATGAATGATGGAAAGGGCACATCGGCAAGGCAGCTCAAGGCCTTGAGGATTAGAGCACGAAGCACTAGGGATTTGACAACATCGACAAGTGTGGATGAGGCGCGAGGAAGCGGCAGAAGGGCCTCTACACAGATCCAAGAGACGCCTGTGAGGAATAAAGGGTTACGTTCGACTAGTGTGGTGGTGGAAATACCCCAGTTTTCGAAGAGAAGAAGGTTGAATATGAACTGAATATCATGTATTGGTTGTTGTTGGATGGAGCTCGGCGTTGGACAGTTTTGCGGTTGAGAGTTGATGAATTAATCTAGGTATACACTGTAGAGTATAACATGTACAAGTCTATATCGTGCAATATGAATAATTAAGCAGAGACTCGCATCTCTCGAATTAAGAATGACGGCATATTCTCAACCACATTTCCTGTAGCCATCACAAGGATGTATGCTATTGCAGGGTATGTGTGTATACGCCGATCCAAAACACCAAGACATTGATTGTGCTGTGCTGTACAGTATGAACCTCTCCGCGTCCTTTAGCCTCGAGAGTATTGCCTAAATAGAATCCTTGTCTCGCCAAAATACGACCTGTCAACTTGACAAACTGCAAGAGATCTACGGGAATACACTCAACGCGATGTGCATCGGGAAATGCTCATTTACGAGGTTGTCATTTAGCCTTGCCAAGGTTACTAAGCGCTTGGAGAGGGAGCAAGCATCAAACAAGGGTGTCTGTAATTAAAGTACCGCGTGGGTAGCCTTGCCGTATTTCATCAGAGACAAGCTTACTTGTACGTACATATTACAGCACGAGACTTGTTCGTGTATGAGTGGTACACGAAGGATGCGGACACTTCACCGTCATGTCATGTTCTTACTCGTACGTGTACAAAAGTGAGTAATGTATGCGTGGTTGGCCAGTCATGTAAGAGTAAGACTGACAGACTCCAAACATTGTCAACATTGCCCGCCAAGGGGATCCTGATCATTACCGACAGCTGCATGCACGGTAAGCAAGCAAGCAAGCAAGCAAGCAAGCCATGGGCTGTTTTATTTTAAGCACACAGCCAGCCACAGACGCCGAAGCATCGAACCCGAGAATCCGGCTCTCGGCTCTCAGACGGGTTGAAAGAGAAGGGGGAAAAAAAGGACCGAAACTTGAAGCAAGCTCTTCGGGGGGACGATCGACGAACGACTTGTTTCGGGCGATTGGCCATGCATGTCCCACGACGGGCTGGCTTTGGTCTCATCTGCCAGTGCACTGCATGTTGAATGTTGAGCTACCCTCGGCGCTGCCTTGTCAATTTCCCCATTGGGGAATGCCTTTGGGCTGGGATCTGGTGCTAGCTCTGACGTATCGACAGGACACCCGGTCATCAAACATGGCGGCGGGTTGGCGATATTACCGAAGCCGTGTCTCCATATTGGACTTGCTATAGTACTATACAAGTACAAGTAAGTATATACGCCTGACGCGTTACATGTCTTGGCAGTCAGCCGAATACCTATGACCAAGGGCGGAGGAGGATGAAGAAGCAAAAAGGACGAGAAAGCAGGAAGACGGCGAAGCAACAACCTGCGAGTATGCAGGAGCAAAAGCTACGGACGGCGCTGACTGACTGACTGACTTGGGGGCACTAAACCCTCGCCATGCACACACATGGTGATTTGCAACACGCATGTCGGCATGCATGTGCGTTGCGTTGCTCCGACCTGATGGGTAAGCTAAGCTGAGAGTCTTTGCCCCTGCCCCTGCCCCTGCCCCATTGCCCCTTGTCCCTTGCCCCTGTTCGCTTCAGAAGCTCAATCTGCGACCTCTAGCAGGAAAACGCAATGACGGGGGTGGTCACGCATGCAAAAACTAGCAATGCTCAACTCCATGGGGTAATTCGACGCGGTCCTGGGCACGAATCGGCGCCATCCTCGGTGTTGCGAGTGATGTTCCTGGACAAACCTATTCAAGGCTCCGCACGACACATGCCAGTACGATACAGCTTCACATGTTTTTTACTGCTTCTTCTTCTTTCTTCCATCCTTTTCTTACTGTATACTCCGTATTTGTCTTTTCGTAGATATTACCTAAACTAGCACTTAGCCGCAAACGAAGAGATCCCGTCTTGTCCCCCCCTGTTGTGCGCCGGCGAATTGCGGAAAGTCCCTTTGAGCCAACTTTTTGGGGCGAGTTTCACCGAGGGCGGCACGGGCTGTACAAGTAGCTTGGAAGAGGCTGTGATTTTCCCTTTTACCCCTCACGACCGACTTTATATGCCGCGTCGCACGAACGGTTTGTTCTGTAGGAAGATGTGGTGGTAATACATCCTCATCCTCTGGGCATGATGGTGTGCCCGGAGCAATACGACCTTGTTTATGTGTGTGTGAGGTACGGTACGTACTTTGAACTTTGTACTCCGGGCCCGGGATACAGATTTGGAGATTTGCAAAATGCTACCGTGTCCGTTGAAATACTTGTAGGTACTGTGAAGCCGTGTATAATACCTAGAAAATAGAAATGGAAATCCCTAGCACAGCTGAAGTGGGCGTCCGGATCCGTGAGGACCCGGTGGCCGAAAGTGGTTTGCAATCCCGCCGCCACGTGGGCGACACGGACCGGCATCGGCGTGGGAAAAACAAGAAAAGAAAGACAAGGAACAAGGCTACTGTGTATCCGCCGGTGCGAAAAGGGCAAAAGGGAAGCCTGGGTATTAGGTTAGTACTACATACGAGTATCTGGCTGTACACTGGTAGAGCAAGGTAGCAAACTCGTACAAAGTAAGACGAAAACGAAGATGGCTTCATCGTGCCACCCCGGCTTGGGCCCCATGTCAGGAACCCGAGTCGTGGATGGCAAGCGAGCGCGCAAATCGACGTCGCCAAGGTTCCGAAAGTACCGACAGGGAGCGGAAACTACAGAATCGCAGGGCAACCTGGCAGTGCTAATTAATAGGTACTAGGTAGGTAATACTATTCGTACAGGTATATCAGCGCCTGGAGATGTAATTTCAAATTGTTTGCCTGCATGTCAGTCGGGCCTCTATAGGTAGGTGTAGTAATGCCATCAGGCTGCAAGTATATGTACGAGTACTCGCATGTATACAAAGTACCTACCTTGGGACAATAGCCACGACAGAGGAAACAAAGATGGCATTTCGTGTATTCGATATTCTCCATTTGGTACTAATGTAGCCCTGCATCTGGTACGAGTACTGCTCGGGCACTTGGAGGTACATACGTGTGCATGTGCTTCTTTTCTTTTGTTTGCTTTTGCTTGCCCCGGTCCCTCTATTTAGTCGTCTTACTGTATCATCTCAGCCTTGACTTGAGCCGTAGCTTTACATCATCTGCTGACTTGATCGCAGCTTTAGTAGAAAGAAAAAGGACAAGGAACGTGATAGAATCCCTAGTACCTTTTGTACCTTATTTTGAGCTGGATAGGTATTAGCCGGTTAGATCTGCAGGTACGGGGTTTCTGTTACCGAAGGAGCACATGTGAGCTCCTGACTATTGCATGTCGACAAGGCCGCTACTTTAGAACACATGCACATCAGGCGCTGCACACAAGTACCAGCACCAGCCACGATCCTCTTCCTCTTGTTGCCTGAGGCGGACAAAGTCGAGCAACACCGCAGAGAGAGTGTTTCAGCTCTTCTTTTTCTCTTCCCATCTCCATTTCCCCTCCTTTCTGCTTTCTGGGTTTGATCAGATCAGGCCCTGGCTGGATGCAAGCACAAACACGTCTCAACATTGCCACAGATAACAAGCAACACAACAGACGGCGCCATTTGGCTGCACGAGACCGTCTCCAGAAAAAAAAAAGACGGAAAGATGGGGGCGATGGAGCCGCTCTTGAAACCGGCGACGATTCGGGCATGGCCGACACCTCAATGCGTCGGATCGCTCTTCTTACGCCCAGAGAAGCAACGAGCACTTGTTCGTAGCACGAAGCACTACTGCTTAGCACCATGTGCGGGTACCATGCCGAATGAAGTACCGAGCAGGTATTCATTTTACTTGAGGTTGCTATTGAGAAGCTACGGTACGGAAGAAAAGAACTGCTACTAGCCATGTCACTTTGAAGTAGTCTGCCCGCCGAAAGAAATCTCGATGCTATTACTGTCCGATGCCAAGTGTTGCTATGGAATCAAGACCATGGGGAGCCAACTGACATCGAAAAGGCTCACCCTCACCCATGGGGCCAGTAGCAGGGGCCCGATGCCTTCCCATGAGCCTCGGATCTCGTGAGCACCGCTGCACACGGACAAGGCGAAAGTGAATCAATGCGACAATCAACATGCTCGTACAAGCACACACAGCCTTTGATCGTGGGAAGTGCTCTTTGTGGCCTTCCGAGCCCGACTCCGCAGTGCATGGGGCTGTTAGTTGCAGGGTCTTGCTGGGCCAACGGCAACTAACACTAACCTCTGGCCCTCCACTTGCTTTTCTTTCTGGAATCTGGCAAGGAACGTTTGGTACGGCGACCGGGACCTCGGGAGTAAGGAGACAGTCGCACCGTATTGCCACTAAGACCTGGCTGTGCGAGCTTGGCCATCTGGCTAAAAGCATGTTGCCGGCACAGTTTCGCCTCGCACGGAGTTAATGCAGCCCGATGGAGTCGAGCTCTCAAACAGGCATCCCATGCCATGCTTCTGCCACTTCCTGTTTTTTTTTGCTTGCCCGTGTGTTTTGTGCGTTTTCACGTGCCTGGGCTGGGCGGACCCCCCGGCTTCTGCTACAGTATTCGTGCTTGGCCGCAGCAACTTTACTCATTGCCGTACCCTCGGTTGGTGGTTAAACATGTTGAATGATGACTCCATCATGCATGGCGGCTCATGAAACTCCGAATCTTCTTCCAGCTACAACAAAGTATGGAGAACCGGCTGCCCTCTCATTAAATAGGGTTCAATGCAACGGCCAGAGTTACCTTGGTTGGGCAAAGAACGATCCAAGGAGAGTTTGAGCGAAACCACACTCTAGCGCCTTTTGAGGCCGGAACGGTTCCCTACTCGGCCGTACCGCCTGGGCTGGAGCAGCACAACGGTCGGTGCCGTGTCGTGCATCGGGCATGTGAGAGGGAACAATCACTCGTCCAAAGGGCATTGTGGAATGGGTAAATGAGGAGGAGGAGGAGGAGGAGGAGGTTAGGTCGATGCCGGACGAGATGTCGACAGCATCGAGTGCGAGAATGGAGCACCAAGCCCGAAAATGGAGTGCGAGAATGGGGCACGCACATGTTGTGCCCGTTTGTGGGAGCTCACGCACACCATCCTGTGTCCCGTCTTGAGGTTCCATTGCAGGAACAAGGAGGACCGGCTGTCGCCGCCTCGCAAGTGAGCCGGGCTGCGCCTTCTTTGCAAGCCCGGTCGGTTGATTTCGATCCGATGAGTTCGTGCTGTAAGACTGCCACTGCCGTAACTGGCCATGACAAGCATCATCACTCGTACCGTACTGCAGAGTACAGGACTCGAACCCACACAGCAAGGCAAAGACAAGGCAAGGCAAAGACGAGGCAAGGCAAAGACAAGGCAAAGACAAGGCCGAGGGCCAGGACACTGTCCGTACTCGCACTGCCCTCATCGCTCGCTGGGCTTTGAGCTTGAACAAGAAATCGAGTCGCACAAAGTCCCTGCCAGGTACCCACGTCGTACCACATTCAACCTGTCGCTGCTGCGGCTTGTTTTATGGCTTGCTGCTTGTGCTTGCGGTCTCCACTGCAAGCGCCCAGGCCCCGTCCCTAATCAATCAAGACTGCCGGCCCTGCTCGCACCAAAATAGCGAGCCTCCTTCAATCCAAAGGCACCGGCATCTCATTTTCTTTTCCTGCCAGTTGCTCCTGGAGAGCTCCCCAAGCTTACCGGGATCCCGTCACTCCTCTTTTTCCTTTTTCTACTTCGTCCCATCCATTCCCGTCTCTCTCTTTTCTCTTCCATTGTCCCATCCAACGCATTGGGCCCTCGCTGGCTTCGACGGAATTGACCTCGACTCTGTTGCTATTCTTCTTGGCCTTGGCTACCTTACTTCTTTCAGCACCCAAAGCCGTCGACCCAGAAAGGATCCTCTCTCTTTATTTTACTTTTAATTTTTTCCCCCGTCAACTTTCCGGGTCACGAGATTGCCGTTTTCGACACTTCTCACACAACCCCACACACTACGCGAGACCTTAGACGGGGCCCTGGACGTGTGTTTGAGAAGTCTGTTTCTGTACCAAGTCTCCAAGAGACCGTGTCTCAGAACAAGAGTGAGACTCGACGAAGCGGCGAAACCTGAACGGCCCTGCAGCTGGACGCGCTGGGTGGCGACTGCGACTTACATCGACGCCGGCCGGGTGCCTTTTCTTTTTTTTTTATATGACCAGTTACTACCAATTTGCCAATATTACAGCCTTACAAAGCACCGACGACCAGCATTGGAATTATTCATCCTGACCAGGGCCTCACCATCGAATCCTCGGGTGCGGCGACACACACAAATTGCACGCCAAGTACGCAAAAGGGTCGTCGACGACGAGCGGCCAACGCAACTCCATATCCGTACAACGCATTAGGCTCACGCGCAGGTCGTTGGGAATTCCTTGCAGACGCACCCGCAACGATCATCCGTCGCCAGCGCTGCTGCATATAATCGTGGGATACTTGCACGACAACCATAGGTCTTGGACGTTTTCCCGCGTGGACCGCCTCTTTTTCCGCCTTTGCTTTCGCCGCTCGATATCACAGTACAGCTCAACCGCGTGCGCCATGACATATATTGTAAGTCGTTTGATATCTGCATCCCAATGTCTCTACTGCACATCACATGCATCGATCCTTCTCGCTTCCCTGCAATGCCACTTATTCACTCCCCTCTCTCTCATGCATGTTGCATGCACTCCTCACCCATGCAGCATGTACATATGCGCGACCCAACTGCAAAGCTGCATTCGTTCTGCACGCTTCTCCAATAGCACTGCACCACATCCGGCACCCAACAGGTTGGCGGCTGGCATGGGCTCAGTTTCCCTGTTCTTGTTTTCGTTGCTTTTTCGTTCCCTGCTTCGCTTCTCCCTCTCCTTGCATTGGCTGCTTAGTTAGGCTGCCTTCTCTCTTCCCTTTACTTGGAGCTCCGCACCATGGCTTTGTGTTGGCGATAGGTTGTGGATATGCCGTTGAAAGCCTTCGTCATTTTGCCACCATAACCGCTTGCTTCCCACTGCCAGAGCAGCTGGAGTTACCACGTCATGTCTGTTGCATCTCTCTTCACAAATGTGCAAGCATCCGCACACCGCTTTCAGGCAGTCTGCTCCTCCATCTGCCCGCATGATCTCTCCACGGGTGTTGCTGGAGGCCGCCAAGAGAGCACAAACATTTACCTCTCGATCCTTTCTATGCATTGGTAGTTCTTCCATTGGACGAGTGTCCTAGTCTGTAGTACAGCTTCCCTCTAAACAAGAGAAGAAGGAAGGAAAAGAAGGGGAGGAAAACCACCTGCGACACGCTCGGTCGAGGCTCAGATGGCACAAGCATTCCTGTGCGTGCTGTTGTTCCGCACGCCTCTCAACTATGCTTGATAAGGGATTCAAGGGGTACCCTTCTCAGCAATCTTCTTGACTTCGCTGCGACCCTTCATTTCGTAGCTACTGGCATTCATTGGATTTCATCCTCGCATTGATACACCCCTTCAAAAAGGCACAGTTACCCTTTCATGGTAGTAATTACTGCTTCACCCACTTCCTTTCCTACCCTAATCACCGACTCATCTATTCTACCCATACTCATACGCACGACATTTATTGGCTCAACATGGACCCCACGCGCATGCTAATCCTTCATCTGCAGCTATGTCTGGCCCATTACTGTGACATCCATGGGCCAACTCCCCTGATGGTCACCGAGGGTCTGGCAACGCCCTGTAGCGTCTGCTACGAAGGTTCAGCCGCAGCAAGCGACAAACCCCCACGCTCGGCTCCAGCTACATCGGAGCCGCAGCCTCGGGCGTCTTCAGCCGCAGTTACCGACGGTATTCGAGATTTGAGCTTATCACAGGATGGCCAGTCTCCTCGCCCAACTTTACGTCGATCTCCCGGCACTGGTGCCAGCACCGGTAATGACGGCGGCCTGGACACGCCTCCCGAGAGCCCACGGCCCTTGTCGCAGCAGCCACGGCGAGATTCGAGTTACCGTAGGACCTATGACGAAACTGTAACCCGAAAACAAGGCCCTTGCGACAATTGCGCCATGACGTTGCCCCGCAGGCAGCAAAACGCAGCGGCCGCTGGGGAAGACGCCATTGACCCGCGATCACCAACCTTGCGTACCCGCGCGCCAGCCGAGCGTGTCTTTCTCCCCGTCGACCCAGCCTCGCCCCCAAATTCGCAGTCATCTAGTGACACAGATGCGGATCACGAGCTTCCGAGGCAGCCTCGCAGTAGGAGAAATGTGTCGTCTGTCAGTTCTCGGACTACATCGTGCTCTAGTACGTCTACGACTTCTGAGCGTCACCCCAGCCATGTGCACTACGTGGATTACACATCGACTCATGAGCCAATCCTACCCGACTCCTTTTCTCTGATTCGTGCCTCATGTCTGCGAGCTCTGTCTTTTGAAACTCTCCCGCGAGCTCCTTCAACCGCCACGCCAGCCTCTTCCCCCCAACACCACAACTCTCCGTCCTTTGTCACCACGCAAAGTGCAGGCTCGGCCGCGTCGGGTGGTGCCATCTTCTTTGGCGATTCGTTAGCTGGGTACACAACGGCTTACATCTTTCGAATCCCTGACGTCCACGCCCGAGGCCACAAACGAGTCTATGCCTTCTTAGCCCTGAGCACTCACAAAGAGAGACTGGCCATGAAAACATTTGCCATCGTTTCCTCTGCCTTCCGGGAGCTCGCTACTTGGATCCAAACGCTTGCCGAGTCCGAGGCTGAGCGCACCGCAGAATCTTCCCCTATTGGCAGCGTCTTACAGAGCGGCGGACCTAGCAGCCATGTGGCATCATCGTCCACCATGGACGCACCGAATGTGGATCGCAGCGGCAGCAGCTTTCTGACGGGAGGCAGCGGCTTCACCAGACGCATGGGAGGCCCTGGTGGCGTCTCCTCACTCAAAGCCCGTGGCCTTGCGGAGCTTGTCGGACAGCCAGACTTCTTCATCACCCTGCACAAGAAATTCGTGCAGCTCTTGTTCGAAGTAGGCGTGTCTTTGAACTCATAAATGGAGCGAGGGCTCCACGCCTCTGCGCTGCGCAATCGCCGAGGTCCCCCTACTTGTACAGTTTTTCTTTCCCATAGTTTCTACTGATACCCGCCGAACGGCACTGCGAAGCATCATTCAGGGGGGATCCGGGGATTTACACGACTTGATTTGTTCCCCAACTGTCTCACGAGGCACAATCTCGTGCTTCTTGGTACCGTGTTCATTGTCAGCATAGCACCGGTGTTTGTCCTTTTCTTGTTTACACGAACTGAAACGAGACGTATTGATAATGGTAACGCGAGCAAGCTCGACCATATAACGTCTGGGGGGAAGGATGTCTTTTTTCTTTTCTTTCTTTTTTTTCTTGTTACTTCATTTCTACAACTGTATTGATTTATCCTACTGTTTGCAACGCGATGACTATGATACTGTCTTATTCTCTCAAGTCAATGGGTCGTGTGTCGTTTTTAGTAGCGAGGGAAAGGATCAAGGCTGGATGAAGCGAAAACGCCAAACTAATTTCATAGATGCGAATTAGCGGACTGGGAAAACAAAAATGGGAACTTGTTAGGATAACCAAAAACACAAAAAAAAAAGTATGGCCAAACAACAGAAAAACAAAAGGAACGGAGAGCGGTGGGCGCTCTCTGCTGGAAGGCTTTTACACGCATGGTTTACTAGCGAGAAACGGATTCTTGTTTTAATTGACTGATTGATTTCTATGCTTCATAACCATTTTCTTTGTGAGGGTTGGAGTTGTTGTAGAATGATGTGCTTGCTTTTTATCTACGTGCTTCTTTAGTACTGAAGCATTGCCATCTACCTTGGTTAACCATCTCAGTACAATATCCAATTATTTACGGCGGCTGATTTGTCTTGTCAAGCACTCTTTAATTTGCACATCAACGGCGTTTACTATAATTACAAGCAGAGAGAATTCATGGCAAGTTGTTGCACAACGGCCCTGGACGACTAGATCCCAACGCCGTAGATCCATTAAAGACGGCATCAACTGCTATCTTTTGGTTTTTTTTTTCGGTTCATCTCCCGAGGTTTGATCAATTCCCTTTCTCCTCCTCCCATTTCCTGCCCAGGAACTTTTTTTTCCACATTCACATTCAGAAAAAGAAGCCAAGCCGCCTGTATCTAATAAATAGTTGACGAGTTTCCCCTGTCCACCAACCCCCCCTTCCTTGCCCTCCTTAACATTATCGCATCTCATGTTGGTCGACAACAGCCTTCGTCGGATAGACAAGGGCGGGGTTAGTTTATTTGTAAAAGTCGAATTTGTTATCGTCGCTGGTTCCCTTGACCTGGCTTGAGTAAGCATCCTCAAGATCGGTCTGGATAATGTTGTATCGATTCTTGCGGACGGCGCGGAGACCGGCCTCCTGCATGATGGCAGCGATGACGGCGCCGGAAAGAGGGTCGTTGCGGACAATCAAGCTGTCGAGATCGACCTCGGGGGCCAGGCTCATCTTGCTGGCAATGGTACTGAAGATGAGACGACGCTCGCGGCGATCTCTCAGGGAGGGGAACTCAATCTTTCGATCGAGACGGCCGGGACGCAGCAGGGCGGGATCCAGGGTGTCGGCGCGGTTCGTGGCCATGATGACCTTGACGTTGGAGGTCTGATCGAAGCCGTCCATCTGGTTGAGCAGCTCGAGCAGAATACGCTGGACCTCACGATCGGCACCGGTCTGGGCATCGAATCGCTTCGTGGCGATGGCGTCGATTTCGTCAATGAAGATGATGGCGGGCGAATTCTCGCGTGCCATGCGGAAAACGTCGCGGACCATTCGGGGACCTTCTCCCAAGTACTTCTGGACGAATTCCGAGCCAACGACGCGGATGAAACTGGCCGTTGTAGAGTTGGCAACGGCCTTGACAAGCATGGTCTTGCCAGTTCCGGGCGGGCCGTATAGCAGGACACCGCGAGGAGGGTCGATACCAATTTGCTTGTACAGATCAAAATGTGTCAGGGGCAACTCGACGGCCTCTCGGATTTCCTGCTTCTGCATATCCAAGCCACCGACGTCGGCATATGTCACATCGGGCTTCTCGTCGGCGCCGAGCATGGCAATGGAGGAGTCGGCTTCCGGCGGGAGGATATCGACGAGGGCGTTGGAGTGTCTGTGCAGGGCAACTGAGGAGGAGGGCTTGAGCAGTTCGCGGTCGAGGGTGGATAGGATGCGGACAACATAGTTGGAGCCTGTGCTTGACTGGACAATGCCGGTGCTGCGGGGAGGGTTAGATGAGGAAACTTTGCAACAAGTGGTTGAGTTGGGGGAATTGGTTTACTTCTGATCGATGGCCTCCATAAACTGGCCGATGACGAGGGGTACGCTCTGGATTCGCTTGATCTCCTCCTGAGCTCGTACTAGTTCTCGCTTCAAACTCCTGCGGGGCGGAATCGGAAGAGTCAGCTTTCACCTTAGGTTGCGGGAATGGTGGATGAAGGCCTTCATAGGGTCCAGGGGCAGAATCTAACCTTTGCTCGTCTTTGATGTATTCCTCTTGCAGCTGGATATACCTGAACAGGTGGTTAGCGGCCGTAGTTCCCAAGTGCGATGGTATCCAGAGGGGCGCTTTGCATGGAACGCCACGGCAAAGGGGAAGCATTACTCCAACTGCCTCTGAAGCTTCTTCAGGGTCGCATAGTCATCCTCGCCATCGGTGGGCAAGCCCTCGAAGTCGTCAATGTTGGGAATGGCTGAGGGGGCGGCCTTCTTGTGAGGCGGCACGGTGGTGGCCTGGCTTTCCACGAGGACGTCGCCCATGATGCAGGTCGCGGGGCCGATGCTTGGCTTGCGATTCGGGGGGGTTTTTGAGATGGAAAAGAATGAAAAGAGAGAGATCGAATCGAAGCGTGAGTCTGTTGTGTTGCGATGCTGGGATGCAAAGATTTCGACGAGTTGTTAGCCAGCTACTTCGTTACGCAACCAAAGCTCCCAGCTTACCAGGCGTCAACAGCGAGACGCAGCCTTTCCTGGGACTGCTTAGTCACGTCACGTGGTATGCACGTTATCGCGATAACAGCTTGAGCTTGTGCTTAGGTACCTTGTACCTCGTACTTTGTACCTTGTACCTTGTACTCCGTACGGGTCTGTATCAGACAAAGACGGTCTCAGTTGGTCGATTTCCAAGCTAAGGCCCAATCCGGCACCTTGGTGAGCAAGGCGGCGCTCTATTGGCTCAATGTTAGTGCTTGCATCAACCAGTGCCTAAAACCAGCCCGATCCAAGTACACTTGCTATGAGACCACCACCAAGACAGTACCTACTTGGAGTCGATGAGCTGTAAGAAGCACAGCACAGCTAGCCACGGTGAAAAAGGCAAAGGCCCCAAGCCCAAGCCCAAGCCCGGTGCAGCCCAGCCCAGCTCAGGCGACCTCGAGCCCTCCGATTGGGCCTCAGCCGTGGCGCCGTCATGCATCGGGCGTGGGGAACACGCTCCCTGTCAAGCCACCTGGTACTTGTCGTTGCTAAGGACCTCACCAGCCGTGACAGCTGGCTCTAATGCCGTCAAGGTACCTGCCGCTGCCCAGCGAGCGATAAGGCATCCATCACGGGATGATGATCCGTCTCCATGCGTACGGAGCACCTACCTAGGCGTGAATCAGACCCAGACCCAAGCCTGTGGCAGACAGCCACTGCACTGCACTGTATGTAGGTACTGTACGAGTACGGACATGAGCATGGACCCAGCGCCAACGTCGAGGGGACTCGTCTGTACTGGCTACCCGCGGCACTGTGCATGGCGCCTCATTCCGCCATCGGGCAATGTAGCCGTGACTTGTCGTGCTCTTTCCCCTTCCGATCGCCCACTGTCCGGCATGTACTGCCTACATGGGGCCTACATGAGCGCTGCCTTACATGTCATGTACTCTGGCGCATGTGCGTACGTACAGGAACCGTCACAGCGCATGGGAGGCTCCGGACTCGCGCACCGTCTCCGAGAACAAGGTTTCCGCTACGAGGTACCGCCCAGGTAGTCTGTACGCCGGCTTGGGAGCTGCTTCACAGTGATCAAGGCTGCCGTTCTCCAAATCCCGGGATGCTCATCTCGCCTACCTGGACCTTCTTCGTCACACTTTCGTCTTTTGGCCTCACACCACTTCTCGCAACGCTCGCAACAAGGCTTTTCCCACGCCGCCGTCGGGCTTCGCAAATCCTGTCCGCTTCCGCCTGGATACTGACTTGATCCGTCTCTTGCCTGCCCTACCTCATCGTCCGTCTATTTGCCCCTCTTGGCCCTGCCGTTCGGTTCATTCCGGTGCACTCGACGTGGTTTCATTCTATTCTTCCCGACTCCCCTCTTCTGCGGCATCCAACATTCACCCAGACTTTGGCCCAGCTGCCCTCGCCACCCTCGTTCTCGGCCAAGTATGTCTTCGTCAATCAAGATCCCGGCAGCACTGTCGTCCATGGCTCCGAGATACAGCCTCTCCTCCGAAACGGTCGGCAGCTCGTCCGACAGCTCCTACTCCAGCTCGCCATCGCCCTCGTCACCATCCACCTCCCCCAGCAGCAAGGCAAAGGGCAAGGCAAAGGCCGTAGCGCTCGACAGCCGCCGTCCAAGTCTCTTGAGTACGCCCGCCTCTCCGCCTCGTCCTCGTCCTCTAGCAGTGCATGCCATGGCCGGTCAAGGGAGCTTGCCAGTCGGCACAGCCTGATACGCCGTGTCGTCCGTCTTTGTGTTGCACCCGTTTGCTGACCACGTTGCACAGGCCCGGCTCTCTCTAAGCAGGAGTCCACAGTTATCAACATTGGGTCGCCTGATGGCCCTCCTCGACTCGTAGGTTTCCTTGCCGCTGTTTTCTGGTGTACATGTACTGACGTTGAGTCATTACTAGATCACCTACCTATCCTCGGCCCAAGGCTTCATGTGGAACCCCGGTATGCTCCCCAACACCAAACCGGCTCAACGCGGACGACGGGGCAAGTAAACGAGTGACTAACTCGGCATGTTGTTTGTAGAAATCTTCCTTCCCTCATACATCGACTGCGACTACGTTCCTCTGGAAAACAGGCGAGACCCCGTACACGAGATCCACCTCTCGGACGAGGAGATGAAGAATATGCTTCCGCACTGAGCATATCGTCTTGCCCTTTCGTCACCACGCACCATACCCGATCTTCTCTCTTTCCTCTGGGACACTCGATTATCTAGATATCCCCCCCTTTCTATTCTTATTCTCACGAGATGTTTTCTTGACTTTGTATTCACCTGTGTCGGTCTGTACCCGACGGCGTCTGGAAGTTTTGGGACTTGTTTTCGGTTGGCCTGTTTTTGCTTTCTCGTATTCAGTGTACATTCCAGGCAGGAAGCGGCGTGTCGTGGAAGATGAACAGCCTGGCATCGCTATTCTTTGGAGGGCAGTGCCTCGGTTCACTCCCCGGGCCGCTTGGCGTTTACGTTCGCATTTGGAGGAGCATGCTGCGGCATTGATACTGGTTCCGGTATGTCAATACGGGTATCTACGGATTTTTGGTTTTGGGCCCCTCGGCTGGACTGGAAGTTGGGGAGGCAATTTGGGGTGTTTTTGCACTTTGTTTTCGTCATGGAAATAGGTTAGGTAGCTAGATAGGTATAATTTCTACTCTTGTATTTTGCACGGCTTATGCTGGGCTGCAACGTGCATACAGATTACAGATATGGCCATGTCGATTCAAGTTACTTTTGTGACGGAGCTTAGCATTATGATTCAATCCCGAGCCTTGTGTAAAAAGGGTTATCCCTAATCAAACTTTGTCTTTATCTACAAGGGCCTTTGCCTACCATATGCCATTGTGTAGATGCAGATGCAGAATCAAGTCGTCCGCCATGCTCTCTGTTAGGCCGTCTTTTTTGTCTGCCTACCTACCTAGGTAGTACCAATACAAACCACGGATGTCACCGAAGCCCAGCAGTTTAAGCGTCGGGCTGCCCCGCATGCCGCTGGGACCACCAAAGCCCCTCCACTTGGTACCGCCCAGCACTGCGTGCTACTGAAGGTACTTTGCCAGTGAGTGAAACTGGGTGGACCCTTTACCCCACAGAACTGCACCCTGTGACGGCCAAAGTACCCAGTACTTGACTCAGAGGTCATAAGGGGGATCGGAAACTTCGTCTCATGCTCCGGATATTCGGGTCTGGAAACGGGCGAGATTGGCTTGCGTTTGCTTTTTGATGGCAAGATTCAAAGATGAGAAAATGCGTACATCATGAACAAGGCCGGGAGATGCTTTACAATGGTGCAAAGTTTGGTGTTTGGAAATGGAACCCACATACCTTGGTACCTTGAGTTGGAGAGCATAAGCCCACATGACTGAGACACTTTTTGGCGGTTTGGCATTGGAAATGTCATGTGCAACGGCGCGAGTAAAAGCCGCATGGAGATGAAGGTTGGACTTGAGTCAGTTGGTGGGTGAGGGGAGAGTGACTCTGTTGTCCGTTTCATTTACATGTGCAAGGTGCCCTGTTTGGTTGGATTTGAAGACAGCTTCGAGCGCTATACGTGCGAGCCCTTACTCTTGGTACCCCGTGCCGCAACATGCTCAGCAGCGTACCTCTATCCTGTGTGATTACCTTGTTACGTAGGTAGATTATGAGGTGGTGCAGATGCGTGTGCTACTGGTGGTTTTACTATCTGCCTTGCCTATCACGGTACATGAAGGACTGACCCCGGCATCTTTCGTCTCTAGGCTACTAGTTGTCTACCTACTTGGTAGCATCCGAAGATGTTGAGACAATTCTAGTTGCTGTTGGTAGCGGTAGGACTTACTTATCCATACATGTACACGTTTGCACCCAGTCTAGCATTCTCGTTTCTACATTCATACAAGGATAGAGGCCCTTGCTGCGATACTCTCTTAGTCTTGCCTCAATCCGATGAGTTACAAGATAGGTATGCGCAGCAACAGACGGCATTCACCAACAGCCTTCAATAAGCCTCGGCACTTGGTCAAGGTGAAGCCACCCCACTCTTCACCGAGCGTCCAGAGTACGTACCGGCTAGCTTCCAGTTCACTTTGGAGATGAGATTCTCGCTTTTCGATCTCCAATCCGTCCCCCACCAACGCGACAACAAGCACACGCGTTTGCGCCACCATAAACGCCGCCTCATCGCCCCTATTTCGTCTACGAACCCATCGGCTGTTTAATTCTTCTTCATACAAGCATTGCAACATCTTGCTCTGAGTACAGGCAAGGCAGACTCGGGCAGATGCTCCTCCCAATGGACGCATAACACAACACAAGCTACTACGAAGAAAAAGAAAGAAACAAGTCGCACATCATCTTCCCCAGCACATGGATTCCGAGTCGGTCGTCTCGCAGGTCCAGCGCAAGATCGAGCTCCAGAGCCCCGAAGATCTCGCTTACCTCATCACCAACGTCCGCAATGCGGCGGTCGAGCACCTCAACGAAGCGTTTCCGCCGGTCGAGGGCGCCGAGGAGGATGAGCTGCGCATCCAGATCGAGTTGCTCGTGAATGAGGTAATGCATTACTCTAGGGGGAAGCAGAGATGACACAGAAGAAGAAGAAAACACAAGATGGAGTAGAAGATGAAAAAAAAAGAAAGAAAAAAGGACAAGACAAAAAGAAAGAGTTGCTGACATTGCGACCAAACGTCCAGTACATCAACAAAACCTTTTCGCTAGCCGCGCCCAACCTCATCATCAACGGCCTTCCCGTATCGCCCGACGTCCTCCGAGGCTCCGCGTCGGCGCCAGACACCGTCTACGAGCCCTTCGACACGCGCAAGCGCCGCCAGGTCGCCGACCTCATCACGCAGGAGGAGAAGCTGCTCGAGGACGTGGCGGCGCTCAAGCGCTCCGTGCCCGCCAAAGTCGCCGCCGACCACGCCGAGCGCGTCCGCGCGGCCATGCGGCAGGACGACGACGACCTCCACGACCGGGTGGCCAGGGACGCTGCCGCGGCGCAGCGCGAGGCCGGCGCGCTGGGGGTGGCCCAGCTGCAGCGCCAGGAGGGCGTCGAGGCCGGTTTCCAGAGCGCCGTTCAGGGGCTGAACCGGCTCAAGAGGGACATGCCGGCCGTCGTGGCCAAGATGGAGAGGGCGAGGGTCGCGGGCGAGTACGTCGTCACCAAGGGGCGGTGATGATGCATCGGGAAACGACAAGACAGGCTCTGTACGAGTACGATGCGGGATCTACAGGTGGGCTGGGATGCTTTCCTGCCCACCGCCACGTCCCATGTGCCTCCATCTCGGTATTTGATTCGGGCATTTTTTTTACGACTTTTTTTTTCCTTTTTCTTTTTTTGGTTACGAGTACAGTATTAGCACCCAACTAAAACCAAGTGGGATTTTCTACCGGGGGGGGTAATGCGTTCAGGCGTCAAGGGCGAAAAAACGACAATGTTCAAATGACTTTTTTTTTGAGAAAGCAGCTGTTGACTAGGACGATGAGCTTTTCTTGTTTTCATGTTTTCCTCATCGCATTTCGTGTTTATCCATTTTGAATCTTTTCTTTTTTTTTCTGCAATTGATGATTTTTAAGCATGCCTTTTATTTCTTTTCTTCCCCTTTATTAATTAGAAATGAAGGAAATTACACCGCGTAAGCAGATAATATTGTAGAAATGGGGCGGGATCCAGAATTCATCAATATGCCCTTTTGATCTCAATCAGGGGGGAGCGGGAACGAGCTGCCTTGGCCGTATTCGGTACTATTCAACGAAATGGCATGTGATATCCATGAAATAGAGAGAGCACGGCGAGCTTCTTCTTTTCGAGGCAGCGTAATCAACATCAAAACACTACCACTTAAAGGTATACGAAAAAGTCTGTTGAATAATTCAAAGTGCTACCTACCTAGGTAGTAGCTTTCCCTGCTCCGCTCCTGTATCTCCCGTCTAAGATCCATCTTCCCCTCTTTAGCCCATTGTAATCATTTTTCTTCCGTCAGATGCCTTCTGCTCCAACAACCCTATTCTTGCGAGACAAAGACACAAAACGAGCCATCTGAGCTTCTCAGAGTAATTTAATGCTTCTCCCAAGCACACCCAATACAAGCGTATTAAAAAAAAAAAAAAGAAACCAACAAACCCATATTAAAAAGCACTATCCCATCTAAGCCGCAGCAGGAGCTCCCTCAGCCTTTACCTCCCACTTAGCAGGCTTGGCCCACTGAGGGTCGTGCCAAGGGCCAGCATCGCTGTTCTCGCAGCCGCCCTCGCAGGTGCAGGTGCCGCCAAACTCCTTGGGGATGTTCTCGGCGGGGATGTGCTTCAACAGCTCGCTCTGGTAGCTGCTGCCGAGGATGTTGATCTTCTTGACGGTGACGGGGTCCAGCCAGCCCTTGACAACGCCCCACACGGTAGAGAAGCCCCAGGGAGCGTTGATGAGAAACAGCTTGCCCAGGCGCTCGGGGTAGTAGTTTTGGGAGATGACCGAGGCCTGGCGGACGTACGAGTACACCTGGGGAACCTTGGTCAGGGTGACGCCCTTGAGGTCCATGATGGTGCAGCACGTCTCGAGGAGGTGGCCGGCCTTGCGGGAGCAGGCGGGCAGACGGGGGTCAGCCACGCGCTCGTATTCGACGGCAAGGTTGGTGAGCATGCGGTCGGCGGTCGAGATCTTGTACATGGCGTTCAGGTCAATGCCGCCGAGGGTCTCGATGTAAACGGGACGGCCATCCTAGTAAGGCCAGATTAGCTTCTGCGCAAAGGGGGAGCCCCACCGGTTCTTTCGTCATCTCACATTATCAATCTTGTGGTAGAATTGCTTGTAGTACTTGGAAATCTCAGGCCTCTCGGGGTAGTCCCAGGTGGGGAGGATCTCATCGAGCTTGGTCTCCTTACGCCACTTCTCCGTCTCGATGAACCTGATGGCGGTCAGAATTAGACACCAGCAGCGTCGGGTAATGCATCAGGGGGAGACTCACATCTGCTTAGCGAGCTCAACATCGAACTTTCGCGCTCGGAGGAATCGCAGCTATAAAGCCATGGCAGGTCAGCCTCGCTCTGTTTATCCATCTGCCGTAGCCGAGCCCGGCTCAATGCCGCAGCCCATCTTAGGGGGGAGGAAGAGGTTCCATACCAGAGTCAGCGTGTCCAGGCGCTCGGTGAGGCCCTCAGCCTCGAGCATCAGGCGCAGCTGGTGGACCTTGGCCTGCTGCTCGGCAGTGAGGTTTCCGGAATGGCCCTCGAGAGGCTCGGCGGCCTCAATGGGGTAGTCATAGTTGTCGTATTTCTCGCTGAGTTCTACGGGCGCCATGGTGGGGGATGGTTCTGTGAGGGGTTACGGGCGAAGCCAGAGAGACGAAGTACGGAGTGACGGAATAGAGGATATGATTTTCGAGGGAAGAGGGAGAGGGAGAGGAGAGGAAAAGTTGCAGACGCCCGGCGAGCAAGATGGAAATTATATAAAAAGGGGAGGAGGTTGAAGGAGAATCCCTGGCTGAATGGGGTTGGCAACGTAACTTGTAATTACCACTGCCTTTACGGCGTGGCGGTATAAATGCTAGCGACGGGTGAGCTGGCGCGTGGAGACTTTTGCCGGCGTCAAGGCGGTGTCCCGAAGCGGCCTAGCGCATGTAGGCCGCAGAGGGGAGCCTAGACTGAAGAAATACGCTTTGCATGTGACTTGTCACATGGCGATAACAGAATCTTCGACGGTTCCATCTCTTCTAGATACCACCTACAGTAGAACTCTTCCGTCTTTGCTTGAACTGATCCCTGCAACCTCGGCGTCATCAACGAACAGCAAGGGCCCTTCAACTCGCTCGCCTTTCCTTTCTCTCTCCCTTCCATGGCGAGCAAACCTCCTCCGCCATGAGGACTTCTCCGCTGCGAATCAGCGTCAATGTCGCTGCCCGCCAGATTCACAGCCTCGTCCCTGCACCGCGCCCTCGCCGGTCCTTTCACCTCACCACGCCCGCCAGCTTGCCCCGGAAGCGCAACTTTTTCACGTCGAACCCGTACCTCTCCTCGCAGCCCGGCAGCGACGATGCGAAGCCGTACCCGTACCAAGGTCAAGGTCAAGGTCGTGATCAGGCCCAGCCCGGCTCTGCCAATGCCAATGCCAATGCCTCTCCCGTAGCCAAGCGGAAGCCCACCAGGGCCACGCCGACCAAAAACTCGCTGCGCCGAGTCGCCATCATCGCCCAGCAGCCGAAGCGGGGCAGCAGTCAGGGCAGCCCCGGCAGCGTCGACGCCGCAGAAGCCGAAGCCGATCCGTCCAACATGGTCAGCGCGACGTGCATCGCCGAGGCCTTCAACATGCCCATGGTGCTGGAGATTCTCTCGTCGCACGGCTTCGCAATCGACCCCGACGGCACCCGCTTCGACGCCGCAGAGGTTGTCCATGCGCGGGGCGTCAACGGCGGCGACATCTTCGTCTTCCCCTCGGGCACCATCGTGACGTGGTCGCTGCCCCCCGACGTCGTGACGAGGCAGATCCTGCGGGCCGCCGAAGAGCCCCACGCTGAACCGCTGCGCGAAGTCGAGGACCTCGAGTTCACCACCGACAATGGCCGGGAGACGAGCACGCTCAAGGGCGACGTCGTCGTGCTGGGGACCCGCAAGGAGCACAAGGACGGCGACTTTCTCGACACGACGCTCGCCAAGATTGCCTTTTCTTCGGGCCTCGCCCGCAGCACCAAGCTGGCCGTCCTCGAGTCCGCCCTCACCTCGTACTTTGAGAGCACCAGGAACATCCCGGCCCTCCTCTCCCAGGGGACCGGCGTCCCGCTCAGCCGCAAGTTTATCCTGCAAAAGACTGGCGAGCTGCTCAGCCTCCGCGCCAAGCTCAACCACTACTCGGAGCTCACAGATAACTTGCCCGACATCTTCTGGGACAGCAAGTCGGAGCTGGGGCTCGAGGGCTACTACGACCAGGTCGGCCGCGCCCTCGACGTCAATGTGCGCATCCGTGCTCTCAACCAGAAGATGGACTACGCCCAGGAGATTGCCACGGTCTTACGCGAGATGTCTAGCGAGCAGCACGGCACCCGATTGGAGTGGATCATCATTGTCCTCATTTTCGTCGAGGTCGTCTTCGAGCTGAGGAGGATTGTCATTGAGTATAAGGGAGAGGGCGCTGGCCAGGGAGCTAGGCCCTGAGATGTAGTCGCGCCTCTCTCTCTCTCTCTCTCTCTCTCTCTCTCTCTCTCTCTCTATTACAAATTTCGAGTAGTACTTGATACACCCGTAGATGACTTCTTCTCTCCTCCACCCCTTTTTTCCACTGCCTCCCCGCCCCCCCTTTTTTTTCCTCTTCCCTCTCCCTTTTAGCTTGTATTAGTACTACTTTTTTTTGTGTATGCGAATCTCGCACATCATTATTTTACGGCACTTAAAATTGATGATCAGAAGGAAAAACGATCATCTGGGATAGAAAATCGACATGGATGACGAAACGATACCCCCTCTCAACTCTGTTATAGACAAAAATTCATCTCGCACCACCATACTTTTTTTGGCATATCCACACAAAATCATTTAAATACGAAACACTGTTCATTAAAAAAACACTCTTCCATCGGTACTATACAGCCTCGCAAGACAAAAAAGAAAAGAAAAATCGGCAAATTCATCCCAGGCCCACCAAAACATGATATTTTGCTGGTGAAGCAAAAACAAAAAAAGGCCCTCCTTTCTGGCGTCTATTGAACCCCAATATTTGTCCAACGATATTTCATACACTACAAGATAAAGAGAAGAAAGAAAAGGAATAACAAATCCATATCCTTCCCTGGCCGCTTTTTGGTTGTTGTTGTAGTAGTAGTGTCTGCCTCCCAGAGTTTCCCGTCTCCAGCGGATTCTCTTCCTACCCTTCCGTCCTTTTTCTCTCGTGTGCAGTCCATAAGCGAAATAGAGAGAGAAAGTAATGATAAATGAATAGAACATGTCTAGAAGCTCTCCGTCCCTTCTGACTAATGTAGTTAGATGGGCTTCATGGAGCTATGCCATGACCTTGCACTCAAGTCTCATATCACAAGTGCCCAAGTCTACATGACGATTTTTCAAAGGTTCCTCATAAACGACATCTCCCTCAAGGGGCAGCCTCTTTGTTCTCTCCCACTGCCATCATCTCATCACTTCCCGTAGGGAAAAAGGGAATAAAAAGAGGAGGAATAAAAAAAAGGTATTAAAAATAGTCAAAGTCATTTCTCCCATATCAACACCCCCACCATCCCCCCCAAAGGTCTGGGAGATTTGCCCTTTGCATTATCGTCTTCGAAAGCGTGCCATCATTCTCTTCCAAGTTCTTTTTGCCGAAAACTCCTTTATACGAACCCTAGCCCTCTTAACGCCGTTCAACAACGCCAAGGTGTTGCCAGTCACAAAGCGTAATTGCCCCTTCCATATCCGAGACGTTTCATTTCCTGACTTTTTTTTAACCTAAATTTTCAAGTCGGCTTGCGCTGCAAAGTAGGGATGACGGGCACAGGCACAGGGGTCACCTTGTAAGGCACATGCCCCGTTCCTGAGTTGCCGTTCATTCCAGATTTTGGAGGGGGCGGCGTCTGTGGTTTGTTCTGGTTAGCCACGGTCGCCCGGATGGCCGCGAGCCGACTAGCATCAACTCCCATGCCTGCGAGGCCCGACGGAACGCCACCTTGCGACAGCCTGTCGGTAAACATGGCCGATCTCTCTTGGGCTGCCACACGAGCCTTGGCCTGGTCCAGTATCCGCTGTTGCTGAGCCTCAGGGATGACTGTATGATATCCAGTTAAGCCGGGACTCTGGCCTTGGCCCGAGCTTGGAAACCTATTCATCTGGCTTGCCATGCTTGGGGCTGGAGCCGAATACCCCTGGTTCTGCGGCACGACAGGCGATGGGCTGAATGTTTGCCGGCTTCCCACCTGCGGGGACATGGTCCTGGCTGGCACGGCACCCGGGCTATTAGTGTAGGCGCCGTAGTTTGGGGGTACTGGCGAGGCCGGCTGATGCTGGTAGGTTGGCTGGAAGGTGTATCTAGCATTTGGGGTGCCTTGCTGTGGCATCTGACCATAATTTGGTCTCTGCTGGGTCGCATACTGTTGCGGCAAGCTTTGGTGGCCATATGGGGTTTGGGCTTTGGCAAGCTGGGTGGCATACTGATTAGGATAGCCATTGGTACGGGTATACTGGTTCGGCTGTGGCCTTTGCTGGTGGGGAGCTGGCGGCCCCAAGTTGCGAGGCTGCTGCTGGTAGTTGGGGGCCGGTGTAGGGCGGTAATACTGAGGAGGCGGAGGGGGTGCGGCCCGACTCGGCGTGACATACTGGTTCGCTGCCGCCGCCGCATACTGGTTAGGATACGGGACGGCGGAGATGCTGGGCGTACGTTGCTGCGGAGGCCTGACATTAGCTTGGGCCGCTTGGGCAGCCTGCTGTTGCGCTTTGAGTCGGGTTTGCGCGCTCGCCTCGTCTTCATCCATCGTGCCCTTGTATTGGTCGGTGTGAACCATGATCTTGGTGCTGATGAGGAGATCGTCCAGCTGGTCGCCATTAAGCTTGGCCACCGCGTAGGGTGGTAGCGTCTTGATGATGAGTGCCAATTGAGCCTTGAGCATGTAGTAAGTAGCATGTTCTTCTTCCGAAGGCTGAGGACCGGCATTGGCCAGCATGTCCCCGTTGACAGGGTCGCTGGACTGGCGGTTTTGTGAGTTGGGCAGCGTCAGGTTACGGATGCGCTGGTAAGAGGCTAGAGTCTCGATCAAATCGGTGACCTCTTCAAGGATTTCGTCGGCCTCCTTGTCCTGCTCATCGTGCTTGGATCCCATGATGTCTTCTAGGGAGGGATCGATGGCTGTCTCATCCCAGTTATCAATTGCGTCCTGCACTGCTGATTCGTCCACCTCCATTGATTCGGCCTCATCGACGGGTTCTGCATCTTGGAGGTCGCCATAATATTCTACCTCAATCATTCTCTGGAAGCTCTGCTTGCCGCTGCGCTGCCACCAAATCCGGCCGGCAACGCTGGACGGCACCACTGCTGCGGCATCATCCTTGCACGGTGCAAATGTGGAAAAGGCCCCTCGGAAAAGAGTTTCCATCTCGGACATTTCCAGCTCGGAAAGTGAGGGTTTTCGACCAGCAAGGCTTTGCGCACGTTCATGTTGCTTCGTCTTTGTCTGCCATGAAGGCGTCGCCTGGCTGTAGTCTAGATAGTATCCGGTAGACAGCTTTGTGTTAAAATACGAATTACCCCGATACCGGGAGCTGTCGGTCAAGTGGGGGTGATAGAAATCCAACCGGTTTCCCTTGGCCTGTGTTTTCGGCTGCTTTGGCGGCTGGAGAGGCGGGAGAGGACGCGGCGGAGCAAACAGCTCGCCGAGAGTTTGCGTCCGGTCCTGAGGATTAGAGGGAACAACTCGGGTGATGGACACGCCGGGCGGGAGGTTAACGTCGGACAAGTCGACGTCTTTAGACAGCGGTAAGCTAGAAAACAAGCGCCTTTCTTGCGGCGCATAGCCGACCAGCGATAGAACCATTTCGCTCTTCTCCGAGGCAGTATGCGACTCGGCCTCTCCGTTTGCAGGCTCCTGTCGCGTTTTCGGATATGCTTTTTCGCGGCGGACGAGGTCCGATGCTCTCTCCCAGAATCCGTTGATCTGCGCAGCCCTTTTGACCGTCATGGCTCTCGCACCAGGGTTCGAAGATGCCGAGTCCATTTCAGACAACGATGATTGAACGGCAGAGGAGATGTCCGCTGCGATGGCATCGAGGGAGACGTAAGCGTCAGCCGTCACCTTGTCGGCAATGCTCTGCTTGATGGGCGGCTCGACGGATTTCTGGCGCTTTGCCTGGGGTTCATCTTGGGAAGCCGGCTCCGGCAGCGATAGCGGGCGGTCGAGGATGGAGGGGCTGACGTCGAAACTGATGCCGATGGTCAGCCTTGGATGACGATGACTTGAAAATTGGGGAGGGCTGTTTGCAGGCAGTGGTGAGTAATGGTAATGGGTGCAATCCGTACCTTCGCAGAGCCTCGAAGACGGCCTTGACAAGCTCCCTGTTTTTGGCCTTGTCCTCGTGCGGCTCCGATGTCCGGTCGCTGTGGCTGTCGTCGTGGGCGTCGTCGTCAAGAAGCTTGTCTACGTCGACGTCCATGCCGTCGCCGGTGTCGTCGCCATTGTCGCGCTTTCGCTTGCCCGACGCAGCAAGATGGCCGCTGGCAGGGCTGTCGGGCAGGACGAAGCCATTCGCATCGTCGGGCGTGGGCTGCGCCATTTTGGCTGGGAGCCTCGTGAGCGTCGTCGTGGTGCTGGCCGCGCCCCGTCGCGATACGCGGTTGTAGAGGGCTGACTGGTGCTGGTGCGACTCCAAAAGCTTTTCATCAAGACCCGGGTAGAGCGTCTGCATCCACCAGACGCAGTGCAATCAAACGCCGCGCCTGCAAATCGCCACGACAGGCAGCCGGAGGCGATGGTGAGCAAATTTCCGCGAATTTCCAGGCGGCTGCACAGATGGATTGCCGTTGTTGAGCCTTACTGAGGAAGAATGTGTCCGTCCTGGATCGCCAAGTACTTCCCTGGGGCCAGGATCACGCTAACTCTCTCGAGGGAAAAGTCTAAAATTGCCTGCACGTGATTTCCTCGAATTCCCCCCCAAACAGCCAAGCAGCCCCTCTTGTGCTGTGATGCCGCTGTGATGGCCGCTGACCCGCTGCGGCTCCGCTGGAAGATAGCCCGTAGGATTGAAGCTCCAGTTACCCTACGAATGGAGAAGACGGCTGTGTTGCCATTGTGATTTCATTGTGATACCAATTTATTGCTCGTGTATACATGAAAAGTCATCAATATCTCAGTAGGTGTTACTGATCTGGTATCTACTAATGCATGGAACTGATTTAGTCCCGTATGTGCATGCGCTCTTTATTGAACGAATGAATGAACAGTAATATCAATACTTGGGCACTTACAAAGAACCCGCCTCATGCATCGGTAGGGGCAAAGCACTACAAAGGCATCAATCACTCAACAGACATTGATACCCTATTTACAATCGAAACAGGCATGCAGCTTGGATTCTATTTTAGCCCACCATTGTTCTATTCACCAGATAACTCCCATTTCCCAGCCTCACCACACCAGGCCAGCCTCACGTCTTTAACGCCCCGATGATTCAAATTGTCACTGTTCGGCAGTAATGCAGGGCAATGGATCCCATGCGGACTCTACTCTACTATACCAACCGAGCTACTTATTTAGTATGGTGCTAGCGATGCATATGATCGTACGTCTTGATTACTTAGTACTACATACGATCTAGCAGGCAGACTTACGTATACTCGTACTCGGTCTGGCTGTTCTCAAGACAGCCCCTACAAGACATCCCCGAATGAATAGTATGCGTACGCACATTCGCTCACAACACCCTTCAGTACGAAATCAAGCATTCACCTATCCAAAGAGGAGCATCATGCAAAAGTTTAACATCATCGAATTAAAGCGTAGCAGCAGACTGGAACTTGGTAGTATCCATTATATTACATAAATGACGTTGCAGTCTTGATCCATACTCCCCGCGATACTGAATTGCTGCACTCAAAGCTGCCCAAAATAACCAAAACTGGCTTCTGCCAACATACAAGCAGTGCTCATCTTAGATACACCCAATCCCAGCACGTGTCGTTGATTTATTTGGCCTTGGCAAGACCAACGGCGTTCTTGCCGAGATCGTAGACAGAGTAGTAGCGGCGCAAGAAAGCATCGCCGAGAATAACAAGAGGGCCAACGGGCGCGGGGAAATCCATGCCCTGGAAGGAAGAAATACAGTTGCCCGACATCTCGATGATGTAGTCGGTGGCAGGGAGGTTGTACTTGGAACCGGCCAGGGTGAAGCTGATGTCGGGAAGAGAGTCGCGCTTGGAGCAGTCGACAGTGTACTGGCCACCGTAGCCCTTCTTGGCACCGATCTGAGCATTGAGAAGCTCGGCAAGGTCAGAGGGGAGGACGTTGAGAGAAGTACCGGTGTCAAGGATGGCACCAGTGTTCTCAAGCTCAGCCTCCTGGTCACCGAAAGAAATGGCATCGAGGTCCACCTCCCAGTAGGCCTTGCGGCGGAGAGGAATGTACTCAATCTTTCCCTCGTAGTGAGATTCATCGACACCACCGAAGACGGCCTCGGAACCCTCGTCGCTGCTTCCCAAGTAGAAAGCAAAGACGGGCTCGTCAATGAGCTTTTGCTTGACCATCTGGTAGAAGGGAGGGACAATGCCATTCACGGAAATGGTATCGTAACCAAGGCCGAGAATGCCATCGAAGCGGCCGAAAGCAAAGGCAAGGCCGGGCTCGCTGGTAGCCTCGGCAAAGTCCTGCTTCTCGATCTTGAGGTCACCGATGGTGACGACATCATTGGAGATGAAGCCAGTCAAGCTGCCTGATCCATAGTGGATCTCAAAGTCGGATCCATTCTGCTTGTACGTCTTTGAGGAAGACGAATCGTACGTGGAGTGCAGGAAGCAGGCAATGCTGTTGCACGACTGGGAGGGAACCCAAAGGTTGGAGCTTCCAGTGTCAAGGACCACCTTGAAGGTCTGAGGGGGGGTACCGATGGTAATCTCGGAGAAGTCTAGCCGACCGAGTTAGCAAACCCGGACTCCATTTGGGGGAGATTTGTCGCGGTGTGCAGGCTGACTTACATTGGGCATTCATGAAGTTGGTGACGGGCACTGGGTGACCGCCCTGGACCTTGGGCACCTTGTCATTGAACATGACATCGGCACGGCTAGTAGGGCGGATGCCCATGTACTTCTGGCCGAGCTGCTGGACCTGGGACTCGATGGTTGAGCCCGCCTAAAGAAGAGGGAAATGTCAGTCTGTGCTCATGCTCATGCTCATGCTCGTGCTCGTGCTGCGGGTTGGGTCTGTCGTACCAGCTGCTCCTCGAGGGAGACCTTTTGCAGCTTCATCTTGTGGACGCCAGCTTGGGCGGAGCCAACAAGCGCCGCGGCGGCAATCAAGGCGCTCTTCATGTTGGGCGACGCTTAGATAGAGATGTGTGATGTGATTTGGGAGATGGGATGGGATGGATTGTTGGAAGATGGATGGAGGATTGATTGCGGCCAGAGGAAGAGAAAGGATGACGAAGCTGCCTTTGTAGTGGCCGTAGCGGGCATTAGATAAGAGGGTGGCAGGCAGCTTAGTACCTTGACTGGTACTGGCCCAGCTGGCCAGCGTGCTCCAGGTACCAAGGTAGCATTGGTGGCTGCGATATCGAGGTCACTGGACTTGGGCTAATCAAAACAGGGCGGGCTTCTGGCCTCGTGCCACCGTTTGCGTGCTGGCCGACGCCTATTGGTGCCTGTGCTGACGACCCGATGACGCACAAGCTCCCTGCAAGGGGCGCTACCAGACGGCCGCGGAAGTACCCTTGCACCTTGGAAGGCTGCTGGAGGTACATCCGAGTAGGTACATGGGCTTTACCCCAACTTTGACCAGGGCCGAGCCTAACTGGCTGATGGGGCAACCGAGATCAACAAACGGTGGTCGCTGCCTCAGGCTTAATACGGCTGGGCCAATGCTTGGTACGGAGCACAGAGTACGGGTTGAGGGATGAGGTACCATTTACCAGCGTCTCAGGCTTGTACGATACTGCTTCCCATGTTTTGCTACTTGGTCCTAATCGGGACGAACCAAGAAACCTGCCACGGGCGCTATGAAATCCTTTTTTCCTGCGCTGGTTTTGCCCCAAAACTGTACCTATTAGGAGTCGTCTCCATCGGGTACATGTTCCTATCTACAGCAGTGAGTTTCGACTCCAAAGTGTAAGGCAGCCCTGCCACCTAAATGCCTGAATGGAATTGGAAGTCAACTTTGCGCCACCACAGAGCTCTGGCCTTTGGTACAGGTACTTGTGGCGGTCAAACCATCAATTTCGTGCTCGGATTCTTATCCCTTGCGTCCAGTACCTGCGTAATGACTCACCAAAGCGCCAAACAATAGTCGAAGCCAAAATTAATACCATCGTCCACAGCGGCTCAAGTGCATGTATATGTACATCCACTCACCGTGAATCTCTACCTTAGGTACCTTAGTATTGAGCGCAATAGATCAAATCCAATCTGCGGCATTAAGGGCGTAAAAGGAACACCACTGTGAGCGCATCTGCTACGTATTTGGTGTTTCAGACGTATGAGCAAGGCTCGCGAAGACATGGCAAGGGTTACGAATGTGGCAAAACTGTGCTCACCGCACCATGCAGTAACGGCAGAACCATGCAAGACACTTTTGTTTCTGCAAATGGCGTCAGTCATTTGCGCATGGACCTATGCATCATCAAATGCCTGGCCTTGAAAGTGAAACTGAAAGTATAAGGTGAGGTTTAAAAAAGCCCACGGCTTTACCCGATATCTGTATAGCGGCATCACGAGTGGCGGCTAATCTTCATGGCAATGCCCAAGCGTGTATGATGATTGGGGAATCTTGTTTCCACATAAGTACATACTTTGTCTTAAATACCTAAAATGCAACAGCATCTGCTCTGTATCTAACCTGGAGCTTGAATTATTATATTTCGCATTGTCGATGTATCTGGAGAATTGTTCGCCAGTATTGTAATGCTCATATGAGTGACTGTTCTCCATTTTATAACGGCTATAAGTTTATTCAATCTTCCGAGAGTACTCAAATATGACATGTATCGAGTAAATTACCCATATTGGCATACTTCAAATCTACTAGAGTGACGTAAGTTGTATCCAAGTGAGCGCGAATCGACATCGATATGTGCAATACTTGGCATTCTATACACCAAGCCTCACCCAATTGTAGCCTATAACATTGCTTATTTCAACAGATGTATCACATTAGAGGATAGGACATAATTAAGCCACTTCTGCTGTTGGTTTAACTAACAACCGTCTGTTTACTAACGAGTTGTCTTGAGAATATATATACATGTCAGAGACCTCACTAATGAGTATCACGAGAGCAAGCGTCGTTGGTACGCGTTCCAGAATTGATAGCATGACAGCTTGAGCTAGCTGTCATATTACAATCCCACCATGTAGAGCTGGGTGTCATATTCTTATAGCTTGGACCCTCCGACTTAGTGAAGACGCTCTCAAGGCTGTCTGGGGGCCTTTATGTGAGTAGTGCACTCAGCAGAGTTTCAAGAATGAGAGCCATCGCGGTCCTGCAATGGAAATGATATCATCTTGTTCAACATTAAAGAAGTAGCGAATATGTTGTAGACGAACAATCATTACACGGCAAATCGTCATGAGAGGGAGCTGTTTCAATCACGACTTGGCTCTAGCCCAACACGCGTCGTAGCTCGGTTCATGCCACATAGACCATGCTGTGAATTTCCCTCTTACTCCAGGAAATTTCTTCTCCAATGGCAGCTTTGAGTTAGGCACCTTGCCTAGGTATATATTCTCAAGACCCAATTTGTATGGTTTCTGCAAGTATCACGACTGACTCCAACAGAGCGGCCCTTTTTAGATATACCAGGCAGCGTAATTTGTCATGCCACCTACCTCTTCGTATACTGTAGGAAATTGCTCAACATTTGCTGGTAATGACAGAATCCCTAATGTATAAGCCACCTCTGTTTCGCCCGTCTTGGTGATATTTTGCAAAGCACGTACGTGCATTCTGTCCGCGGTAAAGGAATTGTCGTATTTTTAGAGTTATCCATCATATCTACTTTGACAAATACGTGCGGAGCGCATAGAACGCCGAACGCCTTTGCACATTTTCGTGAAAGAAACATTGGCTCTCCCGGTGGCCAATGCGAAATGAGAATGGCTCCGGCCAAAAGCTGCCGATTTTGCCCGGGCAATGGCCAAGGCTCCATCCCTCACCGATGGCAGATGTTAATAATTCACGGAACGCCCGGGATTCTTCACGGAAAATGGAGTATTCCCACGAGCTGGGAAGCATCGGCACTACAAAGCAGTAGGTACTGCTTGTGCTAGTACGAGCCTCGGCCAGCATCTCATCTTGCCAACCATGTACCTAATCGATCCCGTAGCTGTCATCGATTTAGGATGCCGCCCGGACGCCGAGCTGAAGGGCAAGCCCTACCTGTACACATGATGGATGGCCCATGTACGAGTAAGCATTGATGTCTTTGATGATGAGGCAAATGGGTGGCGCTCGGAATACGCGAGTTGTGATGCCACGCGTAAAAGTCCCCGAGGCATTCTGCCGGAGAACAAAGCCTCGGCGGCTTATTCTAACCATCGACTACTGCTCGTATTAATCGCTCAAATTCATGTTTGAGAGTTCCGGCACAGGTACATGTTCAAACTGCTCTGTACGGGGCGCAGAAAACAGGTTTTCCTGCATTGATTCAAGCTACAAGTGTCACCACTTATCTTAGCACTCTCCATCTGAGACGTGCGTACGAGTATACGGTACAAGCACGGCACAAACCAGAATGCGGTGAGGGTGAGATTGTGGCTTCATCGAGCAAAATGCCGTGGACTGAATCCTTGTGGCCGTGCCAGCTTGGGGATAGAGGACCCGCAGCTCTGCATTCTGTTAGCAAAGGAGGATTTCCCGGCATGAATGCGAAAGTCCAGATCGTTCGAGAAGACGATGAGTAAGGAGACCGGAGAACAAGGAAGGAAAAGGAAGACAAAAAAAACGAAGACAAAAAAAAAAGAGCGGGCTGCGCAAAGCAGGGAACAGGGCTTTGAGGGCATTGACACTTTCGATGATACTCCAGACTAGCGGAGACAGACACGTGTTGGACGCTGGAGTAGAGGATGAAGCATCGGCCTCCAATCATTCGGGACAAACATCTCGATCGTCGCCTCGCCACGGTGATGTGTAGCGGGAGTCTGTAAATCGGGCACGGATAGACGATGACATGAAGCGGCCAAGGAACTCATCGTCGTCGCAAGTTGGCACAAAGGAGGGTCACTCTGTCTCAGCTTTGCGACCATCACGACGCCAAAATCCGACGTGGCTGCGGCAGGATGAACCAAGTGGCGCTCCTCACATGTAGCGGCCGAATTATGCATGCTTGCACACGCCGGGATCATCGACCTTGTGTGCCGTGGATAAAATAATCCACGACATGAAACACACTGCTCTCCTGTTATTATGGAGCCAACGGGACTCTGCCAGTTCCCTTTTTTCGCTCGGCGGAACGCGAATTTGTGGCCTTGGTCGCACGACGACGCATCAGCAGCCGACTCTGTGCCTTTAATATCAACCGTGCATCCAGGCGAATCCCTGTCGAGAGCAAGCGGCCGTTGGAGAGGCCGGGCAGTGCGCGATAACAGGCCGCCATTTCCTCATTCGCTCTGCGTCGCGTCTCGACATGACACAGCGTCGTGGCCGTGTCTTCCGGATCACACTCGAGCGCGGCTACAAACCGGGAAGGTTTATGTAGTCACGACGAGGTATTGTAGGTACGATGCTGTACTGTACGGTGCAGTACGGAGCGATGTGATGCTCGTGCCCGTGTTGCCGTGATCGTTATTATTGGAATGTCTGATGGAGGGTCGCATTGGGTGGACGAGCTTTTGATTGAGGTGGAGTTGGGAAATAGGACGGAACGCCACTCGGACGCCGTCTGCAGGAGCTTGGGAATGTATTCGCGACACCGATAGCTTGCCCAATTCAGGGACGCCGTTAGGGCTCGTGCGCACATTTTGGCGCCCAGCAGTAACAGTGCGCAGACACAGCCCCCGTATCCGCTACCTCAGGTGCTCTGGGCGCTCCACGCGTCCCCTTGTTCCCCAGCCAGTAGCGCAGCGGTTCCTGAAGTTTTTTCCCTCCCTCTGGCAGTACTCGGTACCTGCGCTGCGTCTTTGGGCGCCACCGCGACAGGTTCGGGCCTTGCAAGCCTAGCCTGGGAGAGGCCTAGCGGGCGGGTGCGGACGCGCTGGGCAGCCCAATAGGCCTGCTGCATTCCAGCGTGACGGCTGGGATTGGCTGGGCGATGCAAACGGACAGGGATTGATGGCCAAGCACAAGACTTTTAGCCAGGGGGTTGGCGGTCCAGGAACGAGCATCACAGCCAGCTGTTTTTGATGCATGTACAAGTACGAGTACTCGGCAGTACAAATACCTGTACTCGCATGGACGGCGTGTACCGTGCACGGCAGCGCTGGCAGTGGCAGTGGCAGTGGCAGTACGGTACAGTACCTGCAAGAAATAGGTACGGGTACCTTGGTTTGGGAGCTCTGTCATCAGTGCTTCGATTCATCCATCACTCCCTACATTAGCAGCTGTCTGTAGCGTTACCTCCACATCGATGGATGGATTGAAGGAAGCAACATTGAATCAATACATTGCTGAATACCGCTACCTGCAGAAGACTATTACCTACCAAGTGGCCTGCTGCCTTGATATTTTCGAATGGCTATTGGTGATCAGGTGAACAAAGGCATCCATGGATCAAATATCAATACAGGTACTAAGGTAGACAAAGAGCTCATGCGTGCCATCCGCCCAGGCAGGGTACCGGCGTGACGAGCATCCATGTACAAATAAATACAAGTACACGTACGCGCACCGGTACCTCGCCGGCGCTGCAGCTCTTCGTATCCCAACCCGGTACCTGACGGCGTGCAGCGACCTGCATTAGCACATCCAGCTTCCTTCATTGGCCACACCCGCACCAGCCAGCACACTAATTTCCCCTTAACCACACCAACTGGCTTAATCCCAGCTCCCTGATCCGGCAGTACAGTACGTACCGCTGCTCTCTTCTCTTGCTGCCTTTGCCCATCCACCCCCCGTCCTGCCTGTCGACCGCCCCCCCCCCCAAATCTGTCGTTTCTCCTTCTCGTCTCCTCTCCCTTTCAACAAAACAAGTCACGCCTTCAGGACGCTCGTTCCAGTCCCTCCTTCTTCCGACGACACCGATTCCCTACAGCGTTTCTCAAAGCCCATCGGGTCCAAGGAATCAGATGCTGTCAGCCTTTGCTCTGGCATCTTGAGAAAAGCTCACTTTCCATCAGACCGGCGTCTGTCGAGTCCCTCGTTCAGCAATCCAGACCTCGCTCGCCGCCATCCGCAACCGAAGCAGGTCATCGAATTTTAGATCACAACCTCCCTTCTTAGAGTACGCAGCATCGCCCGGCAAAAGGCAAAGGCGACGCCCCCATCGAACAACTCGTTTCTTCTGCCGAAAAGCTCGTCTCGTCTCTTTTCTTCCTTTGACCAAAAACAAACTCCCCGGCGGAGCCAGCTTGATATTTAATCGTTCATTTTCTTTGCTTGTTTCAAGCCAAACGTTCAAGCCACGGCCTCGACTTCATAGGCCTCTTTTTGTTTTCACTCGAATCGGCAACTTCTTCAACGCCTTTTTTTCTCCTTCATACGCTCGCTATATCAATATGAAATCGTCAACACTTCTTTCCGGCGCCTTCATGGTCGCAACTCAGGTGTACACGGCACTTGCCGCAACCGCCGTGAGAGGATCTAACGATCTTACCCATGTCATCCGAGCCGCCCCATCACAAACGCCATCACAACTGCCAGTGCCAAATGCCGTTCGATCAGCGGGCTGCTGGAGCTCCAAGGGAAATATGACGCAAGCCACCGACGTTGTGAGCACGTCTGTTTCATCGGGATCGTGCAACAAGTATTGCACACAAAATAAGTTTCCCGTTTCCGCCCTGCAAGGCGATGAATGTTTCTGCGGATTTGCCTATCCTCCCGATGGTGATCAGGCCGACGATTCCAAATGTACTTTCCCTTGCCCGGCCTTCCCCCCGGAGGCTTGTGGTGCGATTGGACATCCAGGATTTTATTCCGTTTTCAACACCGGTGTCAACATCAACCCTCCTTACTACGAGCCCCCCTCGTCATCCTCGTCATCTTCTTCATCATCTTCTACTTCCACGACGTCGTCTGACTCTCAGAAGTCCTCGTCTGCAGCATCTCCTTCGGGCCCTGCCAGCCAGTCTGCGGAACCAACCCCTACAGATGCACCGACTGATTCTAAGAAGAAGACCAACGTTGCCGGTATCGCTGCCGGCACTGTCGTTGGTGTTGTTGTCCTGGGTGGCCTCCTCGGGGCTGTTTTCTTCACCATGAGGCGGAGACGGAATGCCGAAATCGAAGAGGAGCATCGCCGGAATGCCGCCGTCAATGCCTTCATCAACGGCTCCAAGCCGCCCTCCACCAGCGGCAGCATTTCCATGACCGACTCCCGTCTCGACCCCATCATGGCCCACCGCAGGCTTAGTGACGGCAGTATTGCGGATAATGAGGATTACTCTCGCCGCATCTTGAGGGTATGTAGTTGCCTCGCTAGTGGCTCGTTTATAAGAATTTCCATCTGATTAGCTAACCGTCTTCCAGGTCACCAACGCATGAGCAAATGGCCATATATCCACTTAACGACAAGCGAATCTGCCTATACTCAACTTACAAACATCTCCTTCAATCATGGGCATTTACGGCGTTATCGGGATGGTAGCTCATGTCCATTTGGTTGACTCCCGGGCCAGATGGCCAAGCGGCGTTTTGACTTCTTTTCTTTTCTCTCTCTTATTTCTGGCGTAGGGATAGACTTTTTGATACGGAGGGAAATGAATGAGTTTGGCCATCTTCAACATCATACCCTGGCTTCCCTACGCCGTCCACTCTTTACGTGTCCGATTGAACCTTACAATTTAATTTTGGCGATTAGAGAGCGAGGAATGCAACGGCATTGGCTCCTCATCTTCACAACCCCCTTTTATGAAAGCAAAAGGGTGCCGCAAGGCTATCTGACTGACACGCTTTGTGTATTCAGCCTGGCGTGTTATTTTTTCATTTTTTTTATTTGCAATTCCCATTTCCAGGAACCTCCTGTGTATAAACCTGTTGGCGTGGGGAAAAGGCATTGACCGAGCTGTTGGCACGATCCACGCTTCGGGTGTATGTATGAAAGGGATAAAGGCCAGGAGGCGCGTGCGGGTGTGAGAGACACGGGGGCTAGAAGAAGATAAAATATGGTTGCTACCTGTGTTGTTTACTTCCTATTTCTTTTCGGACGTGGGCGATGGATCTTGGGCGGAATTGTGTATGTAGGGATTGCGCATAGTAACCAAGCACGTCATGTCAAAAAACAAAACAAGAAAAAAAAGATCCACATCGAGATTGCGAGTGCTATTGATTTCCTTTGTTCAATAGGAGAGCGAGGGAAGACCACTTTCCAGTGAAGGCGATGCCTTTTGTCGTCTTCTTTTCGTCTTGTTGTGGGATCTCTGTGATTTCGAGGGCACCTCCGGGACTTTTGAGGTTTTCTGCTATGCTGGCGTTGAGGTAGTTATTGAGTCTGTTGGTGCATTGTTGTTTCTAGTCGTGCTATATCTTTTTACTATGATGCATTTTATACAGTCTATTCCAAGCTTATGATTCAATCTGTAGGTGACGGTGTTGATAAGTTGGGATATCAACTCTGGTTTCTTTGATGAGTGGTGTTAATACTTTCTCGCGGGGCCCCGATTCCATGCAATTCCGTCGAATTTATTCTCTACATTGATTCGATACACTTTGAAACAATACATGTAATCAGTCACCCAACAATACAAAAAATCTCAAAGACGCAGCGAATATGTCAAGATAAAAAGGTGCCCTCTCCGCGAAATCGTTAGTCGCTGTCGAAGTCCGGCACATCACGTGACATGAATTTTCCTGAGCTTCAGCTTGCTGTTGGCAAGTCGCGTCAAGAAAAGTTCCCCATACAAAACGCCTGAAACCTATTGAGATTCCATCAATTCATCCTTGAGCCACAAATAATGCACCAGAATCGCTGAGCGCCAAACGACTAGAGCTTTGTAAAATACTGCTCCCACCTTAGGGTGCGTAGCAGCTACCAGGTCTTTTCGCCATGGCCCCAACCACCACACCCAGAATCCGTCGCACGGCGCAGAATACCCAGTTTACGTGAGTCTGCAAGCTTGAATCCTTGCCTCTCTTACAGTATGGAGCTAATGCCGGGACTCCAGATACAATCTGTCGCGCCGCGTAAACGATGTTCAAACATACCCCATCCAATCTCCTCAAGGAGCTAACATTTTAATCTACGGACACGACAACGGTGTGACTTTGGTCTGGCGAGGTGGTCGACGATTCAAAGCTTCCAAGGAGGCAGCGCCGCAGCAGACAAACCAGAAGGAGCAGAGAAACGGAGCTACTGATGATGCTGTCATGATTATCGATTCGGACGATGATGAGCCACCAGCCAAGTCACAAGCTGCCCAAGGCTATGTCGACAAGCCTGAATTCGAAGATGCCGTTGAAAAGACACCCTACCCCGAGATTGTCCAGACACTGGACCTGGCATTTGGAACTTCTGTATTGAAGGTCGCTGTAATGCCTCTGGTGCCCTGCTCGTCAGCCGAGGCGGGCTCCAACGGCGAGCCGATCTTGGCGGAAAGGATGATATTCGCGGTTTCTTGTGCCACAAACGATGTCTATCTTGTCACGCTACCTCTGACTCCACCATCACCCGAAAGCAAGGCGCGGCCGGAATTGAGAGCGGACCTCTTGGCTGGACAAGCTGGCTCTGGTTCCTGGGGTGAGTCGCTGACTCTTCTTGGTGGCCAGACAAAACACAGTGAGGGATTGGCCATCACCATGGTTGCTCCAAAGTCTATTGATTCATCAAAGAAGCCGCTTAGAGCGGTGGTGGCCGCCTTTTCAAGGCAGGCGTCGGGAGTTTTACATCTGTGGGACCTTGCACTGGACGACAGGTCACCCTCCCAGCGGCCCGTCGAGCCCTTTCAGAGCGAATTCTTACCTGCTCCCCTAACCAGCATCTCATTCAACCCGACAAATACGTCTCAGCTCCTTGCGGTGTCGTCGCCACATGCTGTAAGGATATATGACTTTGCACAAGCTTCGTTGCCCTCCGACCCAGATGCCCGAGGCCCCTTCCCCACCCAAGGCTCGTGGCTGCTCTCGCTATACCAGCCATTTACTAAAACATCTTCCTCACGAAAACCGATATTGGATGCTGCATGGATAGCGCATGGCCGAGCAGTCTTTGCTTTATTGACGGATGGCATGTGGGGTATCTGGGATATTGAAGGAGCGAAACCGCTGCAATCGGGAGCTGCATTGTCAAACAAGCTGAAGTCGGGTGTTCAGGGGGCTGCATTGACTGCCTTTAGTGTCTCGGGATACGTCGAAGGAACTGGCTCCCTTCGCACCATCGCGACGCAGCAAAAGGAGAAGCATGCCGGTGAATTTGCACCCATGACACCCCATACCCGCAAGCAGGCTGCCGCATCCCTGACAAGCACCACCGCCGCAAGTGTTGATCGTCTATTCGCGGTCCGCGGTGGTGTAAAGTCTATCGGACTCCCTTACACTCCCGGCAAGGCACTCCAAGACGAAAGCCTGGCTCTATGGATAGGAGGCTTAGAGAACGTCTGCGTCATTCCGGGTGTTTTAAGATTCTGGGACTCACAACTTCGAAGAGGATCCGGCGGTGGGGTTAACTTGTTCAGCGGCGCTCAGCCTACCAGAATGCTGAAACTGGTTGACCTTTCTACAGGGCTTTTGGGAGAAAGATGTTGTGGAGTTGGTCTGATCCCAGACTCGTCAAAGAATGACGAGGACATTCCCGATGATGGCGGCCTCCCAGTGGACGTCTTGATTCAAGGAGAGTCGAGGATCGTCATTGTGCGAGAGGGAGAAGACGGCCCGGGAAGAAAGATTGGCGCCGTCGTTGCTAGCCACAGGAAACGTCTGTTCTCGAGGAGTGACAAGGAGGCCATCATTGTTCACGGAAAGCAAGATAGATCGGCAGGCCTGTCGTTCAACCTGAGTACGGTGAAGCCCGGAACTCTGAGGCTGAAGCCGTCTGCCAGAGACGAGCTTGATGGAAACGGAAACGGCAATGGAAACGGAGCCGGTGATAGGTCGGATGACGCGCCAACCCCGACAACTAGGGCGCGTGCTGGCTTTGGATTCACCGACACCTTGAGCGCAGCAGCAGACATCAGCGCCGATTTCACTACCCGAGATGTGGAGGCGGAAATGCTCGATATCATGGAGATTGACCAAGCCCTTAACAACATGGAAGATTACAGAGGCAGCGGGAGGAAGAAGGTGTTTTTCGAGGAGGACTGATTTTACTTTAGACATTTTGAGGTGACTGATGAGAACAGGAATACCAGCGGCATTGTCAAATGACATATATGAATGAGAATGCGCCAGGATGACGCAGTGTACGATAACCCCCGAACTAATAGGACATTTAGGAGCCCGAGAGAGAGGCATGCAAGATTGTGCCTGGCCGTGAGTCTTGCTCTCGACTCGATTTGATGTCTGTCAGATACTCTGCCGTGCATGTGTCCACGGATGTTTCTCCCTATATGTGACTGAACGGATGCTCCTCAACAGAGCAACCCTAGTTTCCGCACGGCAAGGTGGAGCGCAAGGCGAGACTCATCCTTGACAGCTCTGTATTCCGAGCGGTAGATTAAACATTTTCAACTCGATGGCATCTACACGGGAGGGAGAGGAAGGGGATTTATCAAATGACCATTTGCTTTCCTGACCTGAGTGATGTCCTGCTATCTGCTGTCGACTCAAAGGCTGGCGGGTTTCTTGGGACGGGCTTGTTGCTTTTGTCTTGGGGATTGACTGCTGGCTGTTGAAGATGGCGGGGGGCGTGCTGCCTTGGTTAGGGGGTGGTGACTGTCGAGACATTTTGATAGGTATATATGCATCAGAATATGGATGTGCATGCGCATGTACTGTTTTTATCTCTTGTAATCACTTTAATTTCACTTGTGGATTGGATATTGGTCACCCAGAGTTTGAACGTGGAACTGGAGCCGAGAAGAGTGGCATGGTATAATGAAACATTTGGTTTTACATGGATGCAATTACTCCGTATACATTATGTAACAGAAGATTCTCCCGACATGTAATTAAGAAACATTTGCCACACCTTTCTTTTTTCTGCCTCTTTATATTTGCTTGCTTCCTTTATTACCCAATACTCGAAAACTGAGTGTTGCTTTGGATCTTGGAGCAAAAGACGGCAAAGTGACGCGCTGGCTCGGAAAAAGTGGAAACCACTTAACATCCCAGCTATCGATTTCGCGAAAGGGCGCGTCATTCACCTTGTTCCAGCGCGTCCCTCAATTCATTCAATCACCCGCTACGAACCGACATTTATTCAGGCAACCGCACGACCGCCAAAGGAAGGCTTTAAAATACCTGTCGGTTGGTTGGGAGCCAGAGGAACCTCGTATCAGGACTTCAATTTGTTCTCTTCGTTTCCTTCTCTCTTTCTTCCAGTGCTCGGCTGCGAATTGGCTTTGGCACCGTTACCGTCCCGCCGCCATCATGGGTATCAAGCAGCTGTTCCAGATTGTCAAGGAGGAGGCTCCCGAGGCCATCAAGGAGGGAGAAATCAAGAATCAGTTTGGGCGCAAAGTTGCCATTGTATGTCGGCGTCTTGCTGGAGCTTCCATCGCAAACGGGCATCATTTCTAACCAGCTGCATCCATCTATCTAGGACGCCTCCATGAGCATCTACAGCTTTCTGATTGCAGTTCGATCCGATGGCCAGCAGCTCATGAACGACAGTGGCGAGACAACGTCTCATCTGATGGGCATGTTCTACCGCACGCTGCGCATGGTCGACAACGGAATCAAGCCTCTCTACGTCTTCGACGGTGCACCGCCCAAGCTCAAGTCTGGCGAGCTGGCCAAGCGATTCCAACGCAAGCAGGAGGCTACGGAAGGTCTCGAAGAGGCCAAAGAAACGGGTACTGCGGAGGACATTGAGAAGTTTTCCAGGCGGACGGTTCGGGTGACGAGAGAACACAATGCCGAGTGCCAGCGATTGCTTAAGCTCATGGGCATTCCATACATTGTTGCGCCGACCGAAGCCGAGGCGCAGTGTGCGGTGCTGGCAAGGGCTGGCAAGGTGTATGCTGCTGCGAGTGAGGACATGGACACATTGTGCTTTAACACACCAATTCTGTTGCGTCATCTTACTTTCAGTGAGCAGAGAAAGGAGCCCATCCAGGAGATTCACCTGGACAAGGTTTTGGAGGGTTTAAACATGGAGCGAGACCAGGTATGTTGGCTCGGTGGATATTCTACGATCGGGTGGCTACTAACATTGTCTTCCTCTAGTTTGTTGATCTCTGCATTTTGCTGGGTTGTGATTATCTCGACCCAGTTCCCAAGGTTGGGCCTACTACCGCCCTGAAGCTCATCCGAGAGCACGGATCCTTGGAGAAAGTTGTCGAAGCCTTCGAAAAAGACCCCAAGAAGAAGTACACTCTGCCTGACGACTGGCCTTACAAGGACGCGCGGGAGCTCTTCTTCAACCCGGATGTGCGCCCGGCAGACGACCCCCTCTGTGATTTCAAGTGGGACAAGCCTGATATCGAAGGATTGGTTCAATTCCTTGTCGCCGAGAAGGGATTTTCCGAGGACCGCGTTCGTAGTGGAGGTGCTCGACTCGAGAAGAACCTGAAGAGTTCACAGCAGGCACGCCTGGAGGGATTTTTCAAGCCGGTCCCCAAGTCGGACGCGGAAAAAGCTGCGCACAAGCGCAAGCTGGATGAGAAGAATGAAGAGAAGAAGAAGAAACTCAAGCAGGAAAAGAAGGACAAGGCTGCGGCCAAGGCAAAGCCTCGTGGTGGTGCATGATTCAGCGTGAACCGGGAAATCGAAAAAAGTCAGGCGGGATGGAATAAAATTTGCTACATTGGAACCATCTTCAAGTGTAGATGGAATCATTAGACGCGTGGCATTGGCACCGGAACCCAAGGGTAGGGACATTTTCATGGCTTGGCTTGCTTTAAGGAGTGCAGAAGCATGGAGTTCTCGGCGTGTAGGGGAGGAGAATATTACGCCATTATATCTGGAATTAAGTAAGACCAAGGGCTGTTTTACAGAGCAGATGAGCTTTGATTGAAATAACAGGAGAAAAAAACAAGCAAAGAAACTTAAAATCATGCGATGCCATGTTGATGTATCTGCTCTTTTGCATGCGTTGGTGGTGAATACCAAGGGGACTTGCATTCAACGGCTGCTTGAGAAGGGTGGCGGCAGGCTTTGTTCGGCCCCTTTGATCCACGAAGGAGCACATCTGTGAAGAGTGGACTTGGACAATAGGGGAAATCACTTGAATCATTTGCATTCACACAGGCAAGCCAACCGCTCGGAAATCCATGTCCGCCAATGTCTCATCCCCGGATGCAGAGCGCACGCTTCATTCTCGAACGGCTCTCGAACCACATTTGGGTGCGTGGGGGAAAAAGCCGACATGGGGTAGAAACGTTGGGGATTCGGGGCAAGTAGAAAAGCATGAGATTATTTTCGGATGTAAAATACCACGCTCCTGACTGGCTTGGGATTAAAATACAGGCACGAAATGGACTCTTTTGATGGGGCGCATGAGGATGGACGGACGGGTATTTGACATGTGCCTCGGCATCTTTTCTTGGGGGTTGTCAGAACGAGGTTTGGGGTTGGTCCGCGGCAGCGTCGGGGGCATGACATCAGGGCTTCCTTTTCACATGCCGGGGGGTGGCTTTTTGGGGAGAGGCGTTGGGCTGGCACATGGCTCGGTACAGAGGGTATGTAATGTAATGTACCTAATGTAATGTAATGTAATGTAATGTAATGTAATCTAATGTGCCCATTGAAATCCCACTAGGTTAGATACTAGGCAGGGCAAAAGGCGCGAGGGAAACGGAATCGAGACGTGCCCTGTTTTTGTTTGGCTTATGTATGTACGGAGTTGCTGTACTGTAGGATTTCAAGGGACCGGACGCGGGCAAGGATCTGTGGAGTGGCATGTGGTTCGTTTTTGTGGGGGAGAAATCCGGAGGTCAGCATTTCGGCTGCTGCTTTGGGGGGAAGAAAGCAGATTATTGATGTCTCTGGCCTAGTGGCCTCGGAAGGGCCAAGCTGAAAAAGCGATTTGGGGGGCCGCTGGTTGGTTGCGATTGGGGAGACGCACGCGCTGCCCAGTTGGCCAAAGCATGTGATTGAGGGAATGCCGATGTCTGTTTAAATACCGGCAACGGGGACGGCGGGGAGCCTCTTTTTCATTCGTCTTTTTCTTTATCATTCTGCTTTGTGTTACTGCTGATAGTATTAATTAATTTTCAATATTATATCCTCGCCATGGCTAAAATCTTCACAGCTGGCGACGTGGCGTCGCATAACAAGCCCGATAGCTTGTACATCACCATTGACGGTGACGTCTATGATTTGACCACGTTCCAAGACGACCACCCTGGTGCGCATTTTCCCGCCCTTTTTTGTGCCCCCCCGCCCTGCTTGATGACGGCGTTTCTAACCATTGGATTGGATGACAGGCGGCAAGAAGATCCTGCAGCGAGTCGCCGGCAAGGACGCCTCCAAGCAGTTCTGGAAGTACCACAACGAGGGCATCCTGAAGAAGTACAAGGCCAAGCTCCAGGTCGGCTCCCTCGACACCAAGCCCAAGGAGGAGCCCAAGGAGGAGCCCAAGCCGACGCCCGCCCCTGCTCCCAAGGCCGTTGTCAAGGCGTCAAGTAGCAGCGAGGACGAGTCGGAGCCTCTGGAGGCGTTTGGCGACCAGATCCCCTTTGCGGACCCCAGCTGGTACCAGAACTACCACTCTCCCTACTTCAACGAGTCGCACGCGGCGCTGCGTGCCGAGCTTCGCCAATGGATCGAGAGCGACATCGAGCCTTATGTGACGGAGTGGGACGAGGCGAAGCGCGTGCCCGAGGAGATTTACAAGGAGATGGGTCGCCGGGGGTACCTGGCCGGCCTGCTGGGCGTCAAGTACCCGACCGAGTACGTGCCTTCGGGCATCAAGTCGGTGGCTCCCGAGCAGTGGGATCTCTTCCACGAGATGATCTTGACCGACGAGCTGTCGCGGACGGGCTCTGGCGGCTTCGTCTGGAACGTCATTGGCGGCTTCGGCATCGGCGGCCCGCCCCTGTTCAAGTTTGGATCCAAGGCCCTCAAGGACCGTCTCGCGCCTGGCATTTTGAGCGGCGACAAGCGCATCTGCCTGGCCATCACGGAGCCTGATGCCGGATCTGACGTGGCCAATCTCACGTGCGAGGCCAAGCTGAGCGAGGACGGCAAGCACTACATTGTCAACGGCGAGAAGAAGTGGATCACCAATGGTATTTGGGCCGATTACTTCACTACTGCTGTGAGGACTGGCGGGCCTGGCATGAATGGCGTCTCGCTGCTGCTGATTGAGCGCGGTCCTGGTGTGACTACGCGCCGGATGGATTGCCAGGGCGTGTGGTCTTCTGGTACGACGTATATTACCTTTGAGGACGTAAAGGTTCCTGTTGAGAACCTGCTCGGCAAGGAGAATCAGGGATTCCGAGGTGAGATTTCCCGAGTATCTGATATGAAGCAAGTTGGCTGACAAAACACATCTAGTCATCATGACCAACTTCAACCACGAGCGCATGGGCATCATCATCCAGTCCCTGCGCTTCGCCCGCGTCTGCTACGAAGAGTCGGTCAAGTACGCCAACAAGCGCCGCACCTTTGGCAAGAAGCTCTATGAGCACCCGGTCATCCGCATGAAGCTGGCGCACATGGCGCGCCAGATCGAGGCCTCGTACAGCTGGCTGGAGAGCCTCGTCTACCAGTGCGAGAAGATGGGCGAGACCGAGGCCATGCTGCGCCTCGGCGGGCCCATTGCCAGTCTCAAGGCGCAGTCGACCATTACCTTTGAGTTTTGCGCCCGCGAGGCCAGCCAGATCTTTGGAGGTTTGTCGTATTCTCGTGGTGGGCAGGGCGGAAAGGTCGAGCGGTTGTACCGTGATGTGAGAGCGTATGCTATTCCTGGTGGTTCTGAGGAGATTATGCTTGATCTCAGCATGAGGCAGTCCCTGAGAGTTGCCAAGGCCATGGGCATGAAGCTGTAAGGGGGAAAAGAGTTTTTAACATTTTTTGCTCCCATGTTTTTGATGGGAATGCGGGAATTGCTGGGGTCGATATTGTATATGACTTGTACGAATACGTATTCCCAAGTGTTGGGGGTATTTTTTTGTGGTTTTGCCTTGGTTATCATATCATAGATTGAATGACTGAATTTGAAGCAACAGTGAAATTCTTACTCTTGTTTGACTTGTGCCTCATGGGTACCTAGTAGAGTTTGGCTCATGACTTATGGTTACCGACCAAGGTAACTCAAAAGCTGAGGCTTTATCTTTATAGTGAGGCACCTGTCAGGATAAGCCACCCCTGTATGTTAGTTCAATATGGAGTGGCCCTTGGTTGCACTGCACTCGCATGGGCCGTTATGCAACGGTCGAATTAATCGAATTCCTCTCTTGTCAGGCTCTTGTTGATCCTGGGCTGCTTAGTGCCCTTGTTGTCTGGGGTAAGATGCAGCTGCTCAGGGATACGAGTACAAGTGCCGATATCGTTGTGCTGTGCTTGCAATCCAGCCCATACTTTAATCCCACCACCTCTCAGCTGCCGTATTGTGTTACTGGTCCCGGCCCTAGCCGTGCATCTATCCAGTGCTTTGTATTGTATTGGTAGCTTTTGCACTTGTTCCATGGCGGTGAGCCTCTCATACATCCTCATCTGATTGAGCATTTTCTTTGTCCATTGCCAGCGCCTACCTACTGTAAACGCCCAATGCAGCGGCTGAAGCGCTGAAGCTGAAGCTGAAGCCATCCATCCAGGCAGCCCCGCCGGCACGTGACTCACACCAAACCCGGCATCCTTCTGATAACTACCTGAGTAGTACTTGCTTCATCTGCCTTTTGCCTCTGCTCCCGAGCCTCTCTCGCCAATTCTCTCTTCCCATCTCTCACAGACTTCCATCCGTTACCATTTCCATGCGATCCTAGGCCCTCGCGCCGCAATAATTCATAGACGACCATCACACTGTCGATAACTCACCGTCAACCGCCCGGGCTCCTTCATCACTGAACTGCCCTCTTCTCCTCTCCCTCCTTCTCCGCTGCTACCCAAAGTCGTACCATTGTTCAAAGAACAGGCTCCGACTTCCTCGACCCAGCGTCCCCCCGGGCTCGAGATCGAAAAAGAGCAAAGCCACCTCTCCGCTTGCAGGGTTTTTTCTTCTCCTTTGCAGCGGTCTGTCGTATCACCCCTCGCACGACCAGGAAAACAAAATAAAAAAAAGACTTCACCTCGTGGACGCGAGGTCTAGAATCAGCCGAGCATGGCCAGCCAATTAGCAGATCAGTTGCAGAACACTCAGTTAAGGTAAGGAAGGATTGTGCCTTTTGTCTTGCTCAGAGGGACAAGAAACTTGGTCTCGCTGAGCGTGGAGGGTGTTGATTTGTTTGCTAACTCCACGTTTGACAACCAGCGATGGCGTTCCTCCACGAACTGAAGACTGGAAGCAGACCCTGAACATCCCCGCCAAGGACACCAGACAACAGACAGAGGTTTGTTCCTTCTCCTGTGCCTGAAAGCTAATCTTGATTCGATTGATGGCTGATGCTGTGATACTTTTCTGTGTCGGATGACAGGATGTCACAAAAACAAAGGGCCTCGAGTTTGAGGACTTTGCGCTAAAGCGAGACCTGCTCATGGGAATCTTTGAAGCTGGCTTTGAAAAGCCCTCTCCAATCCAAGAAGAAGCCATCCCCGTTGCATTAACCGGCCGGGACATCCTGGCCCGAGCCAAGAACGGCACTGGAAAAACTGCAGCCTTCGTCATCCCTGCTCTGGAACGCATTAACCCCAAAGTCTCAAAGATTCAATGTCTTATCCTGGTCCCCACACGCGAACTAGCCATGCAAACATCACAAGTATGCAAGACGTTGGGTAAGCATCTCGGCATCAATGTCATGGTCACAACCGGTGGTACTGGTCTGCGAGACGACATCATCCGTCTACAGGAGCCCGTCCATATTGTGGTCGGCACTCCGGGCAGAATCCTCGATCTTGCAGGAAAGAATGTCGCCGACCTCAGCGAGTGTCCCATGTTCATCATGGACGAAGCCGACAAGCTTCTCTCCATTGAGTTCACCCCCGTCATCGAACAGCTGCTCCAATTCCACCCCAAGGACCGACAGGTCATGCTCTTCTCCGCCACCTTCCCCCTCTCTGTCAAAGACTTCTCCGACAAAAACATGACCAGCCCCTACGAAATCAACCTCATGGACGAACTCACCCTGCGTGGCATCACACAGTACTACGCCTTTGTCGAAGAGAAGCAGAAAGTCCACTGCTTGAACACCCTCTTCTCCAAGCTGCAAATCAACCAATCCATCATCTTCTGCAACTCGACCAACCGTGTCGAGCTTCTGGCTAAGAAAATCACCGAACTTGGCTACTCGTGCTTCTACAGCCACGCTAGAATGCAGCAGCAAGCCCGTAACCGCGTCTTCCACGATTTCCGCAACGGCGTCTGCCGAAACTTGGTTTGCTCAGATCTTCTCACCCGAGGCATTGACATCCAGGCTGTCAATGTCGTCATCAACTTTGACTTTCCCAAGAACGCCGAAACCTATCTCCATCGAATTGGTCGATCTGGTCGATTCGGTCACCTCGGCCTGGCTATTAATCTGATCAACTGGGACGACCGCTTCAACCTCTATAATATTGAACGAGATCTTGGCACGGAAATTCAACCCATTCCCGCGAGCATCGACAAGAGTCTCTACGTTTACGAAAACCCCGAATCCATTCCTCGCCCCATCTCCAACCTTCCCAAGGGCGCTCTGCCTCAGCAACAGTCATTCCCTGCTCAGCCTCTGGCCCAACCATCCTACCATCAGCCCGCTCAAGGAAACTGGCAAACCCAAAACGGTCAGCAGAATGTCAACTCGCAATTCAATGGAGGGCGAGGCCGAGGTGGCCGTGGCCGTGGATACCGTGGCCGAGGTGGTGGCAGCGGCGGCAACGGTCGAGGTCGCGGCCAGCCACCGCGAGAACCCCAATCTTAACCTACTTTACCCCCCCTTATATGTTAAGTGGGTGTAGGTGGATGGTGGTCGCAGGTGTTGATTTTTTTTTTCCTATGATTTTCCTATTTATTACCTTCTTTTCTGATTTCAACATGATTTTCTGTAGGGCTTTGGGGCAAAGTTTTTCATTGTTGGATTGTACATTATCCGCACGAGTATTGGCGCACGAGCGGAACGGCGAACCGGACTTGATTGCTGATGAAGCTCTGAGCACTCCATGTTCATTGGGAGGGTGGTTCCTGATTCGAGCTTTTCCCCCTTCTCCCTACACAAAGCGCACGAACAATTTTCAGAAGGGGGAAGAAAAAGAGAGAGAAGCTATGCTTTGCACCAAAAAGCGAGCTCATTGTTTATATCCTCTTGGGCTTTCTTTCTTTTTCTGTTTTTGAGCGGCGCTCTTTTGTCAACATTATACATTCTGCCATCGACTCTGGAAGTCATTTTCTCTTCTTGTTCCTTGCATGACTGATAGCGTTGACGAATGAAAGAAGGGGCCGGATGGGCTGGAGATCGAGGAACTTTGTGAGATGGAGCGAGGGGAATAGCATTTCCCGAGGGACGGGCAGCGGGAAGGGTTTGTTGCTACGGAGTTGGCGTAGTTGGACGCAGGGAGCGGGAGAGGCATGCATCACGGCGTACCCGGTTTTCTTTCTCAGCATTTTTGTGCTGGCTCCTTGCATTTTGGGAGGAGAGCAGTTGCGATTTTCTGTTGAAAGGATCGGTCAGGTGCATCCATGAGGCGGCTATGATACCTTTTTTGACGATTCATCACGTTGGACGAACAGGACCTTGATGACGAGGGTTTGGAGGAAGTCAACCTTCCAATCACATTTTGAGTGTCGTCCTAAGAAGAAACAAGGGTAGCTTTGGAAGGCTGGTTGGAGGGCCGAGTGTTTTGCATCTTGTCAGCTCACGCTTTGACGAGTCTATCCGTCCGTTATTTGACAACGATTGCTTTGAGGCACAAACTTGGACGATTATCGGCAGATTTCAGAGCACTCGGCGGGTGGAGGTGAGGTAAATGGATAAAACAACTGAAAAAAACAAAAAAAAAACATTTTTTTTTGGGAGGGGGATTGTGAGCGCTTTAGCTGGGGACTTTGATGGCTTTCGGACTAACTGAAGACTCATTCATGCGTCTGGGGTAAATGTCTCTAGATGCCGGATACGGGTATTGATAGGTAGTGAGCAGATAGTTTCTGGCTAGGCAGCGGGACAATTCCAACAGTTTCTCTCTCAATTCATGTCCACGGGTTGCTAATGTGACTCGACGCGTGATGATGGTAACTGGCTTAAAGAGCCCGGATGATTCAAAGCTGACTTGTTCATGATTCCTCAGGAGATGCTCTGCTAGTCTGTAACGTGGATGTAGACACAGATGCCTTTGTTGCATTTCAATATCTGGGAAATAACCTTTGATAAGAAAGACTCAAATCTGGTGACATTCATCTCGTATTGATAGAAGGCTATAGAAATAATCATACATGTGCCCCCTTTCCCAGTCATGTAGCCCCGAAAGTAGTCTGTACATATTATGCCCCCTTGGTCGACCTTGTGTTTTAAAAAAAAAGTATCCCAATCAAAAGGTTTCCTTACTTTCTTTCTCCTCCCTCCCCCTTATGCACCAGCCACGACGGCCAGATTATCGTAAATCGCCCTCTTCACCTCGTACAGCGTGCTCCTTTTGCCGCCGAGCGGTAGACCTACGCTCTCCACGTCGATGCGTCCTTCGGCCGTCTTGCGGACTGCCACTGAGCCATCGACGACGAGCGTGCCCTCGCCACGGAATTCAGCCGAGTGGCCCGCCCCTTGCATTGCGCGGCGTAGATCGGCAAGGCGCAGGTCGCCGACGTGGAGGGACTGGGCGGCTGATCGGGCGGCGGAGATGAGATTCACGGGCAGGACGTCCAGAGTGGGCATCGAGGCCGTGTCGGCTGCGTTGGTGAGCGCAACGGCGGTGGATGTTGGCGGCTCCGTCTTTTGCCTCTTGTTGGCGACGTCGTCGTGCGTCTGCCCGTCTGCTTCCTGGGCCAGGGCCGAGGCGAGGAGTTGGCCTGTGATGGTGACGATGCCGAGACCGCGGACGTTTTGCCACTTGAGCTTCTTCACCAGAGGGTCGGCGAGCTTCACCACCCAGGCGTTTGTGTCCATGCTGGCGTCTACCCACGTGCCGACTTCTGGTGTAAACACATCGACGGAGCGGTCTCCGTCGGACGCCAGCGCGGCTCGACAGTCTGCCGCGAGGGCTGTAGTCTCTTCTCGATTGCCTCCCACGAGAATCAGCTTTCGTGGCTGGATTAAGGGGATCAGCATGTTTAGACTTCGCTTGTCGTGCAGTCCGCTAAAGTCTATCATGGCAATCCGTAGGTTGACTGCCACTGTTTCTGTCGTGTACACCAGCTTGCATGGGCCGTTGGGTTCCTCCGGCTCGGTATCCTCGACCGAGTCCAATTCGTCCGTGGCGGCCCCGTCGGCTAGGTCCATGGCATCGGCATCATCTGCTGCGACTGCTCGGTTCGTGTTGGGGCGTTTGTTGGCACCGGCTGCCTGCTTGGCGACATCATCCCACTTGCGCTTCTTGCCGAGCTTGTCGTCTTCAGCGGCGATTTGGGCATTGTCAAGAGCCTCGTCTTCCTTTTCTTCCGCTCGAAGATAATCTTCTGGGCGAATCAGCTCGCCAAAGTCGTCGTTCCTCTTCCTTCTAATGGCCATGGGGAACGAGCGTTCTCTGCCCCTTTTACCACGTGTGTCGAAATCGAAGACCGTCTTTTTCTTGATCAAAATATTGATACCTAGGTCCTCATCTTTGAGAACCACGTTCTTACGCCCCGCTTGGCCCATTGTAGCAGACACATTAAGCGCTTTACCCTGTTGTTCACCTTCGTCTTCGGAGTCGGATGATGATTCGGATGAGGCATCATCAACAACATCAGCAGATGCTTCCAGCGCACCTGCTCCACCGGCCTGCTGCGTTGCCTGCAGCTGTCTCTGAGTTGCCAACCATTGTTGATAGATGGCGAGATCGTCTCCTTCCAGAGGTTCACGGCGAGCTTCACGAACTTGTAATTCACGACCGCCGCTGTAGACCATTTCCAGGCTATCTCCGCTGCTGGCCTGCTCTGTGGAAATGCCATCTCTTCTTTCTCTCCACCATTCCCACAATGTCCTGGAAATGGAGGGAGCATCATCCTTGGCTAAGTTGGGTCGCTCTGTTAAGATGACCAGATTTCGAGAGTCCTTGGCCAGACCCTTTACCAAATCCTTGGAGAATCCCCAATCCATGCTAACATCACTGGCGAGGATCACACGTCCCTGCATTTCCCCATTCTCAATATTTTGACTCAAAAGCTTCGTAATTTGGGCTTTTCGTTCCAGCAATCGCAAGTACTTGAAATCAAAGGGAGCTCCCTCTTTCTTCTCACTACCTCCGTTGACCTTTCGCTGCCCCTCTGCGAAGGCCTCAAACTCCTGAACAATATTGTTGTCCATCCATTCCAGCATGCTCCGCGCGTATCTCATGGTGCTTGAGACATTTCGGCCTGCTAGGTATAGCTTTGAATACTTGAGGACGCCGTCCTTGTTTGCGGCATCAGTCCTCCAGGCATACTCGAGGAGATAGGAAATCTCCAAAACTCTGGCGCTTGAGTCTACGGGGATGAGAACCGTGCCGCCTCGACTAACACACGTCTTGATCATTTCGATCAGCTGTTCGTCTCGCTTCGCACGACCACCGGCCTGCGCGGTTTTATCCGCACCACGAGAGCTGCAGATCAAAGCTGTAGGCTTGCGCAGCTGCTCAATGACTTCTGCACCGCCACCTCCGGCACCACCAAGCCAAGCAGCTCCAGCAAACACATTCTCACGTGCTTGATTCCAGTCGACTGCATAAACAATGGATTCCAGCCCGTGCTGGATGTGCCATATCGTGCCACCGAGGGTGTGGCCAGAGTTGTACGCGGTAATGGTCAGCCCATTCAGCGGAGGAGAAAACGGCGATGAGAGAGGTTGATGGGGTTGTGAGTATTTGAGCGGCTGGATGAGAGAAAAGAATCGAGCAATTTCTTCGGGTGTAGGGGACTGCAGAAGCAGGTTCTGGGCCGTCGTGACGGTTTGTGAGTATGCGTATGCCGTCTCGGAGAGCGAGCTCTGGCGAATCGTCGTGGCGGCAGCGGGAGTAGAAGAGTAGAGGTCTTGGGTGAGCGTTCGGCCGAGATCGATGACGGGTCGAGTCGCATAGACGGGGATGCGAGTGAAGAGAGCGATGTTCTTGCAGCAGTGGGCATATGCGGCAAGATGCGACACCGTGGCATGTGTGAGGAGAATCAGCGAGAGGGTGGGAACCTGTCTAGAAGAAGCTTCATGTCAGCTCTTGTTGCTCAATTGACTCTCTGTTTCGACTGGTTGTTCCGCCTATTGTGAGAGTCTTGTGAGGAGAACCCCCGACTGGAGCGTCCGCGCCTACTTTTCCAGCTCCTCGAGCTTATCGCTGCTAAACAACTCGTCCCATCCCATGTCAACAAGCACTTTCACCCCTCCATCGAGCTCCAGGAGAGATTGCGACGCGAGCGACTCCGAGAGAGCGCCCTGGAGCGGGCAGAAGGTGAACATGGTTGGATCTGCCGCCGCGATGGCAATGATTTAGTCGAGTCTTTTCTGCAGCATGATTCGTCGGATGCCGAGTTGAGAGTCGCCCAGGGTTGGGAATGCGAATTGGCTGTGAATCGTCTGGAAAATGCTAGGCAAGCTCTACAGGGCGGATCGCGTCGCTATATTATTTGATGCAATTCTCTGGCGCGGAATTGAACATGATGGACAGGGGTCGGATCGGATCACGGGATCGGGGATACTTTGATCCTCGATTACACGATGGTTGCGCAGGCTTCCTTTTTAGGCAATTTTGGTTTTGGCTTTGGGTACCCCCACGTTCAAAAGCTTGACAACAGGCTGTGTCAACTCATGACAACTCATGATACATTAGATAGGCATGGATTAGTATCTACACAAGGAGGAATTTTCTTTATTCTACTGTAAATGAGTTAACAAAGAACTTCCTGCAGCAAATGGTACAGCTTGATAGGATGCAACCATAAAGTGTAAAAGTATAAGGCGTAAAAAGGTAAAGAGGCTTACAGAGTTCAATCAGGCTACAAAACAGACTACAAGTAGATTCCTTGACTAGGTACCTGGCTGCTACTATCGTTGCTTTCTTATAGTTTCTGCTACTACCTTAGGTACATCTATATACCTCTGGTATCTGGTAATATCGCGAGCTCTAAGTACGCCACTGAGTTCAAAAGAAAAGTGGCATTTCCCCAAACTCATTTCGTAGAGTTTCGGTTTCATGGTAAAGTTTAGTTTACCCAAAGGGATTGCTATATAAACATGAACTGCCTCCTATTCATATTCGTTCCATTGCTATTCCTCCCATATTTATTTTGTCCCATACACCTTTCAAGTCATCGATATCACCAAAACCACCGCCATGGCTCTCACCCGGTTGCTGCGCGGTCTTAAATTCCGATCCAGGCCTAAGCAGAACTCGTCCTGCCATATCCTTAATCTCCCTAAGAACATTCTTATTTTGATCCTCGAGCATCTTCCACAGTATCAACAGGTAATCATCGCTCAAACCTGTTATCCATTACGCTGCAGTATCCTGGATCACAACAAAACTCTCAAGAATGGTGATGAGCTTCATTTATCCACCAACCTCGACCGGCATCAGCGATTAGAGTTTCTTTTTGCTCTAGCCCGCAGTCGACTCAGAGTCTGGGCCTGTCATAGATGCAATAAATTCCATCATAGAAGAAAACTTGGTATTCTGATGCATCAAGAGGCACCAAGTAAACTTCATTGTCAGAAGCGGAGCGATTACTATACACAGGGTGTATATAAGGCCTGCTATGGTCATATTCAACTCGCCTTGAAGTATTCCCGATTGCAGATTGAGAACGAAAAAGCCGTATCTCGAATGAAAAAGTCAGATAAGTGGTACCTCGATAATCTCATGCGGCCGTTCTCAGCACCGATTCGCCCACATGAATACGGCATGTCAGATAAGATAAAAGGAAGACTACATGTCTTCTCAAAGATTATCGATGGGCGATTTCTCATTCATTCGGTCCGGACATTCACTAAAGACATCGGAAATGTCTCCCGCCAATCTATAGGCCGGTTCCGCATATGTCCACATCAAATTTGGGATCCTTCGGGTTATTCAAATTCGACGTTGCTAGATATCCAGACCTATGCTTTCCGTCTTGGACGTGAAGTCTATCATTCATGCGACTTTTGCGAAACGGACTTTTCTATACAGGCCACTTCTGAAGTCACCGTATTTCGTACATGGCAAAATCTTGGGTCGGAGGCCAGTTACTTGGAGAATCATTCGTGGCATTGGCAGGCAGATATTTGCCGCCGTGACTTGGTTTGTTCTCAGCGCGGAAGAATTAGGGAATTATACGAACAAGACACGGTCTGATGGCATTCTTTAAAATGATCATTCGCAAAAATAGCAGACTAGTTGGAAATGAGAGATTATTAGTTATCTATTCGGTGCCAAAGTAGTGCACATATCCGTCTGCCTTGGCCGTGGGGAGCTCTATTATCGCTGAAGTCGTCATAGCAAGCGCTTCGCCGTCCCTTATTTTTGGAAGACAAACCATGCTGCGTGTGTATAACATGCGAGGATCGTTGCACCCTTCTGGCGGATCATCATACTCGAGGGTTGGAAACTTGGCCTCTCCCTTTTCCCGTGCCCATTTCGTCTCCCATACTTGTCTCATGTGCGTTTTCCACTCTGCGGACGTATCTTTTTCTGTATCCTCCTCCTCTTCAATAGAAGTGTAAAACATGCGAGACATAACAACGACATTGGCGTTAGGGTTTCGCTCTTTCAGACGTGTCTCAAGATCCTGGCGTTCGGAGCCTGGTGAAAGTTGGCGCAGAGCTTTACACCGACCTTGATCAAAATCGTAGAGATAGAGGACTTGGAACGTCCCAAATGAAGAGTGAGAAGCGTGGTATCCATGGTAGTTGTCTTCATCGTGTTCATATTCCTCAATGTGTTCCTGCACGAGTAATTTGTTCCCGACGAGGCTTGGGAGTCGATCAAATAAACTGCCGTACAGCGTCCGTGCGTTGGCCTTGTCAGAAAACACATGAAAGAGATCTTTGAAGAGATCTTTGTCCATGAAGTATCCAGGCGTCGGTTGTGCCTCGGACTGCACATTGTTGTGAGCTTTACGCACCCTTTGAGCAAATTAGTTCAACTTACCGGGATTTCACCAGTGAGTAAACCCACGTCTGCAACTGTGAAACGACTCTGGTGCTGGTGATGATGAACTACAACATCATTGTGGGCAGAACTCCCGGGAATTGCGATTGCATCATGGTCATTTCCGTACTCGAAATTCTCATGTTGATGGAATAACCGACCCTTGTTCTGCTCTGAGGTTGTAATTGGGATTGATCTTTGGAGAGAATATGGTTTGTCATGCGATGGATCAAGGTGGCCACCAAGAGCAATATGTGAGGGTGTAGCAAATTGAAAGTTTCCCCGGTGCTTTGGAGACAATAAGTAATTGTAGTGAGAAGTGGCGTCTTGGAGTTGCTCACACATTGAGGCGCGCGCTCATCTTGAGGTATGTCTATCCTCGTGAGGTTTCCGGATTCGGTATCCCAGATTGCAATCTGATTTGATTTACCAAGGCAACTCACAAATGAGTTATCTGAACCATCGTATACGCAGATGGCTACAGATGAGCCGTGAAGGGCAATCTCGCCATCGGTAGCCTCTGCAGTCAATGTCCTTTCGTTATTGACATTGCCGGTCAGGTCGTGAGTGCGCAGTATTAATTTACTCTCGCTAAATATCGTCTCAGTAAGATATTCACAGACTGTTCTGGATGTTAATGACTATATGTATTCACTCTTTTCTGAATTCTGCAGTGACAAACCCCGCTTGGTTGCCTAGCAGTCTTGAGCTTGTGGCATGGTATGGTAAATCCACGACTCGTTGAAACTCGACTATGTTGTCTTCTGTTCCCAAGCTGGCGTTGATGTCGGCCATAAAGATCAGCGATGGAGATGTAACGCTGTTTGCTGACGGTAAAGTCAACATGATCTGGTCGTCCATGACGCTCCATTGCGCGCAATACTCCATGTTTGTTGACGAGAGTTCTGCAGGCCGGCGCAAGTTGAGAACTCGCTGCGGCCGGCCACTTAGCCAGCTCATCCGCGCTTCGTCTTCCATTTCAATAGAGGATGTGTTGAATTAGACGCAGGTATACTCAACCTTGCAAACTGGAATGAGTTGAAGAGGTGAAAGAATTCTCGCTGCTTAGTTGCTTAGCGCAGTTTAATTTAGACAAAGTAAAGAGAGCCCGGTTTTGAGGGTAAATGGATCGTGAACCCGACGTTAGCGCTCACCGCTCGGTGAACAAACTTATTCGACAAAGAAAGCGTCGGGGAATCAAATTTGAGAATAATCGCGGAAACGTTCGAGATCATACATACTGGAAGAATGTGTCTGTCGCTTCTTCCACAAGAGGATTCGGGAGAAACAAAAGAGAGTACATGTAGCTACATCTATGTGAGATGTAAATTGTTTACTAAACATTAAACTACATCTATGTGAGATATAAACTGTTTACTAAACAAATATACTCCGAGAGACAAATATGTGACACCAAGATCTGTTAACCACTGTCATCGCTGTCTTCACCCGCAGACAAATCGGACGTCTCTTCATCTGACCCCTCCTGCCCATTTTCTTCCTCATCCTCATCCTCATCCTCATCCTCTTCCTCTTCCTCTTCCTCTTCCTCTTCATCCTCATCCTCCTCATCCTCCTCTTCATCCTCATCTTCCTCCTCTTCATTGATATCTTCGTCTGAACTTTGGTCTGCGTTTTCATCTTCTGTACCTTGTGAATTCTCTGCGCTTATGGTGGAGGGATTCTTCGCAACGCTTGTTTCTTCGCCGTAGGGGCAGAAGAGATTCTCATGGCCGGGGTGCAATATCTCTGGGCTCAAGGCGCACTTCCAACACAAATAGAAGTCGGCGGCACACACTGTCTCCTGGCATTCGTAGTCGATACCAACGCCCCGCTTGATCAAGAAGAAGTTAGCAGAGTGCTGTTTTAGGGATGACAAGTGGGTTATATTGCCTCCATAAGCTGTGAACCTTCTGATGATATTCGAGGGAAGGCCCGTACAAAGGTGAGCGCCATATCCCCCAAAAAGGGAAAAAGAAAAAGAGCCACATGAGGGAATAAAAAAAGGAAGGGGGCTACTCTACCGCAAGACAAACATCACAATACGCTGTGCGCCTGTAGGTGCCACGTCGGTCACACTCCTCATACCATAGATCCTTGGACTCATCATCACACCTTTTCAGCTCTTCTGGGCTTGGCCGGAGGATGTCTAAAACATCTAAGCCGGAGTAGCTTGCTAGTTTTACTGGTGTCCAGAACTCATCATGAGCCCCTTTACCTTTAACAAATTTGCTGGCGCCCTGGTTTATCAATAGCTCCAATATGTCCTTCAACTGATCCTCGGACATTGGAACACAGATGGGTGACAGAGATCGCAGCGCCCATAGCAAAGGCGTCCACCCGTGGATATCAGGCTCGTTGAGAAACTGTGGCCGCTCACGAAGGACAAACTTGACCACGTCCAGCCTCCGGCTCTGCACGGCAAAGTGAAGTGCATGCCGTCCGATCTTGTCTTTTCCATCCAACGTGACACCTTTTTCTCGTAGTAGTAGCTCTGCCATCTCCACGGACTGTAAGAGTGCAAAATGGATTGGCTCCCGGCCTAGGTGGTCGGAGTCATTGGCCACGGCACCCATCTCCAACAGTCGTGTGACGACCTCGGGCTTGCACTTCATGGCGGCAAGGCTCAATGTAGAACCCCATGTACGACTCTTGATTTGGACGTCGATGCCATCAGTATTCAGGAGGCAATCGAGTATTTGCGATTTCCCTACAGTTTTTCCATCTTCGTTTCTCAACAGGGCCGAATGTAGGGGAGTACCCGGATTTTCCGAGTTGGTTATGTTGACGTCTGCTCCTTCGCTGAGTAGGAATCTGACGAAATCAGACGATGCGTATCTACAAGCCCTATTGAGTACAAGAGGCTCGTTTTCTAAACTGTTGATTTTGGCACCCCAGCGCACGAGGCAGCGTGCCACGTCCAGATTGTCCGCCAAGGCCGCGTACCAAAGGGGCGTCTTTTTCGACGTGCTCCGGACGTTGACATCAGCGCCATTGGCCGCGAGTGTGCGTATGGTAGACACTTCCGTGCTGCGAGAAATTCGAAACATCGCTCTGATTGACCATTTTTTGCCCTTAATAAAGTCTAGGTTCCGGCAATGATGAAGAATTAACTGGATATGAGCGGCGCCGCCTGACCTTGAGGCGGCTTCTTCCAGCCATCTTCTGGCGTCAGACGATTCAACTGTTAGGTCAGGGTCATGATCAATGAGAATTTTGGCAATCTCCGTCTGTCCGGTTCCAAGTGCAATACTCAAGGCCTGCTCCAGTGTATCTCTCCGAGGCATCTTCTCCAGTATCGCCTTCACGACTTCACAATGGCCCCATTTCGACGCGAAGTAAAGGGCTGATAGGTTTTGTTTATCCTTTAAGTCAACTTGGGCACCGTACTTGAGGAGCAGTATAGTGATCTCTGGACTGTCGTATGCACAATGCAGTGGCGTCCAGTCATCTCCTCCAACGTCGACTTTTGCACCTGCGGCAAGTAGAGCACGAACAGCCTTAAATCTTCTGCGGTAGGCCGCATGCCCTAATATTGAACGTCCAAGGGACGGGATTTCCATGTTGGGGTCGAACTTGTGTTCCAGTAGTTGCGCCATTAAGCCGAATATAGTCAGTATTTTAATAAAATTCCCCGTGAAATTTTTTTTTTTTACCGATGGGCTATTGATGTCAATTCCTGACCGTGCACCTACACTGCAGGCAATGTTGAGTAATTTTTCGTTTGCTCTATATCCAGCTTCCTTAAGTAAGTAACAAAATACGTCTTCGTCAATAGTTATAGGGGGTCGCAGTAGTTCTTGAACTACCTCGATCACCTTATTTTCGAAAAAAGCATACAGTAGTTTCTTAAAAGCCGTATCTTCTGTGGTTACGTTATCCGGTCGTAGAACAGGAGATATCAGAAGCTTTATATACTTCGGAACAGACAAGAAGACGGTCCATGAATCAACGTTCTCGTTTATAAGGACCAAAGAGTTTCGTGATGCCCAGTCCAAAATGCAAGATATTACAGCAGATTGACCATACTCCTCGGCTATCTTAAGAGAGTCCAGGCAAATTGAGAGTAGAAACTCAGATTCCGGGGCGTGTGCGGACTTGAGATGATTCAGGAATGGCTCTATAACCGCACTGCTTCCGTAACGACAAATAATATCCAAAGGCTGCCGCCAACTTTCGGTGTGATTAATAGGAGGGCTGATACCGAGTTGAAGCATAGCGAGTAGTATATCAGGCGTTTTTGTGTAACAGGCCAGACCCAATGGGAATGAAGACTTGACAGAGTCATCGAGAGACTTGTGTTTGATGACCTTCTCTTCCACGATTTTTATAGCGACAGGGTTGTTAAGGGATGCCGCCCGGCATAGAAAAGCTACAACGTCACTAAAGACTTGTCCAGTTCGCGTGCAGTGTCCGATAACCTCCTCAAGAACCTCATCGACTCCAGACTCAATCGCCGCCAAGATTGCTTTATCTGCATCATATCGCTGGAGCCTAGCTTGTTGTGCTATGGCACGAACAATCTTGAGATGGCCAGAAGCAGCCGCAGCAGTGAAAGCGGCCGCAAGGTTTTCCTCAGAGACGTTTTGACCTCCAGCCGCATCAATCACAACCTCAATTGCAGAGAGAAGGTCATACTGTGCCAGTATTGAGAGCGCCGAATTCCTCCCAGCTTTGGTAGAAACTAAGGGATGATTCTCCATAGATTTTGCATCAGCCCATAAACTCAAGCCCGACTCTTCGTTTGCAAGTAAAGCTTGGAAACTTCTCTGTTTAGGGCTCCAACGACCTCCGCTACGTCGGGCATGTTCAACCCAGTAGTCGACTGCGTACCACAGAAGGCTGTGGCTTTGATCCCGACCAAAAATCCCCATTTCTCTACCGTGGGTATTATTTAGAACATCCTGGCTGGTTGACAGCTGTAGGTAATCGAGACACCAACCTGCCAAGGCTGCATGACATTCGCGTTCATCCTTCCACCAGGAGACACCTTTCATTTCGCTGGGTGATTGTAAAGCTTCTCTTATCATGTTGCTAGCCAGGCATACATGATCTCGCTGTGTAGTTACGAGACCATGAAATAAAGACGCCGCTTCTTCATACGTTGATACCGTGGTATTGGTCAAAGTATTCATAGCGACGTCGAGGAGCGTTACAAACTCTCTCTTGTTCAGCGGCCGCATACCCCACAGGATAATTGTCATCACCGACATTGCCAAGAATTTCTTCTCGGAGAATGAGTTGAAAATCATTCTGATGACTTCATAGTCATTGGCACTCGATAGAAAGTCATTTATTATATCCTTAATACCGGTGTGATTGGAATTTTCTTCTATCCATCGATATGTAACTTCTCGTAGCCAAGGAGCGAGGCTGGCTAGTTTTGAGCGCACATGTTGAAGGGGTGGGTGGTATTTTGCAACTATATGCCAAGCCGCTATGTCAATAGACTGCAGCTCTTGAGCTTCAGGAGACGTCTCATCGGACTCTGGGGCCGCCAAGATCTTGCTCGAGACTGGGGCCAGGGCTATTGTTATTGGCGAGCATTCTTGGGCAAAACCAAGAGACTCTCTAACGAGGTCTATTCTCGGGCTTGTTATGAGAACTTTGAGACGCAGCTGGCTGTCTTGAAACGCTTCATGAAGCTTCTTGACCAGCCAAGTTTGCCATGTTAGGCCGGCATCGAGATTGTTGAGAACGAAAAGTGCTGTAAGGTTTTTGTTGGCGCTCAGGTTGTCCTTCAACGAGCACACGCAAATGCGGAAGAGATCTTCATCTCCTAATCTGTATACACTGCCCACAGCGTCAAGGTGTCGCCTGAGCTCGTATGGAGAAGTTGGTTTGGGACCAGAATTCGAAAGCCATAAAGATTTACATCTGAACAAGAGTTGCGATAGCCATGTCGATAAGAGCGCATTTAGCGAATTGTATTGGGGGCAGCTTGAAGATAAATCGAAGGCAAAGTTCAAAAAGCTTTCGCCCATGATTGTGGATAAAGAGCATGAAGTACTGGCCGTGTCCGCACAAGGTGCTATTCTTTCTCCTGTAAGTTTAAAACTTACTCCCTCACTATGTATCCATTCAAGCCAGGCTTCATTAGATACTCCGTCCGTAGTGTTGTCGGTGATATAAGGGAATGGAGGCTGCGGCGCGGCGTAACTCAATGCGGCTTGAAGATATGGATTGAGGCATAGCGCAGCTACAAGTTAACAGTTAGGTTAGCTGCAATTGCTTAATGAGTTGATACCTTTGGGTATTTTACAAGTAGTGACATGGATATCATACCTCGTTGGTCACGCTCCGATCGGAATATCGGCAGGGTTGAGTTCGCTAATATTTCCATCATTTCACCAGACGAAGTTATTGTCATTCCTAATATCTCGAGCGGGTGATACACGCAACACATGGTCCTGGAAATGGATGCCTACGATATCCTGTTAGGCTGATTGTTCAACAATTGATGATGTCTATCAAAGGCTCTCGACATACCTCGGCCGTGGTGGAGTCGGAAGGCAAGACGCTGTAAATGTCACCTAAGGAACCCTTAGACTCATGGAATGCGTTGTTGGCCTCGATGACTACATCTGCGAGCCCTTGCAAGTGGTGGAGAGCCGCTGTATCTTCCATCCCGTTTCGGGACGCCAGTATTTGTCTCAGGGCCTTTTTCAAATCATCTTCATCTTGCCATCTGCCAAGAGTACACACGAATACCTTGAAAGCTATGAGTTAGCTAGTGCATATACCATAACCAGTTATGTTGGAGGTTTCTACTGTAGCCCTTATGTGTGCCCATATATCATTGAGCTCTTCGATAGTTCGTGGTAGCTGAGCTAAAGCCTACTGCCAGTTATTATTCTGTATTTCTTTCCAATTCCTTCTCTATTCAGACATTGAGCATTACTAAAGGAAACGACGTACCTGTTTCAGTAGGATGCCACCAAATCCTTGGCCAAGAAACAAAATTGACGGTTTCTTTCGTGGGTTTAGATCAGTAATTTTCTTTTCTTCTTTTCTCACGAAATGGGTCTGAGTGGCTGATGCTTCAAGACAAAGCTTGACATACATTTGTGTCGTGTCGCCGAAGCTCCAGGATACACTCCAGCAACGCTGCGGCCTCGGCCTGGACTCCTTCTGATGTATAGATCCCATTCTGTGTATCGTCCATCCGCAAGAAGAATTGTGAGATGCGAGAGTTCTTGGAAGTGTGAGAGCTAAAAGCCTCAGCAGCATCATCATTTTCGCATTCGGCTGCAGACCATGCTTCGAGAATGAGAACAATGCTAATGACATGATTCACGTGTTAGCCAGCTGGGGCTTTTTTTTTGGTATATGTGTATGTGCAGAGGAGAGAAAGGAGGGGAGAGTGTTTGGTTATTGAGCTATGGGTAAAGAAAACTTACTCATCTACGGGCTGGTTGGAGTCGTCGAATGACTCTGGATTTAACACCCTTAGCCTTTTCATCATCTTTTTGGATTCTAGCGTTGTCAAACAAGGAACTTTGGAAACGAAGAATGAGGTATGTGATCAATTCAAAAATATTCTCGAGCAGTAGGTAAGTTTATACTAAATGATGCCTCACCCCTCAGTTCAGGATGGATTAATTCAGCCTAGTGTCAGGAGTGGCGGCTCAAAGGAAGAGTGAAAGAGTCGAGGATGACAGCGCACAGTCACTATCACGGACCACGCAGCTAGGGTTACACAAAGGACTGTATTTATCTCTGACCTTCCTAGAACAAAGGGCCTGGGGCTCCTTCTCTTTATACTCGTTCAGTCCCCCCGGCCAGCTAGTGTATTAGCTGGGAACTCAGAAGCCTTTATCCAGGTTCAACGGGGAGATTCCCTTCTTTGTGACTTGACCTCTGACACCTAGGCAATTATAGAGGTGACCTTGCATGAAGAGCTCTGAGCTGTGACTGCGGGGCTTCTCGAATGACCAACCGCGCCCGTTACAAAGAGCTTCGACAAGGATTAAACAATAGTTAGGTGTGTACGCAAGCAATAAGTATCGTGTAGGGAGTGACTGGCTGCTTGTATAGGTACAATATCCTTCAGCCGTGCAGCCACGAAACAAGTGTTGAATTGTCCAAGTATCTTAGATGTCATGTCTTATCAGTTGGGTATTTAGGTCTCTTTCCAGGGCTTTCCAGGTTAGATTCAACCATGGAATCGGGCTTTATCAAGACAATACTATCGTACATTGTGTTTACCTATATTATTAAAAACTACCTCGTGAAATACCAGTATCTCAATGAAAGCTAATACAATACAATAGAGCTTAATGAAGAGAGGTATTTCATAACATGGTATCCAAGATATAAAGAGGGGAAGTGCGTAGGTACTTTACACCTCCCACTCCGCACATGCATGGAACTAATATGTATCGAATCATCAAATGTGGACGACACCGAAATTGACCACGAGATTCATTTCGGTATCTATTTGGCCTCGCAATTACTCGCTCTTACTATGCTATTACCATGTAATTTATGAATTCTAGGGCTTTGAGAGTGGCTGATCTTTGGGAAGGGCACAGTATCATGGAGAGCAAGGTCAAGGTTGGAGGCCAAGTTGATGAGAATAGGCAACCAATCAGAAGTCCTATGTAACCGCGCGCATGTTTTGATACACAATCACATAAATTCGATCAACAACAATCTTATTCAGACAATATTTGTGTTTCCTTCGTTGAAATTATGGAGACATACGCAGAATGTGTAAACATAACCTCACGTATGCTTCTCAGCGCCCTCCCATATATTACGCAATGTTATATCAGTCAGACTTCGGTCATTTAGATTGATGCTGCCTAAACTTGCCCGAGCCTGATTATCGTAAATGCGCAATTGGTTGGTTGGTTGACGCTTGGGGTCGAATATGATAGGGTCAACCTTGCTCGGCTGGGTGAAGACACCACGAATCCATTCCTTGGCAGCAGTCGGACGGTCTGCATGTACGGTGACTTGGACCGTTGCACTGAATTGCTCCTCTAAAGCTCGGCGTTTCAGAAGGATGGCACACTGCATAGAGGCTGCAACTCCGTTCTTCGTATTCGGATTCTCCATAAGCGTCCATGAGGCACTATTGTGAAGGCCAAAATTACGGCCTTCGGTATCAGCAGAGCCTCGCACAATTCCCATGCTCTGAAGTTCGCGTTCCACTGATTTTTCCCGCGATAATTCAGCCCCCACCTCGAAACCTGCAAACCCAGCAGTCACAGAGCCCTTGCCTCCAACACAGACCGTCTCCGTCCGCTTTGTAGGAAGAATGGCGTAGCTTTCGTTGGGCCAGATCCGTACTACTTCTGGATCAGGACGATCGGTTGATGACCCTAAGAAGGACAGCTTAATGCGGGCGGTCTTGACGCGGCGGCCGAGGTCATCGGGATCGAAACGAAAGAGCAAAATGAGGAGCGTTGCCTCCACATCGCTGTCCTCACCCCATTGGCCATGAACAATGTCTCTCACATTGCACCGAACATGAATGAGGCCTCGCCTCTCGATCACATTTGTACGCTCATAAGGATCTGCTGGATCGTTCTCAAAGTGAAAGCTGGAGCCATCGTTTGTTGAGTCGGATAGGCCAAAGTTAAAGGAAGGGAGCTCGTCGTCCATGTTATGTTCCATGCTAAGCCTGATAATTTAGGACCAGGTACATCAATGCTTTCAAAAGTGGGAAGAATGTCTAACAAGTTCTACGAAAACAGTAACGATCTTATTTAGATCCATACATCGAATATATACTGAACTTGCTTAACGCATTCATTACTTATTATCATCCACCTTCAGTCTCATCGTATGACAAATACATACATTATATTATACATTATACATCATCTCCCATATGTAGCAGCCAATATCGAGTCATCGATATGACGATGATAGAGGCTCAACTGCACTTGTCCAGTCTTACGAGTAGGGTTACATGCAGCCTAATCTCGCCGATTGTTAACTTACCCCGCTCGCAGGCTGTCACACATCACTAGCATTGTCGCTCGCTTCCATCTTCAATATTACATGCATCTCTGGGTTTGAGACGGCTCGTCATTTGCTGCCATTAGGGAAGTACCATAGGTACAGGTACACGGACTCAATTCACATACATCCTTGTAGTAGATGCTGCCAACTATTAAATACCTGGTAGATACTAGTAGTATTAGGCTCTAGGGAATCCTAATAAACTGCCTGTTCACACAATCGTCTTGATCAACCCATGTAGGTACATGCAACACCTTGCACACGCTCGATATTGATTCCCACACCACTGTCTGGCTGTCTCTATCGTTATCAAAAGTTGTGTCCCTTTCAAAACACAGACAGCATCATTTTCTAGCACTTTTGGCAGCTCACTACTGCCCCTCATGCCGCCGCAAGGATATGACAGTGATCCCAAACTTCATGGCACTGCTGATCAGGTTTGCGAGGGTCCTGAGAACATGGAGGATTCAGATGACAGTCTAAATGATCCTACTTATTCGCCAAATGTAGTGGGAGAAGCAGGTGAGGATGACTCTGGCTCTGGCTCTGACTCTGACCTTGAGGAAGATCAAGAAGAGGACGAAGAGGACGAAGAGGAAGAAGGCGATGAATACAATATTGACGGCTACTCCGCATTTAAGCGTGATGAGGAACGCAAAACGCGAGAGGCAGAAGAAGCCTTGCAGCGCGCAAAAGAGAAGGAATTAGCACTTACCAAGATTGAGGAAGAAATCAGGAATGCTGCGTCAAACACAAAGCATCTGAACGAAGCCGAGTTTCTCTCCTTGTACGGAGATTCTCTAGACTACATCATGCCGGAGTCTGCGAACAAGAGGAATGTGTTGCACATGCTTGCTAACAACAAGTTTGAGGATCCAAGTCAATTCCCGGATTGGATCATCCATTACATCTACCGTAACCATACGAACATCCCTGGAAACAATATGCGGAACAGTTTATCAAGTCTACTCACCGACAAGTCTCAGGGAAGGCCCAGTCTTGCTCTAGCAAGGGCAATTCGCTGGAGAAACGAGCCATTCATTAGCACCATTCTGTCTCTCGAACTACAAGCCAATGACCAGAGCCTCAAAGACAGCCTCAAAGATAGTCTCGGCGAGAGGTTTGACACCGATACTACGTCGGGTAATAGCATACACTGGTCAATCGATCAACTTAAACCGGACCTGACAGTGCAATTGATCGAAAAGGCTGCCGGCGATGAGTGTCTGCTAGCAATGGACAAGAAAGGATACACGCCTCTCCATCTTGCTGTTCAGTATCCTAATTGCCTGAAACGAGTCGACGTCATCAAAGCCCTGCTCAAGTACGGAGACAAGGCGCTAGACCTGCGTTGCGGCGAGGGATTGTCTGTATACAAGTACTATCAAAAAACAAAGGCAGCGTTCCAAGCTCAGAAACAGCAGGCTGCTCTATCGCTCAAAAGCAAGAAGTCTCTTGGGGGAAGCCGTGATAACTCAAAGAAGCCTCTACAAAAGCCGGCACCTCTGAAAATAGAACGAGAAGATCAGAGGGAGAAAAGCAGTTCATCACGATTGGAGGATGGTAAGGGGGGTGATGGAGATAACAGACAAGACGCAAAACCCGAGGAGGTAGCATTACGACATCGAGGCGAAGGTGGAGAGCCAGTACAGCCACTTCAGCGGAAAGGATCTGCGCTGAAAGAGGCATCGAAAGAATCGAAGACACAGCAGGCTTCAAAAGTACCTACAAAACCGAAAAAGGGGGGAACAAAAAGAAATGCCAATGGCAAGAAAGTGGCCACTCTAACTAAAAGTTCTAAAGAGGAAAAGAAAGCGAAAGAGATGGAGGACGACATAGAAGATGAGATAAAGCTTCAATATTTGCGCTCAACCTTCAAACAACCCAAATCAGACGTCAAGTCTATAAATGGTTTTCTTTACGCCGAAGGAAACGGTAAGTTTGTCGTACCTTTCAATACCTTTGTCACTACATCCTTTCCCAAAACCCGGATTCGGGACTCCACAACATAACAGAATAACGATCCCTCCACTTGTTTGTTGAGCTTGATGCTAATATTCCACTGCTCGAACAGAGAGACCGTTTTCCTTGACGATGCTCCAAGGACCTCCATTAGTAGATGAGTACGTCTTTACAACAGTCTACAATAAAGAGAAGTTCGACCAGACACTGCACCACGTAGCAGTCCGCCGTATCATTTTCAAGCAGATGAAGAATCAAGAGGTGGCAGGGCGGACTGACATGGAAATACTCTTTAAGTTGTTAAGAGATAAGGGTGTTCGTCACATTGTCAAGGTAATTATATTCGACCTGGAAGCCCCGCCTCACAGCGACGAGTCAATCGAAAGATGTCTCTCCGGGTTTAAATCTATTGAGATTCTTGACTGGCGTAAGGTTGACCTGTGTCCGGAGACGATATTTGAAGCCTGCAAGAACGTGGTGGAGCTACACCTTTGGTGGAGTGGTAACAATGGTATCCTAATGGCATGGAGTGCTCCGGGTGGCCTGGCTAAGTTTCCCCGATTGAAGGAAATATATATCCACCAGACTCAGGTAAGTCCCAATATGTTTCTATTTGTTATAGCTTTCTACAGGCTATGCAAGGCTTCCTGATTCAATCGATCCTAAGGAAAGTCATAGTATATCGAATCGGTCGAACGGGATAAAAAGAATCTACAACGTTTTAAAGAAAGACTCGGAAAAGAACGCACGGCGTCACGACCACAAGAATACAGACCGGAAGAGCGGCTAAAGCTAGCAAAGTCGGGTCAGACGTTGCCAGTGACTGTCCTTGAAATGTGGCCCGACATTAGCATCAATGATTCGGACACCAGCTATGCCGCTCACCCAAGCCGTTCTCTGGCTACTTACAGGCCGCAACTGAATCAGACAGCTTCGCGGTACCGGAGACATCAATGGCTAGAAATCATGGATAAGTTTGCGGCTAGCATCGACCTTATCGACTTAGCACCTGTCAACCCACCCGATATCTTCTCTCCTGGAGATGTGAGAATTGCATTAATAGATGACGGTGTTGAGATAACCAACAGAAACCTCACTAATCGAATCTACAATGGTTGGACATGCGATACCGGGTATGAGGGTGATGGGTTGGAAGGCATTCCGAGGCCTTACACAAGCTCCGAAACGCAACACGGCACTTTCATGGCCTCTACAATATGTCGCATCTGCCCGAAGGCAAAGATCTTTGTGTTTCGCCTTGACGTGGTATCTACGCCTGGGAAAAGGGCACATTTCACTGCTAAGAGTGCAGCAGATGTGAGTTATTTCTCTCGATCCCAATTGCTCCCAATTTTTATATATATGCTCTTATATCGTTAACCATTTATCCAGGCGCTTGAATTAGCTATCGATCCCAAACGAAAATTTGACATCATTTCAATGTCGTGGACTATTGCAAAAAATGACCAAAATAGCGTTGACCTCGATAGACTTCAGGTGGCTCTGAAGAAGGCATGCGATACAAATCATGTGCTACTCTTCTGCGCGTCTCCGGATGGTGGAGAAATGGCAAAGGCACAAGCAGAAAACTTTTATCCATATGGTTGTAATGATGCTGGCCTCTTTAAAATAGCAGCCGCCACTGTAGATGGCATCCGTATCCCCATGGCAGGGTCTCACCATGATTATTCTCTCCCAGGTCACGAAGTTGAGGATACAAACCAATCAGCTGCCAATGGTGTCTCTGATGGTCAACAAATAGCCGATCATGAGAATAGTGGCCTTAAAACGGGATCGTCCATCGCAACGGCCCTCGGAGCTGGCCTTGCCGCGTTGATTATCCACTGCGTCAGACTTGGTGCTGCTTATATGCACTCAGAGAGCCATTCGTCCGCTGCCGTCACGAGTAATGAAGGCAGCAAGGGGACTGAAGCGACCTATAGCCGCCTATTAGGGCTCGAAGCGCTGGATCAAATCAAGCGGCCGGCGCATATGCGGCGTGTCTTCAACCGCATGATCAGTGACAACAGCTCTACTGACCGCTTTATCGAGGTATGGGAGTTCTTCGCGGGATGCGGAGACGAGCTTAAGAAGCAAGGCAGGCAGATTAAGACGCTCAAGCTCAATATTGAAGATGCAAGGGAGATGGAAGCCCCGGATGTGGATGAGATGGTAAAGGAGCTGCAGAAAAAGAATGATGAGAGGATGATGGAGATTGTCAAGCTAGCATTCAGGTTTATTAGCATTTGATCTATGAGCGACATTTTATATAGAGTATACCTCTTGCTCGGAAAGGGGATTCCTCTCTTCGCCCTGGCAATCGTAAATCAGACGCCTTGGAACGTTGTAACCCTATTTGAGGCTTTTCCCTTGAACTTTTAAGCTGTTCAAGTGGAGGAGCGAGAATGTCACTGCCAACCAGCTCAAACTTCTCCGAGTGAGCCAGTTTCTCACACAGCACGGTCAGAAAGTGTCAGTCATTAGTCGCGCTGTTGCATACGCAGGTCCAAACACGATTATCAGCATATTTAAGAGATGTAAAAAAGTATCCAATCACCTTTCATTTATGGAAACGCCTTATACCAGTCAATGGTGGATGTGATGTTCATTCTGGCCAATTGCTCAACTTTGGCTTCAATATTGGCATAAATATCTTAGTTTCATAATTCCCAAAAGTCATATCTGCTCTTGTGTTTCCTTGAAATGACCTTAGCAAAATCCCAAATGCCATAACTGCTGGTGTCGGCAAAATTACAGCATGCTTCGAGAATCACCAAGGGATTTTTGGGGTGAGTCAGAAGTTGCAGAGTTATGGCGTCAAAACGCTTTACGAGAGCTTTATTGAGGGTTTATATAAATCAGGCAATCTTTTGAGAACAAGTAGACTATGGTGCAACCCAGATAGTAGTTCATCTAGATACTTGGTAGGCAACTTACTTTTCACTACCTACACAACATAGCCACAAGCTCCAGAAATACACCTAGCATGTGTGGAGAATTTTTTGATACGGAATTACCGACATTCAATGCGCCCGAAACTTCACTACACGATATGCATAAAATGTCAGATGTCAAAGTGGCAAGTACATGGCGTAGATTGTTACCGACACTGAGGATACAGCAGATCCTTCTTCACCGTCGACCATAAGAACGTTACATAAGTGGGAAAGCCGCACATCATCACAATTCTCCGTTTAATCGTATAGCTAGCCAGTGCAAAAAAGGGCTTCGTTAGTCTTAACTTAAAGACCGCGCTGGGCTTAAGCCATCTACAACATCCTCCAACCGGATTGATCACATCTGGCTGCCGTAATTCGCTAAGCTCCGCGGAGATTTAGTGACAGTATTGTGGCCTGAATGTTCATGCCTCTTCTTGTTTCGTACACATTAGTTGGCAATTCGCTTCATCATTGCCAATAGGTGGACTCCACTCTTCAACCACAACATGGCACACGCCATTACTGACACATTTACCGACAGGGAGGATCAAGAATCCTCATGGCTGAGCATTTAGACTCTTCACTAGAGAGCTCCGGAGAAGACCATACGGTCAACCCCATATCTTATGTAAACCCCAATGACATCGACTCTACAGTGCATGAATGAAAGCCAGAGCCACACTAAACTGTAGAGCTGAATTGAACAAGAACGGCGCCCAAGCCAGTGTTGCCACATCTCAGTTCCTGCATTTGGGGTTCTTTGCTATTAATCAAAGCCCACTGCCGTAGTTTCGATAGATTTTCCCCATAGATCTTCTGTCATTGCTCTTGCCAACATTTCCATCACTTACTATGCATTCGGACGCCCGATTTTGGGCTGTCTCTGCTTCAGGTTTCTTAATATTGAGACGATGAACGCACGACGCAGCCCCTGACAACGTCAACATGGCCGGATTCAGTTCCGGCGTAGATCACACATCGCTTGTGTTTCAAATCCTCATACCCGTCTTCTTCTCTCTCGCCCTATACAACGTCATCGAACTTACGTTTCTTATCTTCCATACCTTTAAGCGACACTCGGGTCTTTACTTTTGGTCATGTGTATTTGCCACTGGGGGTCTTCTCTTCCAAACTGCTGGTTTCTTCCTGTTGTATTATGCATCTCCATCGGTGGCATATCTGGCGGTGACGGTATCGCTTCTAGGATGGATACCAATGGTGACGGGCCAGTCCTTTGTACTATGGTCTCGATTACACCTCATTTTACACAATCGACGGCGTCTAAGGATGATCTTATGGATGATTATTATCAACGCCATACTATGCACTGGAGGGATCGCCCCAATGATATACGGTTCCCTTGCCAATCCAGAGCTATTCCACAAGCCTTTTTCCATCATGGAGAGGATCGAAGTCACCGTTTTCTTTGTCCAGGAACTTATCATATCTGGAGTTTATATCTTCGAAACACTCAAGCTCATGAGAGTACAGCAATCTCTGGGGATCAGCCAGTATGGGCGCTCTCTCATGAAACATCTAATTATTGTCAATGTCATAATTATCATACTCGACGGCACCATCATCGCTCTGGAGTATGCCAATCAATGGGAATATCAAACTGCCTATAAGACCTTCGCGTATAGCGCCAAATTAAAGCTGGAGTTCACGATTCTCAACCGTTTGGTCGACATGACAAAACAAACCAAGGAAGCCCGCGCTCCGCCACAGGAACCAAGTTCAACAACACGAACGACAAGTCAAACTGGATCCTCTATTGCGCAGAAAAGCTTGATCCAAGCCCCAGGTGAGGCGCAGACTTGCGACGTCTCTTTTCAGGCAACTGCTACGGCAGATAAGGACGGATCTTTCAGGGGGGGTCGGCCATCTATGCCGGATCAGGGAGTTCTGTGTACTACTGAGGTTGTCGTTCAGCGAGAAGACCGTTGCACTGGGCCAGACACATGCACACATATACAGTCTAATCTTACGCCAGGCGGTTTCAGCAAATAGGACAACTACAGCTGATAATACATTACACCTTTTTCTCCAAGTTCTTGTTCCTCTGTGTGATTGAAGTCTATCATTGTGTCTTCGAGTTTGTTTGTGCATAAGAGGCTCAACTTGGTCTACCTCTCACTTCTTGAAATCCGCATAGGTAGCAGCCCAAGTGCCAAGGCTGAGGCTGAGGCTGAAAGCTGAGAATCCGGCGACATTCTCAGTTACACGTATTCAGAAAAGCAAAGAAGATGTCCCATGAAATACGAGTCACGCGGCATCAACAAGCAGGGGTTTCCTTGGCGACGTGGGCCAATAGCAGCAATAAGATAGTTTCCATTTCCCCAGCTGAAAAGTGCCACCCGTAGTACAATGAGACAGGCTGGACGTCCTCTGATATATAGACACTACCATCACGAAAACATAGTTGAAGACACGAACATGGTATGAAATATCGACATGTAGCGAAGATGGACAGCAGTGAAGATACATTCAGCTAATAACTGCATTCAATCACACTTTCATATTAAGCATCAGCTCCGCGATATAAATCACCCACTGCGGATAATAGTTCCCACAGAGCCTCAGACACTCAAGTTTTATGCCTATCGTATATCAGAACAGTAGTAACAGTCATTCAATGTTGCCAACAATTATTCCCATGAATAATTTAAATTTCAGTTGCACAAATATGCCAATCAATATGTGGCGACTTTCTCATTGGAGGTCGAATATGCATGTCTCAGTCCTTACCCTTGCGTATTGATCGTCTAACAAGGCGAGGGGCGTCTTGGTGTGATACCCTCCATTCGGTGATTTTGTAAATAAGTTGACACATCGTGTAGGTAAAATTATGTCAAGGCAAGCCATGTCTAAATGATCGAGAAAATGACGAGAAGCTACTTGTTGTCAGATTGCAGGCTTTTGGTCGCGCTTTAAGCATCAATGCGCACGAAAATGTTTTCTAGCTATAAATATTGGGCTTCTGGCATTGATCAGAATGCAAACAGCTGATCAGCAGTTCTCCATCAGATCTTTTATTTGGAATTAAACACTTGTTACCTTTCAATATACATCATTGATATACTACCTCTTTTGTTCCTTCTAGCATACCATTTAAGCTTTGTCTCCTAGAAAGAACGAGGTGAAAGCCAAAATGATTACTTTTAGCCCAAATTGTACGCTTCCTGAGGCGCCTGGTGTATTTTCAACGCCTCAAATGTCAGATCTAGCATGGAAATCATCTGGAGCTGTATCGGAATAATTATTCTCTCAACATGGTCTATCCTTCATCCCAATATTCCGCCTGACTTTCGAAAACAGGCCAAATGGCAACTCTGTTTATAAAAATCATATTCGATTGCTCGAAAGGCTCTGTGGATGATTGTCATGTTTGTTGCACCCGAGGCCCTGACTTCCTTATACGCCCACAAGATGTTCAGCGCACGCCATAACCATACATTTCTTGAAACGTTGGCAGCTAAGCAACAAGTTCCATGGAGCCGCACGCATACCCTATTTGCAGACATGGGAGGATTCGCTATCTATTTCTCAGACAAAGAGTTTTACTCGCCATTTCAGAAAAGAGACTCCCACGAAACTACATTTGAACGTATATTAAAATACATCAATGAATTCAAAGAAAACTTCTTCAAAAGAGTGAAGAAAGACAAGATTTGCAAATTACTCACGCGACCAAAGAGAGACGACCCTGACTTTATCAACCGTTTCAAGTTTAAGCAAAAATTCTTTTTTTGGCTGGTTTGGATCGATTCTTTGGAAAAAAAACCCAAAACATATGAAAATTGCCACCGACATCAAAAATGGGCTGAAAGAGGACCAAATTACGTATGGGAAGCTGCAAATACTCGCAGCATTGTCTGGGGATATGTGGGTGTTGGACGCGGCACAACTCATCGTTGCAGCGAAAGAGGGAATCATCAAGCTCCCTAAAATCACAAAAAAGGAGCTCCTAGACAAAAGTAAATCCGACGCACTGGTCAAGACCTTGGCCATTATGCAAGTGTTATGGCTCATTATCCAACTTGCCGCCCGGAGATATTACGGGTTGGCCTCTGCACCGTTTGAAATCAGCACGGTTGCCCTGTCGGCTTCTGCAATTATTTTGTATATCCTTGAGTGGAACAAACCAAAAGACGTCAGTGTACCCATCTACGTTCTTGCAAATAAAGTGAACTAAGACGCAGATGAGAATGACTCTCATGAGACGACTACTCCTCAAGAAACGACCACGCCACAAGAAATAACTGCTTCTCAAAGAATGACTATTTCTCAGGAAAAGACTACTCCTCAAGAGAAGACTGTTTTTCAAGAAGATGTTACTTCTCAAGAAAGGAATATTCCTGAAAAAACACATATTTCTGAAAAGGCCTTCAAAGAAGCTTTCAAAAAAGTCTTCGAGGCAGCCCCTTATATATATCTACGATTTCCCATCATACCAACCAAGCTTTATCAGATCCCTAGCTGTGCCTTTCACGTTACCCATGTTGACAACGACAACGACGATAGTAACGATAACAATGGCAACAGCAGCAATGGTAACAGCAGAGTTTGGGGGAAATCGACTCTTATTGCAGTCGTTCCTATTCTTTCATTTGGGGGTATTCACATCTTTGCATGGAATTTCTACTTCCAAACTAAAATCGAGCAACAGTTATGGAGGGTCTGCTCGGTGTCAGCTACAGTTTTGCCATTACCATACCTTGCTACCCACTGGTCCTTTATGAAACACGACACAAACGTTGGGAAGACAAGAATAAGGCAAATCAGGACAATCCAAGGAGTCTTGGCTCTCTTCTATGTTCTTGCACGATTGTTTATTATTTTTGAGAGCTTGAGGTCATTTTACTATTTACCACGCGATGCCTTTGAATCTACATGGAGTGTGAATTTCCCACACCGGGGGTAAATAGCAAGGTGCTGCATAAGATACTGCCTGATTTCTATATTATATACATTATTGAGCGCCGTTTTGTTCAGTCTAGTATTCAAGGCGTGAAGTCTACTGTTACCTGCGTACACGTGCTCGAAGCTGGGAGGGGACACTTTGATCTGAATTACTACAAGATCTTCCATCCTATCCCTCCCTTATCCAGTAAATTTGACATAAACTTGAAGCGCAAAATGATTGACTAGCGTTTCTCGCTGTCGAGATTTCCCGTTGGTTTATGATTCATATCTAATATCAAACAAATCTATACATTTCCAAATATAAAATAGGAGCGGAGAAATGCAACACAAAAGCCAGGTTTCCGTCTTACCATACTACATATATCCCAGCAGCCTCCTGCCAAAGCCGAATAGTAAAACACATTTTCCGATGACGCGGCCAAAGATGAGAGGCAACCCAAACCGATACCAAGTAATAGGCCGCCATAGTCTGGCTTCCGGCAGTATTATCTTGTCATTTGTCTTTCTCCTGGCTGCTGCGTTTTCCACTGGCTTGCCAATAAACGATTCGATAGCCTCAATCATGATCTTGACAGTCTCCTGCGGTTGGCTCAAAAAGGGCGAATGACTTGTCTGCAGCTCTCTATGCATGACAGATGCACCCATGCTCCTCGCCATTCCTACATTCATGCGCTGTACTACCACTGGAAGCCCCTGGTCCTCGACGGTGCCGATATAACAAGATGGCACATCCCTCCATCCAGCATAAGAGTATTCACCCCCTTCAAACAATGCCTTGAGACTCTGCGGAGTGAGCAATGAGACCCAGTATCTTGCCTCATCTTCTGGCACGTCATGATAGAAAAATTTGCGTGGAGAAACAACGAGGTCGGCAAATCCAGTCTCTTTATTGATGCGCCACTGGGGGGGAGGATGTCCAAAGAAGGGGTCCATGAAGGCGAGCCCCGTGAATGTAAAGCCGGACGCTATGAGAATAAGGCCAACGACATAGCCGGTAGTTGTACGTTGAGCATTTTTCGCAATCGTCCCTCGGGGTCGAGCAAAGTCTTTGATAGCACTGTTTCCAACCAAACCACCGTATGAGTGGGCGACAACTATCACATCGCGCCCGCAACTTGTTTCGTCCGAAATTGCTTTGCGTGCGGCGTCAAGATCGTCTTTGAAGGTCCGGGTTGGGTCACCGGTGGTCGAAGGGAGTGTGACAGCGACGCATTTCAGCTTGTATTTCTCTTGTAGGGGTTTGATGATCAAATTGTAGCAGGCAGGCGAATGCCATGCACCAGGAACAAAAACTAGCGTTGGAAACTTGGACATTTCAGAGCACAACTAATAGCTTGTGACGGCTCTTATCCTCAACTAGAAGCAAAAGAAAGAAGACTTGCAAAACTATGTCAGTCAGTATATCGTAGAGCCTGAGGCATATGGGTATACAAAGTAATTAATCGCCCCTTGACTCGGCCTTCGGTAGCCGACTAGTTGCGCTACGCAGTTGGTTGGCTACCGAAGGCCGAGCGAATTGGCGGGTTTACCTACATGCGGTTATAACCGTTACTCGCTACCCACTGATTTGGAAAGCCATAAGACGCTGTAAATGCCTCCCACTGGTGGAGTATCATCTTCCTAAATTAACTGGAGAATATACGAACATACGAACATATTCGGTTGTTGCCCAGGATGATTGAACCATGCCACGATTCTGCAGAACCTTGGGTGGCTGTGTTGACAGCATTGAGAAACTGCTTTGCAGTCACTGACAAAGGTTGGTCAACATAAAACCGCATTCTTCAGACTGGTTTACAGCGGCATGCCAACACCCAATTAATTATACGAAATCCCGGCTTGTCAAACATTGTAGTAGTATTGCTCAGAACCCCCCCACTGACCATCATTTATCTCATCAACACCTTCTGGATCCCAAGAAGCTCTTGCGGTATAGGATCCCGCGAATCTGCATCCGATTTATCTTCTTCTCCCCAGTGAAAACACCACCTTGACTGTTCATCTACTCTGCGGTCAAGATCGGATTATTTCACCTGGCGAAATTAAAGCTCTCCATATCCGTTCTCACGCCTTTTCCCGTCTTTAGATAGCTCGGGATCGGGCTGTAGCAACTTACCGATATAGCTCATCTTACCAAAGGGTTATGAAAGTCCTACATAATGGGTGGAAACAGTGGTAGTGTAACAGTGTAGATGATGTCTCATTCAATTGGGATCTTTAAACACTTGAATGGACAATCCTCGTTACATCGACACACCAAGTTAGCTGTTCAGCATTCCATAACTCAAGTTCAAAGCTACCGAGGTAGTGACAACCGCAGATGCCAAAGGAATAGAGCGACCGTGGCAGAAAGCAGCGATAGTGGCGGATACTCAGGGAATCGAGTATCTACACAAGTAATGGTAAATAAAAGATCTTAGCTCTGCATCTTGTCATGACAACTGAACACCACATAGTCGCTAGGATGCTAGAGAGCCAACTTGGCAAGCTGAAGAGCCACCCCATGAAGAAATAATGACTAGTATAGCTTGCGATTCCATAACTCCTGGGACAGAGTCTGTACGAAGGCCACCTCAGTACAGGATTCACCTCGTATAGTTCTCTCTCTGACCGCTCGGCTGTGAAGCTAGACGGAAGGATTTGGAACCTTAAGACCAGTATCTGCTCCAAGTTCAGCAGGCATTGCAGCTAAGGTGGCAACAGCTGGTTTAACCATCGTGATACTTTGGTGTTTGTCCAGTGCCCAGACGATGCAGTAAGCTATATTGGTCACCGCAGAAGCTACTACGATCAAATCAGGAGTATATAGATAGAATGATGTCGCTAATTGAGGCTGACCAAAAGAATAATAAGGCGGAAAATACTCGGGACTCATGAGTAATCAAGAAGTCATCTCGATCCTGGCTTGTGTTTAAGAGTGAGGGAGTCTGTGTGCAGTGCCAGAAGCTTACATGCGGCTAGCTCGATCCCCGCATAACGGTTCATAACAAAGCACCCACCAGGGGTGTAAGAAGCAATTTAACCATAAATCAAGCTTCAATCAATTGCTGCCCGCTAGCGGAGACCAAAGCCTGAGGCAGCCTCACCTCGTCAGTCAACAGCAGGCGGATCGCTAGTCATATAGGCGGGGTGGAGAAGAAACAGGGCTCGATAAATGTGCTCTTACGGCTTCAGTCCTTTGGCCCGAGGGTGTATAGCGCAGACCGTTGTCCAAGTGAGCTCGACGTGCAACAATCTATCTATACGTATTGATGCAAGACAGGTATTCCAAGACATATACTTTCTGCTTTGCCTCAATCCGCTTGACGATGTCTCATTTATCGACATATGGTTTGTTTCGTTCGGTCAATATTCAGTCGTGAGGTTTGTTGTATTTGGCGCATACTTTCGGTTTTAGTGTGAAAGAGCCTCACTATTAGCTCTCCTATGTTAATAGCAGTTCTACCTGTGTCTCGTATGATACGCATATGTACACCTCACAGCTTCTTTAGGGCGGCGACGTTACTGTAACGGACAGCGCAGTGTGTTCCAACATAATAAAGCCATACTTGACAATATCAACTGCCTTGACTGCTTGGGCGGCACGAGTACTCTTAATCCCATCACCGTTCATTTCGCTTGCTACATGAGTAAATCACCAAGGCAAAAATTAAAGCCACAAGGTGATGCCTGGAATGGTAGTTTAGACATTTTGGGGAAGGCTAGTTGCAGAGCAGCTGAGGAATTGCTGTTTCTCGACCAAATGGAACTACGCTTGAGAATTCCTCGGTGGACGGCACAGTAGGGTCTGAATTGGCCGCTTGAATTGAGCTATCAACTCGAGGGTGAGAGCGTAAGGCCACGGTTGAGTACTGATACACCGTCATTTTCTGGAGATCAATTAGCTTATAGCAGGAGTGTGAGAGTAGCCTCGTCCTCTGGGACGATTGACGATTCTACCCCCGAGAGTTTAAGTTATGGCATAACGAGAGAGCCGGTCTTTAATAGTATGCCCTAATCTTTGTATGCGTACAAGTTACTGCTCTTGGGTGTACCAGTATCAGACTCGAGACCGTAGCAGGCATCGGGCATCAAGAGCCAGCAAACGCATGGGAAGGCATGGGAGAACGTTGTCATTAGCCAGACTGTGTACAATAAGTGCTTACAAGTTAATATATAGCATATTAAAGCTCATAAGGGGTATAGAGAACGCACGAAAACAAGCTCTCGAATTATACTCCCCGTTACATTATTCCACGACATTTGAAAGAGATCGCCAGTCTATTTTACTCGATTCAAGCCTGGGACATTACAATTCCATCTCTTAGAAGATAACTGTGGCCTAACATCAGGTATTCTATTAGAGGAAGACTACTGCAATAATAAATAGAGCTGCTGCGTTTAACCAGCCGCCTCAGACTTAACCCGCAACGGGCCACTGGCCAGTGCAGAGCATGTAATCGCCCAGTGATGTCAATAGGTAAAGTTTGAGGCTTTCCACTAGCGCAGATACGCTTTTATATTCAATATCTCAAAATATACCACGAACCAGAGGAGCAAAGTCTTCTTCACCAGACAAATGGTCTGCTACTCAGCCGGTGTGATGCGCGGTCAAAATTTACTGAGTTCTAACCAAAGAAACCGTCATATGAAGTGATTGGGAAGCAAGAATAACATAGTAAGCCAGCCATATCAAAACTTCGAAACGCTCCCAAATATGACCTAGAGGAAGAGTGAATTACACGGTACCTATGTCAATACGGTGGTGAATCTCAGACGTCGCCGCTTGGTGCACTATAAATTAGCCCTTATAATAAAGATTAATTCACGCTGTTCTCAACAAGCGCTTGAGCTGGATCGGGATCTTATGGTTTCATAAGTATTGCCCGGTTAGCTCAATCGGTAGAGCGTGAGACTCTTATGAGCACACGTTCTGATGCAATCTCAAGGTTGCGGGTTCGACCCCCGCATCGGGCTCTTCCTATATTTACATACCCGAGACATCAAAAGCGCATTTCTTTTTTGGCATTTGCATAAACTGCTTTTTTTGTGTTGTTTCCAGTTTCCCCCAAAAGCCCATCTTTTTACGTATGTATATGAGTGAGGAGATGGCTGCCCTCGTGAGCTCTTCTTTCACTGTGGTGATATGATGATCGAGAATGACTTCATGTTCAAAAGAATACATGTACTATACACTATACTCAGCCCTCGCTTAATAGAGTATCCGTATAGTACTTCTCAAGCATCACTCTCGAAACAAGCCGTGCCGAGACTTCACTTTTAAACGGGAGTTTTCAGAACAAGCTCGTGACTATACTTTTTTTCTTTTCCTCTGCGCATATCGCGCACATGTAACTCATGATCACTCACTCACACTCAACCCAATCCCCGGCCGGCATTCAGAAACACACTCCAAACCGGTTCCCTGTCACATCGTGGCCCTTTTTAGGTGCCCCCAGAGCAATATCGGCAAAAGGCACACAAATCTCTTGGTTAGTACTACCCCAAGTATATCTAAGTCTTAATCTTGCCGAGAAAGAATGTAACCTCCCACGCCACCCATTTCCCGTTCGTTTCTCATGAAGATCATCATGTTTTCCCGGCTTCAAAAAACAACTCGCATACTTCTAGACAATGTAAAATCCCCCCCCCCCCCCATCATCATTCTCCTTCCGAAAGCAAGCAAGCTGATTAGCGCCCGACGGCTCTTCATTCTCTCCGCCATCCTTATTCCACTGCTCTTACAAGCAAAATCATCCGCGACTCCCCTTGTGCAAATTAAACACCCCCCCTTCTTTTTTTCGGAGCTCTAACTCGGCATTTCCTTGCCGTGGGCTCACACCAGCGTTGGCCTAATGCGGATGGTATCAAAATCATCCCAAAATGGGGGGTGACGCGGCCTCTCTTGGAGATAGTGAGCAATAGTCCACATATTACACTTCCGCGCAAAAGCAGCACCAAGTGCGTTTCTGCTCTTTGTTCGAGTACGTTAGAGTACAGTGTGTGGTTGATCTGCGACCACTCATGGCGTTTGCGAATGACACCAAACGTTAAATCCACAACTTCTATAGCTTCTTTGAGTGTACAAACAGGGCGACAAAAAGTAATCCGAATACGCCGAAATAAGAATAAAACAGAAAAGCCATCAATTCAATAACATCGAATCTTTATCTTGCTTTAGAAATACTATGACTCATTTCTTCCTACGAGTTTCTGAAACGTAGTTTCTGCCAGCAATCATTGTGGTGGTTTTTGTCCAACGCACTCAAGATTGCCATCTATACTTGGCAGCCGAGTAACCGCTCATGATTCCAGCCATGAAGATAAACAGGAAAAGTCATGCAACAAGGTTAATCACAGAATAGTAGAATCAAGCTTTTTTTTAGTCCATTGTTATCGGGAACCAGGAAAAAGAGCGTGGGGAGTGGCATGCTGCTTGTGGCCGAACGACGGATTACGACATCTGTTGCACCTCTGATATCATACTGTATGACTTGAAATGCCACCTCTTTCGTTTCGGGACAAGCTATTCTTAGCAGGTCACTACACTGTCAATATGTCACTGTTGAATAGCAGCCAGCTACGAGGTACTCTGCGTTTTGACAGCATCGGTATCATCCGCTATTCTCATACATACAAGAAAGCACTTGGTTTAGAAGTGACAAGTTATACTTCACGACACAGGTGTTAAATAAACTTAAAAGAAAGGTTTGAAAGAGAATGAAATACACCATTCAACTAGACTACTTATAAAAATAAGTATAAAAAAAAAGACCCAATCATTTCGGTCGACAAGTCTTTCCTTTTCGCCAAAAAGCCAGAAATTCCACCGGCTCGTTTCCCAGTCCCGACCAAAACCAAGCCAACCCAGAGATCCACACACAAAGGAAATAAGCTCCTTGGAGCAAGTGATACAAGTTCGAAAGCTCCACAAGTCGTTCAAGCCAGCTCCTCCAGACGCCAGAGCAATGCATCCGATGAAAACACACACACAAAAATCATGACTTGTATATAGCCTCCCAAAGCCCTAAGTGGTTCTAAGTAGAAAAGAAAAAGAATTGGATCATAAAGAAAGTACGGGATAGACCAGCTCCGCGCTGCTCTAGATACAAAACTTGCGATCGAGCATCCTCAGGGCACGAGTATCTTCGCTTGCGCCTCCCTTTTCGGCGAGGGCAATGTTTGATGTCCTTGGGCTGCTGTGTGCACTGCCGTTTGCGCCAGCCTCCGAGTTTGAAGACGTCGTAGGGTGCAGGAGAACAGACAGGCTAGCCTTGTTACCATTCGTGCTGTGGACCTCCAGATGAGAGCTTTGAGGCGGGCTCGAGCTCAGTGGCCGCGTAGGAGGGGTGTGCAGTCCGCTGTGCGCCGGAGCAAGAGGGCCATTGGCCATGGCACCCAGCGCCGGGAGAGGTCCTTGGGGCTTCTTGTCGGACATGGTTCGTGAGTCTCCGATGGCAGCTTGCGCGGCAGCCTGCAAGGTGTGTTGGTGAGGAGAGTCGTGGATACGGGGCGGCGTCGGTCCCTGCGAATACTGCTGGCTAGGGTACGGAGGCAGTGGAGCAGCAGGCCTTGGGGCGTTTTGCAGAGGCGGCAACGCAGGGCGCTCGTAAGCCGAAGGGCGATCGTAAGGAACCGGGGCATGCTGGTAGTGATGTGACGGTGGTGGTGCCGCTGGTGCCGGAGGTGGAGGCGGCGCATACGCATGGTGTGGCGGCGGTGGTCCTTGGGGAGGGTATGGAGCTGGGAGATGGTGGCCGGGGGGAGGATGGGAGTAAGGGGCCGGAGCGTAGTGGGCATACGGAGGCGTCGCAACTGGCGATGGAGGCCACGCATATCCTGGCTGCGCGTAGTGGGTTGCGTATGGTTGGTGAGCCGGGTGAGGAGGGTGATGCTGAGGAGCAATCATGTAAGGCGGCTGCTGCATCGGCGCCCTGGTGAGTGCCGGTGTCTGGTTCGTCTCGCCCATGCTTGATTCGGGGTACATGCCCTTGACAGGAACGATTGCTCGCAAGTTGGGGTCGGTGGTTGGCTGAGGGAGCTCGGGCTGGCCGGGCTGGGGTCGAGAGTAGTAGGAGATGAGGTGGAGATGCTGGCCGCTCGAGGTCGTAATGCTGAACGACTGCTTCATGAGACCATCTGCCTTGTATCGATAACCCTCGGGTTCGCCATCGTCGTGATCCTCGTCACTGCCACGGCCGGATTCTGGTGTCTTGCCATTCCCTCGTCTGCTTCCGCCAAAGCCGCCGCCTCGCTTGCCCTCCATTTCGCGGTAGGTCAAGAAGCTGCCTGATACTCTGCTGGCGCTCCATGACTTTCCATCGGTCCATCGCCTCATGCCTGCTTCCCGCTCGTCCCATACGAAAACTGACCCGGATCGGATGGACTGTCTCTCCTTTTCTGAAAGTCGACGCTGAACTCGAGGCAAAAGGCCCAGCCGACAAGCTTCGAACAGCTTGATGGCATCCGCCGGAGTCCGTACGTAGCCGTGATACGTCTCCATCTTCTCCGAAGCCATTGGCTCGGATTTGTACATGTGTAAACGTCCGATGAGACGGACTAGCTTTTATCCCAGATAAGAGAGGTGTAGGAGGGCCGGATCACTCAGACACAGTGGCCTGAAGCGATCTCTCGTCAGCCCGGGGAATCAAGAGACTTTGATATCAAGGCGTGTGATGTCTGCTGCAGAATTCAACAGCAAATTGTCGCCAGAAGAGTCGTAGTTGAGAGTGTGCTTCCAATACGTTCTTCAAATACCACTACAGGATATGGGTTAGTTGATTACGCCAACAAAGGTTTGCAGTTGAGAATATAAGCGCAAGCAAGATTGTGCTTTGCAAGATGGAAAGGGAGGGGTGAGACGGTGGACGCCAAGCTGCCATGCATCAATCTGAGAGGGCTCATCTGCATCATATGTAGCCTTTTTGACTCAGCACGAGCTGGCAGGCCCGCAAGACAAAAGTGACACATTGCGTGTGAAGCAGCGGAATGGTCGAATACGCTCAACCTCTGTTCGAATCCAATCGAGCTACCCGTTGGGATACAGTCGCAAATCGACCTCGCTCGTCTGATTTGGTGGCGATGCCGCTCGGCGATTTGCAGGACGGAGCACTTGCAACGACCAAAGGATGCATGCGTTTGCGGTTCCATCGAGGCCGAAACTGATGGACAGCTTCCGGCATGTGCTGGAGGGTGTTTGTGCGGCCTGAAGCGCATTCCCACAAGGCAGCTTCCCGGGTCGCATGCCGAGCTCTGGCGTCCCCCCCTCTCTTATTTTCGCTCTCTCCCTCTATTTTTTTACTTTTTCCCATGTTTCCCGTCTCTCTTTTTCCCTTCTCACACACAGCTGTTCCCAGGCAGGAGAATGGTTGAGGCGGGAAAACACCACAGCACAAAGGGAGCACAGTAACGCCTCAGCATGGGAACACTAGATCCATGCAGGCAGCCTCGGGAAACAAAATCACCAGTGCCATGGAGGCACGCGGATATCGTCGCAAAGGAGGGCAAGAAAAGGCAAGAGATGGAAGGACAAGGGAAAACTCGGCTTACCTGTGGCGGTGGATAAGTAACGTACCAGAAGGTTAAATGATGTACTCGTAGCCAAGAACAAAATCGGAAGAGGCCAGCAAGGGGAGGGAAGGGGGAAAAAAAAAAAAAAAAAAAGGATGGCCGAGCTGCCAGTCTTATGAGGTTGCCAGTACTCCGAACGGCCGTCTGGGCGGAATCGCAAAAAGAAGCACGAATCTGCACACGGAACAAGGTTAAAACTAACACATATAAGCCACAAAGGTAAAAGGAAGAGGACAAGAAAAGATGGAGGAGAAGAGGGAGAATTAAGGTTGGGCAAGCCAAGTGAACAGGGTGTGGCCATGGATGGATAAATCGGCTCGTTTGACGCAGGGACGTGTGGGGATTGGCGACAGGGGGGAGGGGTGTGGTTAGTGGGCAGTCTCAGGTGGAAATGCGCTGGAGTTGGTGAGATTCGGCCGTTTTTAGTGGTGGCTTTTAGCGATGCCTGCGTAAAGTTATAGCGATTGATGGGTTGAGACTTTTTGGCCACCCAATCGACGGGGCTGAACCGTTGCCGATTGATAGGGAACCGTTGGATTTGCGCCAGGCGGAAGACGAAATGAAGAAAAGAATATGCCAAGAAATAAACATAAACGCAAAAAGAAAAAAATTAGAGTAAAAAGTGAAAGCAAAGCAAAACTAAAGATAAGAATTTAAAGCCGCAAACTTACAATAAACACACAAGCCGCCTACGTATTCCCCCCTCAAAATGTCAAATCATCAGGTAATCAAATCAAGTTTCAACCGCCAATGATTCGGGATCCCATACGGAATCTCAGGTGCCGTACTAGCCTCCAACCTGCGTGCCGAAGCGCCGTTCTGCCTGTTTCGCCCAAAAGCTGTGGCGGCAAGGGTCCGACTTCCGCTCTACTGCTCTACTTTTTTGTTTCTCGCCTGAATGAATCCGCCGGCTCATCTAAAGGCCCTCGTCCCCGTTTCACAAGGTTTGAGGGCGAGTTGTACCAAGAAAAGAAAAGAAAAGGCCACGCGTTGCGATTCTGTAAACGAAAAGATAAGGGGGAGGAAAGTTCCTTTCTTCCTACAGTACATGCGACGGTGGGAAAATCGGATCAAGCGAGATGGAAACAAAACCACCGTCTAATACAGGTAACCCACTGTAACTGTGCAAGGAAGAAAGGCAGGGATTTTTCAAAAAAGAGAGATGGCATCTCATCTCATATCGTGTCATTCAAGTCACCCACTTGCAGGCAGATGTCGAAACGGCTCCGTAGCCCGTCATGCACAGCCTGGTCATTCGCTAGCCCAGCCATGGAAAAGACGGCAAGCCAAAGGAACGAAAGGGCCACAGCAGCGACTAATAGCTCCAAGTGGATGAACCAACACAAAATGAAAACCTATGGAAAAAGAAAAAAAAAGTCCGTGTGGGGTGGACGGAATCGGCGTGGGCGGCCGGGAATAATGCACGGGGTTCAATCGGCCAAGCCAAGAAACCAACCATGGGAAATCCCAACCCTGAAAGGGCACCACAATTTATTTTGCCTACCTACCTGCTTCTGCTCTGCTCAAAAAAGTCCGGTCGTCGCGGTGCCGGGTTTCCCAGAGATGATGACTCGTGTCGTCTTTTCTTTGCCCCCAGTTTGGTTGAGAGTTGCCAGAAGGCGACTTTGTACTAGGTTAGTAGTATATCTCGCTCGACACGCTTCGGTGTCAATTTCTACCGCCGGGGAGAAAAGAGAAACTTCAGCTATTAAACTTACGATGAGTAAGACGCCAGAATTGTAGCCTCTTTTTCTTTCCTCGGTACCGTCCAGCTAAAGATAGAACAGCCAAGAGCCAGTACGAGTACGAGTCAAAAGAACGGCAACAAATGACCTTCTCTGCATTCGTACGAGTAGTACTACTGTAGTTCCATTCACCGAACCCAGCACTAACAGCAGAAAAGAAAATGGTGCAAAGTCACTCACAATCGCTCATGACAAAAAAAAAAAAAAAAAAAAAAAAACACCGCCAAAGGGAGCCCACGAGAAGCGCCGCGCCGCTCTGGGACTGGCTGGTATAATAAGGTCATAGAATTCCTCCTAAGCTTATTTTCAATACTCGCTGACGAAAAGGCTTAGCATGCCACCACTGGCTGCATAGCGTCAATTCTCGACATGGGGGGGGCCCTGTCCATTCTACACCTTTAAACCGAACATCGTTGTCGCTGCACCCACGCCCCCCCTTTTTCCCTTGCTGTGCTGTGCCGTTTTGCCCGCTGATCCGCGCGCCTTTTTGTTCTCTCTGCTGTAATCAACCTGATCTCCATCTCTTTTTTTTTTTGCTCGTCTTCTTGGCCAGTTGATCTCCTAAAGACGAGATTCATGTACCTGCTGTACGTACTCGTATCTTGCACCCCCTTCCTTGCAGCAACCCCCCCTTAAAACCAACGAACCGCCGAGGGGGGAGCCCATATTCTGGGTAAGTCGGCACGGGGGCTGTCATGGCCCACGGTTACGTGTTGCGAGGCTTTGACGTTGGGGACGATTGAGGAATTCGGGATTCGTATGTACAGCTGTCCGAGCGGAATTAGTACCTGTAAGTAATACTGACAACTATATCAAAAGCCCGTATTCGTCATTGACGGCATGTTGTTAAGGCTTGAAGCATAGGTAGTATCTGTAAGTATGTGCTGATGTCTGTTTCAGTTTCATTGCAACGACTGGATCCTCCTCCTCCACCAAAAAAAATATATATATAAAAGCTTCAAGCGATAGTACGAGTACACGTACCTCCCTGCTAATTCATGAGGTACGAGTACTGAATGTACATGATGCCCTACACATGGCCAACAAGCATAACAAGCATCGGTGCTCCTCTCGGCGATGCTACTGCAAACTATCTCAGCGGCTGCTATTGGCAGGTACTTGCGCGGATGTAGCGGCTATCTGGCCTCATTCTTCACCAAGCGCTAAAAGTCGCGTCTCCAACATGATTCTTCGCCAGCCAAAAAGTTGCCGTGGCTGCCGTGAGGGGGCTTGCGCAAGAAGCTTGATTTGCCCTGGATTCGTTCGCCTTGCACACGAGCTTGATCCTATTTCCCATCCTATTTTGGTGCTATTTTATCCTTCATCCTAGTTTCGCTTGGGCGCCCCCCCAGCCGATGGGGCTTTTTTCCATTTTTTCCATTCCTGATCCCGAGCATTTCTTTCTCTGGCCGGGCCGGAGCTTGCGACGCCGAACTTCCGACAAATGCAGACGTATTCACATATTCACACACCCCCTTTGCGCTGAAGTAAAAGCTTGGTCATGCCGTTATATCCTAATACGGGGTGCAATGACGAAGCTGGCGCTCGTATAGGTATACGCATATAGGAGAGAAGAAATCGAGACAAGAGGTCGTCTTTGGTGATAAGACTGCGCAAAGGGGCGGGGGTTTAATTTTAGCAGTCACGCTGATGGAAGCCGGTCCTCGAAATTCACCGCCACACCTCAGACGGCATCATGAGTTTCTGTCGATGCCGAGTTGAATTCCTCCGAAGCGTCAGCCGTGGTTGTACAAGCACAGCAAAAAAAAAAAAGCCACATAGAAAACGCCCTTATCAGAGCAATCGGCGGGACAAATTAGGCCATGCAGATTAGGCCTTACTAGGCACAGATTAAGGTGGCCGCGTGCTACTAACAGCGTGAAGCTAACAGATCAATGGATTCATCATGTCAGCCGTACAAGGAAGGAGGACCGCCAAGCGGCATCTCGGCTCCCAGGAACTACAGCACCTGTCCTTGTAGTGCGGCTCCCCACGATATCAATTATCCCGCAGAGCAAGATTGGCTATGCGTATTGCCTCGAAACGGACAAGAAGCCAGCCTGGGATCCCTTAGCTGGAGCCGCGCAGCCAACCCGTTGTAGCAGTTGGGGCCGGGCCTCGAGCGGGTGCCTTGTCGCATGTAACCGTCGCCGTCCAGGTACTGCGAGTGCTAGGCAAGTCGTGTGGCCTCTTGGTCGTATGG